CACTTTTAGCCCTCAAATTAACACCAACATGATAGAAGATAAAAAAGGACTATTTGTGAAAAGATACTTATAAAAAAAGACCACTAGGGTAGTATTTGATAAAAGAGGACTAAATAGGGAAACTCCCTTGTTATAAAGGACTAATTATGGAATTTACTCTAAATTTAATATCAATATATTTCTAATGAATCATAATTTTGAAATATCAAAATTTTATAAAATATACCTATGTATAAGTATAGTTATTAATGGTCAAAATGTAGCATTGGAAATCGTGACAAATCAAATGAGAAGAAAATTTCCGGATAGAGGGAGTATATAAAGTTTTAATAATTTTTTTCTGTTGATTTTGACATCAGATTTATTTTGATTTTTCAATTTTTAAATTTCAATTTTTTTATTTTAATCTTTTTACATATAATATTGAAATATCTTTCAAGAAAACTAATTTTAAAAAATTAGTTTTTCTAACAGCCAAGTCCAAAAGATACTCTCTTTGGCTTTCCGAATTTTTGACTTTTCAGATCAAACTGCCAAGTGAAAAAGCCATTATTCAAACACCGATTTTAGTTGTTCAATTAGTGAGATAACATTTTTTAAACTATTAGGTCTTCTATGTGACACTTTAACCATTAATATGCATGTATGTATGTGTGTGTGTGTGTGTATATATAATTAATAAATTTTATAAAAAAATATGATATTTCAAAATTATAATTAAAAACAAATCAAATAATTTAAATTTATATTATTATTCAACATATTGTTTTTTAAATTTCATGGTCAAAGTTTTTAATTTTGATCCTAAAAAATCGAATTAAAACTTTTTTTGGAACGGAATGATTGATTCAATTTAAGAACAATATTTTTAAATGACATTAGCATGTGTAGATGAGTTAAATTAAATAAAGATAAAGAGATAGGGCCATTACGCAATTTTAAAAGTTAAAATAATGTGGCTAAAAAGTCCATATGGAAGCAATTTAGTGGGAGGGCATCCATACCCCTTCATTAACAAAGGCACCGGAGAAATTCCCTCTTTTGATATGCTATGCAGTAGTTTTAAGATATGGGTGTTTCTCCCATGCCCAAGCAAATGAGAGGGCATGGATGCCCTTCTATTGAATTAATGCCATGTGGACTAATCTTCGCATCATTACAATTTTTAGAAATTCTAGAAAAGACCCTATCCGGCCTCTTAATCCTATTTGCATTAGTTCTTCCCTTCATTTTCGTTGTCCCATTTTTTCTCTTCCATTGTTATACTTTGGTTATCATACTTATTACTCCCTACTTACTTCATTTTATGTTTTCAAAAAGAGAAATTATCACTCTATTTTTAGAGAGTACTTTCTCTATCTAATTTAAATTATCTATTTTGATTTATGATATTTAAATAAAGTTATTTCCAATACCCGGAAGTATAATTTATTACGGAGTAAAAAGTTAGAACAACATTATAAAAATGAATTTTACATATTAAATATTATATAAAAAATTCCACGAAACAATAGATGATATGGATATATTATTTATCAAAAGAGTAATGAACATAGAAAAATAAAATAACCATGTGAATAGTTAACAAACAATTTAATTTGGAACGAAAAAAGCAATTTTTTTCATTCTCTTCGGATGCATTTTTTTCATTTTACTTTTTCTACTGACTTAGCATTACTTATTCTTAGAGCAGTGAAAATACCATTGACGCCCACTTGCATTAAGCTGGTTTTGACGCATGGGGGGCGTTAAACACCGACCCCCTTTCCCGTTAGTGCACCATCATTTTTGTAGCGTCAAACTTTTGACACAAATTATAGGCCAACATTCGGCCGTTGGAGCCGCCCCAACATCGCTCCCTTTCCTGTTATCGCACCGTGTACTTTTTTATTCAATGAATATAAATTGTTTTATTAATGAATGTAATTTTTTATTTAATGAATGTAATTTTTTTATTTAATGAATGTAATTTTTTATTTAATGAATCTAATTTTTTTAATGAATGAATGTAATTTTTTTAATGAATAAAATTAAATAATTAAATTTTATTAATTTAATTTTAGAAGATGTATATTTAAAATGTAAAAAATAAGGTTTGAAGCCCCAATTTGAAGTCTTGGACCTTCAAACCCATTTCTAGTGAATTGGCGAGGTAAATTAAAGCTGACGTGGTATACAGAAAAAGTTTGAAACCCTGATCTGAAGCCACAGGGCTTCAAAACCATTTCCCGTTCTCCTAAGGTCAAGTAACACAAGACTCTCCGTGGTTTGAAAAATAGGCTCCAATAGCCCCTGTTTTCGAAACTTATTTCTAAAGTATTCGTGGTTTCAAAACATTGCATCCATGGACAACCTCTGATCATTTTCCAGTCATTTTTTGATCGACAAAAATATTTTGTTTTAAAAAATCATATAGAGCACAATTTTAAAAAATATAATACCTAACTAGAAAAATTGTGGTACGGTATCTCAATAGACTATGTCATTGTCACAATAGACATATTGTAAGGCCAATATGCAATTTTTAAAAATTAAATGGCATGAAAGGAATAGTAGTTGAATGATTATAAATCCACACGGCAATATATCAATAGAGGGGTATCCATACCCTCTCATTTGTTTGGGCATCAAAGAAACACCCTTAAGATATATATATATATATATATATATATATATATATATATATATATATATATATATATATATATATATATATATATATATATATATATATAATTTTTATTTTTATATTTCCGTAAAATTTCATACTGTATTAAATTTATTACACTAATTTTAGTCAAATATCATAACGGATAACAAGAGAAAAAATGACTATCGAAAAGGTCTTTGAGTTATTAACTTATAGATAAAATGATGTTCAAAAAAAGCTAAAAACAGACGCATAATATTTATATNATATATATATATATATATATATATATATATATATATATATATATATATATATATATATATATATATATATATATATATATATATATATAATTTTTATTTTTATATTTCCGTAAAATTTCATACTGTATTAAATTTATTACACTAATTTTAGTCAAATATCATAACGGATAACAAGAGAAAAAATGACTATCGAAAAGGTCTTTGAGTTATTAACTTATAGATAAAATGATGTTCAAAAAAAGCTAAAAACAGACGCATAATATTTATATATTTGTTTCTCCAAGATGGTATTTTATATGCAAAATGGTGTTGTAGAAAAGTGTGGAAAAGTAAAAAATAACATGCGAAACAGAGTAAATTAAAACGACTACGATCCAAAAGAGAAGCACCTCGTTGCCAAACACATTTTAAGTACCGGAGTATGATGTTCTTACAAGCATCAGTCGTTTCTTCATATTGTATGAAAGACGTTAGGAGTACACCAAAAGTGTATTCCAAGTATACCCAAGTACTAAATACTAGGCTGCTACTCGTTAGGAATGTGATTGTTCTGTGTTAATCCCACTAGTGTGTTATGATATGAACGCCCTTTTACTTGCACTCAACGGTAAGAGCGGGCTGATCCAGCACGCTGAAGTGTAGATTATGTAGTGTTGATCCAACTCTAGGACTGACTCGGTATTATGATAGTAGAAAGCAAGCAATGTGGAGACTGTATGGCCCAATGACTAATAACTGGGTAAAAACATACGTACGGGTACCCTGGTGATCCATGAGGTGGTGATTCCACATACCCAACGGAGAATTCCTTCGTTGGTGGAGTTTACCTACCTTTACTATAATCTTTACAAAATTTACCTACCTTTACTATAATCTTTACAAAATGTTGGGAATTTAGTTTTCTATGAGTCGCACAGAGTAAAAACCAACTCTTAAATTATACTTCTGTTCCTAACAATTTTTTTTATGGAATATCTATTTTTTTCCCTTGTCTCAAAATTTTTGTTTCTTACAATTTAAATACCACTTTTACCTCTATTAATTCTTATGTTATCTATCACATCATACATTTTTATTATTAATTTATCACCATATTCTACTTATATCTATCATATCAAGGTAACTTGAAAAAATCACACAAAAATATCTCTTTCTTAAATCACATAAAAGTCAACATTAAATAGGGAGATTCAGGGATGGAGGGAGTACAGAGTTATTGTCAAGAGACCTAGGTTGCGTTTCGTTCATTTAGTCTGATCCAATTTTTGAAGATTTGGTTTGATTTTGATTGGATTAGATTTGATTATATTAATTATATTTGATCTGGTCTGATCTGATTTTGTCTTATTATAATTATTTTTAATGATGTTTCTGATCTTATCTGGTCTAATCATGATTGCATTCCATCCGATAAGAAAAACAAGTCGAATGAAATCGATCCAACACTTATTAATGGTATAAGGAGTATATATACACATGGATAAAAAAAGACAGTAAGTACAGATGATATAACCAACTGTAAAGGGACACATGCGTGTTAAACACACTCAAGCAATCATATCGACCACCCCATAGTTGCATCCAACAAACGGGGATCATGGTTACTTTAGAAAAGTGGAGCGTCTACATCGCTGTGAATTGAGATACACATTACCAATAAATAAGTTGATCTAGGATGTATGTCAAGACAAACTCTTGAGACAAAAAAAGATATCAAAAGAAATGCTAAGGTTGGCACTAGCCCCAAGGGGTAGCCGAGCAATCTCACTTTCGAGCAATATCTGTTGTATATCAGAAATTCAGGAGTTGCGGCTTAGCTTGTGTTGGAGCATTGACTTAAATAAGAATCCTAATAAGACAGGCTAGAAAACATTTAGGAAAGCCGTGACCCAAGTGTGTTCACATACCAATGCATGATGGAATTGGGCTCATCGGAGTAATTGTCCAATTTTAATTTTTTTGGTCAACTGTTTTCAATTTTTGATTTATATTTAAGTAAAATATATATTATATATTAATTAACTAAATTAATATTTTGAAAATATTTTATATAGTAAATCTAATAAAATTATATTTATGTAATAATATCATTTCTATTTAATTTGAAATTAAATTTTGACTAAAAAAATCAAAAGTGAAGGGAGAGAAAATAACAATCTCTAGCCCATGTCACTAGATTACTCATTCCCTCACTAAACTAAACGGGCCGGGGACGTGTTTGTTTCCTCAAATTTCAAACAAAAAACTCGTCTGTTAAACCCCTGAGACCTGAGTTTAATATACGCAGGCTCCGAGAAGATGAGCACTGTAGCAAGGGCTTTGAATATGCAGTTCGCCGGCCGATTCTCTCACTCTCTCCCGAAGAAAGGTATTCTCAACGAATTCTCCCGTCTCCCTCTGCAGCTTACGATTTCAATCATGGATTCTTCTCGAATCGTTTTTACTTTGATTTTCATTTTCAGTACTCCCCCCCGGATTTCCTCTGCGATCTACAATTATCGCGCACGAATCAATGCTGCATTGTGTGTTTACCTTTCATGGCAGTGTTTTTGGAAGCATCATTGTTTCTGCGCGGCGCTTCTGTCTCCTATGTACGGTGGCGGGGGATTTCATTTGCGGCAGCTGTCCCTTCTCCGACTCCTCCACCTCCTCCGGATTCTACTCCGCCTGAAGTGAAAAAGACGCGCAGAAGGGTCCCCAAAGAGGAGCGCAGAGCTATGGTCCAAAACTTTGTGGACAAGTAATCATACTTAATCACACTCTATTTCTACAAATGTGTTGTTTTCCGTAGCCAATGGCAGCCCCTGAACATGGTTACAGTTTTTCTACTTCCTTTGTTTGAATTTGTTGCGCTCACTTTGAACTAATGGCATTGTATGAACCATGTGATTCTTTATATAAATGGAACTAATTTGGACAGACAAAAAAAGGCAACATACACAACAAATTTGGATGAAGGGAGTATCAATTTTATTTCTAGGGGAGTTTTAAACTCTATTTGCTTTTGCTACCAATTTCCCTTTTAACGAAAATAAAGGAAACGGTTTATAGAAGAAAGTGAGAGGAATGAGCTAGTTTGTTTCTTGTTTCGCACTTTCAGATACACGAGGATTGAATCCATGCAATCAGAATTCAGAACTGATCACTTAGTATATCTAGCATGGATTTCATATTCACAAAACATCCTTGCATCCCGGACACATTCTAAGACAACTAGTGAGCAGGAGATGCTTGTTTAGTTTTATTGACTTGTTTCACATTAAGTCATTAACCTTGCATCCATACTGTTAACTGTTTATTAGTTTTTAAGTTTCTAATTTTCTATTAGGCACATTAAGGTGAAAGAAAAATTGAAGCCAGGCAATTTATTGCTGAAAACTGTAAGCTGAACAAGATAGGTGATTAGTGTTAGAAATGCTTGCTAAGATTAGCTCTCAAGTCGGCCGATGATTCTGTTTCCATCACCATCATCATCATCATCACTTTATTCCAAACTATGTTGGGATATTTGGCATAAAAATTGTGCCAATTAATTGTCTTAACTTAGTTAACATTATTAAGTAATGCATAAATGCACAGTGGCACAGTGTTCTAACTTGTTTTGTGCGTGTGTATATGTGCTTTTTAGCCAAGGATTTTTCAGAGTCAACCCTTCTACAGTCGTAGGTAGTGGTAAGGTTTGTGTACATCAGTGGGGACCCCACTTGTAGGACCTTGTTGCAGAAATGCACAATAGAAAAGTTGTAAGCATGATGCCCTGTGGGATGTGGCTGCCTTCTTATGAAGGAATGATTGTATGAAATTCCAAAATGTCATCATCACAAGTCTTCTCACTTGCATAAAAAGTATCATGAGTTGAAATAGTTTGTAGATTCATGCCAAGGTCATTTTTGATGTTGTAACATCAACATACACACTATGTGACATGGGCTGAAGTAGGGAAAGTAGAAAGTTGGGAGCTTCTCTTTCACGTGTTTCAGGGGAACAAGCTATAAGCTAGTAAAATGTCATGCCATAGAGTGTAAACATTGTTACTTATGTCTCTTTTTGTGTCTATCATACACCATGTTTCAAGGGTATTCTTAAGCAGTAAAAATTACTCCATATTTGACAATGATGTAAACAACGAGAGTTTTACTAAATAGATATAGATGCAGTCACTGTAAAAGAAACATAAAGATATTTGGTCCTGACCAATACATACCCAACTGGACCAATGATATGTTGCAATCCTCAAGTGAGCGAATCAAATATGGATAAGCTCCAGGCCGGATCTTCAAGTATTGACCTATTGGTTTGTTGATAAACAATAACAGTTGCTTTGCTTCTCATTTTTTCTTATTTAAAGCTAGAGGCTTATTGTCTCATAGTCCATGAAATCATAGCAGGGTTACTCTACAAAACTTTAGGAGTTTTATCCCAATGTTCCTCTTATTAATGATTTTTTTTGTAAGGAGTTGGTTTTATATTTAAATCGAGTTGGCTTGACATTGTAGCTGCATTGGTAATAAAAAATTTGCCCATTGCTAATTTTGTTTCCCTGGGTGTCACCATAAGGTTTGGAAGCCAAAAAAAGCCTCAAAGTGGCCAGTCTCTACCTCGGGAGGCAAAAGCTTTGAGGTAAAGTGAGGTGTAAGCTTTGAATTAATATAATTAACAACAATAAAGGTAAAATAGATCATTCATAATAGTAGCTCTATGTGAAAAAAGCTTCACATGTTGAAATAAAAACATACTCCCTCCGTTTTACAAAACAATTCCACTTTCACTTTTCATTCTTCTCATAAAATACTTCCACTTTCCATTAAAAAGTCACTTTTAGCCCTGCGAATTCTTACTCTACTTATCTTATTATATCTATTCACTAATAATCTACTTATAACATCCTACTTTTACCCATCACATCCAAGGGCTAAATTAGAAAATCAACTACAAAATACACTCCCCTTAAAATTTCTCAAGAGTCGAAATGGGAATTGTTTTTCAGAACAGAGGAAGTACATAGTATTGCTCTAAATGGGACAAAACAGGAAGTCAAACAACATTAAAGGATAAAACATGCATGCTGGCCCATAATTATACTTAGAGCGTTCATAAAACTTACACACGAAGTTTTTAAATGCTAATCTTTGAGAGTAATAGCTTCATCCATTGCATTGTTATCTGACCTGCAAGAGATTATTTTGAAAATAGTATAGGGGAGATTAATGAGAGAGAGAGAGAGAGAGGAAAGAAAGTAACACGAGTGGAAAATAGAAAAAATATATAAAAGATACATAGAAGGATAGAGTGAGATTTTGAATTTGTGGTTGTTGGAGGGCTGTTTCGTTATTGGTGAAAGTAGAAAAATGAAGAGTCATGCTTTCATTATTGTGTGTAAATGGCACTTAGCGACAAAGGAAAAAAAGAAGACTATGGTTCATTATTTCAAAAGAAAACAGAAGGAAAATTGAGGAGACTGCAAGGCTAGGCTCCTGTTGTTTCTCTATAAATTTGAGGCAAAAACCTTGATAAGCCTCAATGCTTTAAAGCCTTGCGCATCTGTGCTTAGGACAGCTTAAGGCGTGAGACTCTTTAAAGCTGACTAATGTTTAAGCCTTATGGGTGTTTTCTTTGCGCCTTAGCACCTCACATGCCTTTAAAAAGCATATAATATCATCTATGATTGAGATACGCATGATTTGTTCTTTAACTTGTTTACTTAATTGCATGCTATCATTTAGTCAATACAAAGTTGGAAATGAAATGTGTAAACAATTTGGTGTTGTTTTTTAGGTATCGAGCCCTGAACTCTGGAAAATTTCCAACTCCTTCGGATGCTAAGAATGAAGTTGGGGGTTCTTACTACACAATCAAGAGGATTATGCAGGAAATTGAATATGAGTGGAAAATGACAACCCAGAACAAGGGAGGTACTTTAGAAGAGAGGATGTTTTGAGTAATGATGACTTAACCAAAAAAACCAAAGAGCTTCACAAAAGTCGTTTGCTATTAAATATTGATATTCATACAGGTGCTCAGATAAAGGATACAAATGTTGAAGGTCTTGAAGCAGTGGAAGTGGTAAGAACTTCAAATATAGTCGAAAAGAGTTTGTTGCATGGCATGGATAGTGTTTCAACGATGGTGAGTTGCAAATTTGCAATCTGCTTGCTATGCATTTTATTATTGTAACCAACAGTTATACTGTCGGAATATAAATATATGTGGGGCCTGAGATATGAATCACGCACATTTCAGATACACACACACAAGTTAAGATGCATAGATCAATTTTTTTGTTATATTCTTTCCCTTCTTGAGCTCTTGCACTTCGGTGTATCATTTCACATATTTAATTTCTTATTGCAAATTTTACCGTGATAGCAATACATCACCTTTTTGACCTTTTTCCATCGTTGTTTATGTCTCACTATGCTTCCAAATTAATGATCAATTTTAACCCTAAAGAATTTAAAGAAGATTTATGGGGTGTTGGTAGAGAGGAAGGAAATAAAGGGAAATTAGAAAAATAAGATCAATCAATCAATTACAGATTTCAAGATGAGATTGATTCTGGAAATTAAAGACTCAAATATCCACTACTGTAATTTTTTAAATTTTTTTATCATTATCTACTCTTATTACATATTGTGCTAGATTATAAATAATGACTTTCATAGAAGGTATTGTGAAATTAGTAGTTAATACAATTTAGGACTTCTTGGGGTTGAGTAGCCCTAGGCCACTGGGCAAGTTATCTTGAAAGGGAATTTCTTTAGGTATTTCATGTTCTTTTTTTCTTTTTCTTCTACATGTATGGTTCATCAATGTCTTGCAATTCCATAGAATATTTGTTTCTTTCTTGATCATTTCTTTCCTTGCCTCTATAGTCTATACTATCCACTCCTAACTAGTATCTGTAGTGCAAGATCTTTCAAATTTCAATTTTCCTTTTATTAAACACATTCACATTTATAACAAAAATTTGGCCCCATTTAGAAAGTTCTTTAGTGTTTTGTTGTTGCATGCTCACAAACAAGTCTAGCTGCAATTACAGGATTGCAACTCTGAACTTTTTTCAAGAAAAAGTCATCTCCTAGCAGAGGAAGTGCAGCAAACCTCAGATTCACATGGTAACAAAGCAGAGGTTCACCTAAAAGATAAGATCACCACTGAAGATGATCCAGAGTATGATAATCCAAAGCTTCTGGCTGATACACAGCTATCAGGAATGGATTTTGAGGATTCTAAAACCCAACATATCAAGGCAGAAATTGGTTCAGAAATGGCTGCTGTTGTTGATAAGACTATATTGAATGAAATGTCAAGTGCTTCAGCAAGTGAAAGTGATCTTCTAACAGTGGAAGCTAGGCATATTTTGGATTCACGGCACATGGAGACAGAGTTTAATGCGAAGCAGAAAATCACTGCTGAAGATGAATTGATATTTGATGATGTGAAACCATTGTCAGGAGTCAATGTTGAGGATTCATGTGACCAACATATCGAGGAAGAGTTAGGGCCACAAGTTTCGATTGCTGCTGAATGTGCTGCAAGAGAAAGCCACCTCTTAGTAATGGAAACTAAGCATCTTCTTGATTCACAACCTCAGAACACAGAGGCTGACCTAAATGAGGTAACCGATGCTGAGTATATGCAGAATTTTGATAGCACAAACCCACTGGATAAGCTGCACGAGTCAATAAGAACAGAAACTTCAATTCCTATTGTAAAGACTCCATTGGTGGATACAGGAAGTGATTCAGTAAGTATCAAGCCACTGCATATAACCTCCTTGGTTTTTACTGCTGAGTCCTTGCTAACGCTACTTTTCTTCTTTAATCTTAATTTTATGAGGCCCTCCTACAAAACGGTGTTTCAAATTCATGATAGCAACAAAAAGAGTGATGTTTGTGATATTCTCTAGTATTCTATTGGATGTGCACCAAATATAGAGTTGAAAATGCCTAACCTGTTAATTAAGATGACCTGTGAGGAAACTTTAGGTGGTTTGAGTAAAATAAAATGCTCCATAGTAGTTTCAGATTGTAATTGTAAATGCTTTGTAAGGGAGAGGTTCTACAATATTCATATTTGTTCTGCAACAGTTATTTTTTGTCTTTTGGACTGTAGAATGCATCCTGTCTTGTGCACATTTGAAGAAAGTTTTGTAATGCAGGAAAATGATTCTAAATATGCTACAAGTGAAATTGATCTTCTAGCGGGAGAGACTAAGCATGCTCTTGATTCACATAATGAAAAGGCAATGTATAATCTGAATGAGAAAAAATCTGCCCAAATTGAGCTCAAATCTGATGGTTGGAAGCACCTGGATGAGGAACAAAATCCCTCTGAAATACAAAAAGATACAAGGTAAGCACTAGACTAATTGATTTTGACTTTTGGAGTATGAAGGGGGCTTTATATTTCTTCTGCTATGGAGGGAATTATGTCTATACAATTAATGTTCCATGATTTACAAAATCAATTTTTTAATGGAACATGATAGGAAGTATCTCATCTTATTGTCATGTCATGATATTTTCCATGCTTATAGAATAAGTACCAAATAACACATGAAGATGACATTCTCTTAGAGACAAATATATCTAAATACATGTAAAAAATTAGAAACTTACCAGTTATCACACTTAGTTTTTCTTTGCATTTACACAGGTAAACCAAACATAAGAAAATAACTTCCCTTGGCATATTCCCCCCCTTAGCATTTTACTGGCCTGTAAATGCATGTAGTAAGGCCGACAAAAAAGACTAAATCGATTCGCTTCTATTCTTGTTGGAGATGGGCAATCTATAGATTGTAGTAGTTCGGCAACCTCTCTAACCTGATCCGGACTTACCCTAAATGTGAGAAGAATAACCTGGCACTCCATTCTCATTTCTGTAAATGACTGAACACATTTCTCCTCTTTGTTCATGTAACCGGCCCCAGGTTACTTAAAATAAGCTTTGTTGTTTTTGTGTTGGTTGCCCCTATTACATTACTGTTTACTCTTACTATGCGGGGGCACGACAACAAAACAACCTACCAATTGGAGTCCCTGCTGTGGGGCCCGGGAGGTGTATGTGGACTTTACTCTCTCGTCTTCTGACCTTCTGCCTACACCTATTATTAGTGTATTACTCTTTTTTTTTTCAATTTGCAGGGAATTGCCTAATGAGAAGGAGACTGTACAGCATAAAGAGAATCCTTCTGTATGGAAAAACCTGAAATCTTTTGCTGATGGAATCATCAGCTTCTGGAAAAAGCTATAAACTTGGGTTCATCAGGTAAGTTTAGTTGCTGACTTGGAATGACAGGTTATTCCATTGATATTAAATTTTACTGCAGTAGATTTTCAGTAGTTAGCTGTTTATTGCTATTAGGCTCCCCTCTCCTGTTTCAGGGCTTGAAATTTTGACATAGATATACAACTGAAGTCCGAAAACAGAACTGTAATATCTGTTTTTTACCCCGAGCCATCAAATTCTACCCGTAAATGTCAGTTCGTATATCATACATCCGGATGTACCGTGTTTATTCTACATTCAACATATGAAAATTTACAAGTTAAAAAATGATGAAAACCCCCTATGGCCCTTTAAAAAATGATGAAAACCCTCTAGCAATAAAAATGTATTTTAAAAGTAGAATTAGATTGACATTTTCAATGTATTTTGAAAATAATTTTTCCGACGTCCAATAATTAAAAATTACTTTCTCAGTTTTCTATTTAACTTGTTTCTAAAGTTTATTCTTTTTCATTTTTAAGAATAATAATAAAAATAACAACAACAACAACAATAATAATAATTCTTGATGGGATCTGATCTGTTATGGTCAGATCTGATTCGATTTGATCTGGTCTGGTCTAATCTGAGGAAGAATAAGAAAATAAAAAAATAAGTTGAAGAGATCGGCGCGTTAGTGTACGTATAGTTACACGTTGTGTAATGCTAATTAGATGGACACAAAAATAGGCAGGTATATTTGGATGTAAGCTATTATTTGTGGGGATGTGGATGCCTTGTTGAATCCCTATGCAAGGTGTTTTGGAGCCGTACATTGCGCTTTTGATAAGGTGTGGATATATAAAAAAAAGTTAGGGGTATCATAGACATACCCCAACAATAATTATCTGTCACATCTACCGACAATTATTATTTGATAGTGTTTGTGATACACTTGATGTGCAAGTTGGAATTAGGGTTGTAAAGCGAACGAATAATTTTGATTCGATTCGTGATTCGTATTCGAATTCAATTATTTGTATTCGAAAATTGAATACGAACGCGAATATAAATATTTATTAGAATTCGAAAGAAAACGAACACGAATACGAATGTATATGTATTCGATTCAATATGTTAATGAATATATTCGAATTTAAATATAGAAATTTATATATAATATATGTTTGCCTCATAATACATAGTACTCCGTAGGGGCAAGATTTGCCTACACACATCCTTTCCAGTACTTACTCTCGTTGGATCTAACTAGATTGTTGCTGTAGACATGTCATTTTTAGTACCCTATTAATTTTGGAAAAAAAGACTAAAGTAAAAGTAAACATTGAAAATAAATAAAATAGGAGATATATTTTTATTTTCGAAATAGGAGTTATAATGCATTTACAGTGTTATTCATGACCATGTGCATTACTAAAAAGTATTGTGAATTGTTCATATGCAGTGTCACATTACCACAGTGAGAATTCCATATTTTAAAGATAAATTATGGAGTTCATATTTTGATACTTTCTTTATATTTTACTCCTATTTAAATTGATTTTTTTACTAGTTTTTGAAGCTATAAAATGTAAAAAATAAAAAATCGTATTTCATAAAAGAATACGAATATGAATATTTGAATTTAATATTAAATCGAATGCGAATAGTAATAATTATTTAAATAAAAAAACAAATATGAGTATGAATAATGCTATCATTTTACAAATATGAATAAAATTTCATAATATTCGATTCGTTCCTCTCACAACTCTAGTTGGAATACAAACTTGATATATACCTAATACACCTCCTATATTACTTTAAGATTACACTCTGAATAAATAAATGGTCAAAGTCTGGGTTAGGATATTTCTGTCTTCTTTTTAAATTCTCTATCAAATCGATTTTTTTTTTCAACTTCTCACAATAATTGTTCCTGTCATGTGAATACAAATGTGCAATACTCCTTACGGAGTACGGACATGGTAAAATTGCTCAAATCGAGGAGCACAGCTGCCTATGAATGACTTATATTATTGTTTGCTTGCACGCTCTTCAATGTTTCCTACGTTACTCTCTTATTACAAATTTCACCTCTAAAGGCAAAATCCGTCACCCCGAGCGCCCCTCACCCCCTACCTAACGGATTTATGAGAGGATGTAAATTATAGTGACTCAACCAATAAAGATTGGGATCACTGCTCACTGAGCACATGGAGCCCCCCACTCATTTTTTGAGAGGTTGCTCCTACACTGCCGTTGGTAAGACTTCATCCTCGATCTTTTGTTCTAAATTCCACCTCGGAGATCAAGTGAGCCGCCTATGTGGGTTCCTACGTTTCTCTTAGATAGAAAGGATGTTTTTCGTGAAAATTTCTCCGTGATACTCTTGAATTTATGATAATTTTCATGTCTCACGCAACCTGAAATATGTTTTAGTGTATTATCAATTTTCTGGTAAGAACTTTGAGGTACCATATTATTCAAAATATACCCTGAGATCCTAAAAGTTTGTGATATTCTACCCTGATGATACATTCTGTCTATTTAGGCATTATGATTGAAAGTTCCTATACTTTGTTAAATTAAAAGATTCTATTGTAATATAATAAAATAATGATTATCAAGATAAAATTTAGGATTTGCCAAAGTACTTGAACTATTAATCCTAATGGCCAGATTGACGGAATATACTCTCGAAGTACATTACTACTAATTTGAAGGATTTTCAAAGATCTAAGAGTTCTTACTAAAAATTGAGTGACCTTCAAAGTATATTCCACATAATGTGTGGCCTTCAAATGTATATTAGAGAACATTGTCTATGATGTTTTTCTATATATATGTCTATTTGTTAGTTGTTAATAAATTATCCATACGTCCTAAAATAATTTTCTCATTTCAATTTACGAGGTTTGAGTGAAATTATTTTCAATTCAATTTATTTGATTAAAGATGTGAAATTTAAAAAATAAAAGTTATATACTTTAAAACTACATCAAAAGTTCTACTTTATTAAATAACTAATGAAAACAAATAAAGAAAGTGATTAAAATTTGACCATGTCAATAGTTACTAGAAACATTTGTTTAGAACGGAGGGAATAATTAATAACTACTTCCTCCATTATATATTAATTGTACATTAAACTTTTGAGGTAATTTTTAATTATATAAATTTTATTTCTAAATTTAATTATTCTAGTGAAATTAAATGAATTGAAAATGAATTTCATCAAACCTCGTAAATTTAAATGATAAAAAAGTTTTAGGCCGGATAGGGTGAAATTTATTTCAACTTTTTTTTCAATTTCTTCCTACCCTTTTATGTTCTTTCTAGTTTCTTCCCATTTTATCCAATTCACTCCGGTTTATTCCGACTTCTACCTTTTTTCCAATTCTTATCAATTTTTCCAACTTTTTTCATTTTGTTCAAATTGTCCTTCTGGTTTGTTCGAACATTCAACACCATTTTTCCAAAACAGTTTTAAATTTCATAAATAGTCATTCATAACAATTGATTTTCTATATATGATCCCTAATTATAAGATACTCCCACCGTCCCTAAATATTTGCCACACTTGTATTCCGAGGTAAAATATCAAGTTTTTTTCAATTCATTTTATTTACATATTGGTATAGAAATAAAAAAAAATTTACATATCAAAAAACTGCATGAAAAGTTCTTCGAAATAAGAGTTGTCAAGAATATTTTATTTTATCAAATAACCAATAAAAATGTAGAAATAAACAAAAGTTCTCGCGACTGCTGAAAAAGCAAATGTTGTAAATATTTTAGGATGGAAGGAGTATTATGCTTATGATCATCTATTTTTGAAAATTATTCTATAATCAGTAGTTTGAATTAAATATTTTTTTCCACATATAATACTTAAGGGACTTATAATGAAATATTTATCAAATATCAAAAACTACGATTGTAATATTTTAGAATTGAGGCTATGTGGAAGATCTCTTGTTGCAAAATAATAAAATATTTCTATTTCTCAATGATTTTGGTATGTGTATACAAGAGTGTTTATACATGATGAAGGATTGGGCCAAGAGTTTCTCTAGAGTGTTTTGAGAATTCTAGAGTAAATGTAATAAATAATAATTAATATATACATATAATTAAACATAATAAATATTATATTTAACATGCTCCCAGCTATCTAGGTGGTACTGAGCAAACTCCAAGATTGTCTCTCAAATCAAGGAATAGCAGAGATGATAATCCCTTTGTGAAAAATGTGTCTATATTGTGAGGATGATGAAACATATAGAACTCGAACCTGACCCAAGGCGACCTTATCTCGGACAAAGTGGATATCTACCTCCACATGTTTGGTTCTTTGATGCTCAACAGGCTTAGAGGAAAGATAAATTGCACTCACATTATCACAAAAGACTAAGGTGGCACGATGTAATGGTTGGTGAAGTTCCAGCAACAAATTTCTTATCTAGTCTCAGCTATAACGTTTGACAATAATCAATCATTGATTTTGTGCCTTTGACGGTAGTGCAACATTGCCGCTCAAGTTGCATCCCTCTTGTGTTCTTGTTGTCGTGAAAGAGATCGTGAATTGCTTTCCATAATCTAGCGGCGGTGTCATGAGAGGCAATAATGAGATCGGACACTTCATTGGTGACCATCGAAAGGATCCACCCTTGAAGAAGGGCATCAAATTGGACCCATTCCGTGTCATTGTCACAGGAGGGTTTTGTGTCGCTGGTAGGGAAACCTTGGAGGTTGAAACGTCGCATGAGAAGAAGAAAAAGACGACTCCATTTTTTGTAATTGGGGGCCGAGATGCTAAGTTGAATGGAGATATGAAGTCAAATAAGCTATTTATTGACGTGCGCTATAATTAAGTCAAATAAGGTATTAATTTTATTATTAACTTACTATTATTAAAAAATTAAAAATTAAAGATTCACATATTACCTTTTTAATTATACACAGTACAATTAATAATTATTACTACCTCTGTCCCAGTGTATTTGTCTAGTTTGACTTTTTCGAGTCAAACTGGACAAACTTTGAACTCCAATTACTCTCAATTTATATTGCATATTAGCATAATGAAATACAATTTTGAAAGTTTTGTAACACCCTAATCCGTCCAAGTCTGCAGTCCCTATCGGCCTAAAGTATTGATTTGGTAATCGTGATAATTTAAAACATTTCAAACATTTTTATTATAAATAAATAATATTCCATACATAATTGTAGAGAAATACGGAGTGTTTAAATAAAATGCGGAAGTGACTTTAAAATATGTCTCATAACAACATAATTATTTATTTCATTCAATAATCCACCATGACTGTCTTGCCCCTTCCGCTTCCAGGAATATGCCAGTCATTCATTCTGTTTACCTGTGTGTAGCAAATAAAACACACTACACGTTCAGCGGTGAAGCTGAGTAAGCATATCTAAAGCGTCGAACATCCACATAAATCGAATCTCAATTCATAATCAACCATTTGATATCATGCACACAATATATGATTCAAACATTCATGATATTCTCAATATTTTATTCCAAGTCATTTGATATTCAATATCTCAACAATGCTCTTAAATTATTTTTAATATAAGGCCACATCATTTATGATCAACTCTTAGCTATTCCTAGTCTAATGCAATATTTCTAACCAGACCTTCAAACTATAACTAGTTTAATGCAGAACACAAGAATCGATAATCCACCCTATGAGTCATGTGGATTACGTACCAAACCGAACAGTGAACTGTCGGGTAGGTGATATCCGGTCTGGATCCCGTACGTACGTTTTAACCCCAAAATATGAATGGGTCAAGTAGGTATATCTTAGAGTTCTTCTAGATATCCTTAATAATCATCATCATTATACATGTGTGTATATATTAGAGTTCTTCTAGATATCCTTAACAATATACACTGTTTTTATGATCACCATTGCTTTCACTTTTAATCATCAATAATCATTCTAATCAATAGGTTTATCATTCATACTTATCCATAATAATTATTCATCATAATGATCATTCAACATAACATTTAATAACAATTAACGGCCTAGTCTCGAGTGTTAACACCCGAACTTATCGTCATGCATCACATAATGTTTTATATGCCAAAAAATCATTTTTATTGTACAAAATTATATTTATATTGTTCATAATCAATTGGTATTAAAAATAGGATTTCCTAGCTCAAAAACCATGTTTTCTGAACAATAATCGATTAATATATGATAGAAAAATCGATTAATTGCTACTGGCTTCAATTTCTTCAGTGGAAAAATGCAATAATCAATTTTTATTATTAAATAATCGATTTTTATACTTGATAATCGATTTTTATAGTATAAAAATTGATTTTTCCTCTGCTGGATTCGTTTTCTTCAGCAGACGAAAGTCTAATCGATTTATTTATGAAAAAATCGATTTTTGTATCGTCTTCTACCTCGAGCCAAGTTTCGGAAATGTCATTTTTGGTCACCAAACTTCAATTAAAGTATATAGAAAGGTTTTCCAAAGTTCATAGATCATTTTGGTACCATTAGTTCAAAGTTTTAACAACAATTTCAAGGTTTATGATTCTTGGTTCTTCAAACATGTCAAACAAAAAAAACTCAACCAAATGACCATTTATGAACGTAGGAACGACCTATATGAACATTCTAGTCATTAGATATATCTACGGGTTTACCTCGAAGCTTATAGAAGGTTTTGAGAATTTTCCGGCGAAACTTCTGGCGAGGTTTGTGGCTAGCTCCGGCGGCTTCACACCAAATTGACAGCACAATTGAACTCTCTACTTCACCATGAACACAATGGTACTAATTCTAAGGAGATTGGTTAAGAAATGAGAAGAATGGAGTTTCTTATATAGCAAGAGGAAGAGGAAGAAGACATGGGAAGCTGAGTTGCTGCTGCGTAGGATTCCCATTTCACGATTCATTCGGCGATAAAGAGATTCAGCACGTTACTCCCTGATTGGGACTAATTTTGGTCCCAGTCGGGGTATACTTTTTTGTCCAACTTTCTCCGAATTGAAATCCGTTTGTACCGTTCCGATCGTGCGATTAAACTCTATCGAACGATAAAAATTTTATATTTATTCGTTATACTTTTTCCGACATCATATCTTTGGTGTTTGACTTTGCAGAGTCAAAATTGATTTGTTTGACCTTTACTCAATAAGGTGCTCATATTCAATTCATATTATTTATTCTCATGATTTATTTCCATAAACCATTTCAAAGTTCATATCATAAACACATTATTCATTTATTCTTGATTTTGGGTCTGCTAAATTGCACGGTATGATGTACTCCCTACGTCCCTGAGTATTTGTCCACTTTTGACTTTTTCTGGTCAAAATTGGCAAACTTTGACCTCAAATTAAATAAAAATGAAAGTAGATATTAATACAAAAAGAGTTTTATTAGATTTATTATATCAAGTACTTTCAAAATATTATTTTATTTAATTAAAATACAATATATATTTTATTTAATTATAAGTCAAAGATTGAAAACAGTTGACCGAAAAAAGTCAAAACTAGACAAATACTCAGGGACGGAGGTAGTATATGGTAAATTATCTTTGTTTCCTTTTATGTTACCCACAATCAAAGTCAGGCATTTAAAACAGTTTTGCACACTAAGGCCTCATTTGGTACACGGAATTCAAACTATGGAATTGGAATTGAGGATTTCAATTCCAATTCTGGTGTTTGGTAGTACAAAAATTATGTGAATTTGGAATTGATAGTGCAAAAAATGAATTGGAATTTGGTGATTTCAAATCTATGGAATTGAATCTCATTGAATTTAAATTACAATTCAATTCCAATTCCATTAATTCCATATACCAAACGGACCCTAACCATTTAACTTGAACACCTACCATTTATATTGTAAACACATGGGCGGGAATTCCATGGTCAAGAATTCACCTCTTTTTAAATAAAGGGTAGATGATTTTGGTATGTGTATACAAGAGTATTTATACATGATGAAGGGTTAAGCCAAGAGTTTCTCTAGAGTGTTTAGAGAATTCTAGAGTAAATGTAGTAAATAATAATTATTATATACATATAATTAAATATAATAAATATTATATTTAACACTTGTAATGGAAGATTTTTTTATAGAAACTACTCTTTAATTTTTTCTAGCTCTTTACTTTTAAAAATATTTTAAAATTGAAATGTAGTTTTTATTATAATAGAAATTTACTTAAATAGAACTAAAACATAATGACTTTTTCAATATAGGACTATATGTTTTTATTTCTCATTGTAGGACCTTTGGTCATTATTCATTAGTCATTATTTAAGTAAATGTCCACCATCACTGGACACTAATTCTTCCACTAGACTGTATTAAGTCCTAGTTAGAGAATAAAAAAGTTTAAGTCTTATATGGAGAAATGATTTATGTTTTAGTCGGTACAAATTTCATTCATTACAACGTAGACTATATGTTACACATAATTTACAAATAAGTATGGCCCCCCGTTTTTAAAACGCAATAAATGTATTTGGAGTTTGTTTTTTTTAAAACCCAATAAATGTATTTGGAGTTTGTTTGGGTGAAAGTATAACAGAAAAAAAGGTAGCAGAGGCTTATCATGTTGTTGAAAAAAAGACAAGTCAAAGAGCTGATACAAAATTGACTGTTGTTTATTTTGTCCTCTTTTTCCCCAAATTCAATAATGTTTATGAGGTTTCTGTTGTTAGTTGATAGCCCCATTCTCTCGGCTCGTCACTTATCCTTTGTTTGTTGGATATGATATGAAATTATGAATAAAGCTACTTGCAGGCCAATTTGTGTAGAAGAGAGCATCCACCTCTTACTCTCTCGAATTCTTCGAAAATTGAATACTTTATCTCTGAACACTAAAAAGTGCACAAAATATCATTGAATTCTTTAGAAATTACACGGTTTCCTTCTGAACATTAAAAATTGCATCAAATATCCCTAAATTCTTTAGAAATTGCACGTTACCCCTAAACCTTTAAATAAGGACGATAATTTTGGAAAAAGACACTTTGGAGACTTCACAAGTGCTAGATGAATCATACTCGCAATTTACGTGCGTGGAGCAATGCACTCCCTATCTAGCATTTTAGGACCAACTCTGCAACGTTTTAAATTGTTTAGGGGTAAATCGTACAATTTTCAAAGAGCTCGAAGGTAAATGATACATTTTTTAATATTTAGGGATAAACTATATAGTTTCCAAAGAATTCAGAGATAAACAGTGCACTTTTCTCATTTGTAGAACAAAGGTTTGCATTTACACTCTAATGACACAAAATGGTTGTGCAATCACAAAATTTTGCAATCACATTTTGTATTAATGTGTCGCTTCTCGCTCCAAACCTTTAGCATGCACCTACCATGGTTGAGAAATTACCAACTGCTTCCGTTCACCAAAATAATACCTCTTTCATTTTTTTTCTCTTCAACCAAAATAATTTCACTTTCTAGCTATTGAGAGTTTGAAACATTTGAGAGAGTTGTGTTTGTAATGTTTTGAAATCACATGAATTTTATAAGAGTTAAATGCATAAATGGACTTGTGGTCTTTCATAAGTAGGTAAATTGTCATATTTTCAAAATTTACAAAATAGTCCATATGGTCAAAGAATTGTTACATATATAATTAGTCTTTCCTTTAGGTAAAACGTGAACCACACAAAACACACACTTACTATGCAGAAATCTGAAGTACTAAACAAAATAAATTTGCTAATCTGATAAAATTACTCTCGTCTTCGTAATTAAAAGAATGGAAGGTAGGGTCTTCTTTCACCTCTATTAGCTCACGATAACTTAGAATAAAGATACTTGAAAAACCAAATAATGTTAAACTCATTTAGAATATTGTATTACTATTCAAGAAGATCACTATGAAATACGATATAAAAAAAGTTGCTTTGAGAGTTGAATTAAAAGATAGAAGACAAATAGACAATGTACTACGATACATGATTATAAATCACAATGAAAAGCTTAAATCAATTTTTTTTATTGCACGTTTCAAATCTTTGTATAATACGTGTGTGTTAAGTTCTACGTTTTTCATGTTTTTTATAAAGGAAGCTAAGGATTAAATATGCAACATTTCTTTGACAACAAGGACTATTTTACCATTTTTAAAAGTTCGAAAAATATTTACTCACTTCTGGAGGACGGCGAGGGCTATTTATGCATATTACTCATTATAAAACTAGATTTTGAAAAGAGAGGGAAAATCTGGTACTCATTTCATAAATCACATGGGGTATTGGAGCTATTAGGCCATATTTTTTAAAGGACCATGCTACACTTACAACAAAAAATGTATCCCAATTGTACACCACAGTTATGCACAAACATTTTGATGATTTACACCGACACAAGTGCCAGTGCGTTAACAAAAATTTACACGGACACAAATGTTGGTGCGTTAACAAAAATTAGTTTTACACCAACCCAAAATGTTGGTGCAAACCTGCAGGGTACAAATTGGGGTATAAATGTTATCTTCTATAGCCTACCTATAGTTATCCACCACTGATTTGTAAACAGCCTACCTATAGTTATCTTCTATTTATAAATGATTTTGTATTATAGTTTACAGTCTCTGCAAGCATCAGGTGCAAGATCTACTTTTTTGCATCAATCTGTAATCAAAGTGTAATTTACCTCTTCTTAGTAACTGTCTGATCGGGTCTGAGGGTCACACTGAGAGTGCTGTCTGTGAGAAGATAGTGTACACTTGAGATACACTACCTTTGGGTGCACTTACCAAATGAGAAATCACCCTAAACAGAACTAAAACATAGAAAAGTACCAAAATATAGGAGTTTCATTTTTTTCGAAATAGGAGTTCGCACTGTGGTAATGTGGCACTGTACATGTGTGCTTACTATACCTTTTGGTAATGTACATGACCATGTTTCGTAATGTAAATGCATTTTAACTTTTTTTCAAGAACAAAAACATGGAAGTCTTATTTTGATATATTTTCAGTGTTTTAATCCAAGTTTGATCTTTGTCCGGTATTTCATCCCTTTTCATATATACAGAGGAGCTCGGTATTTCATCCGGTTGTCATCGATCACAATGATTATTTTTGCACATATTGCCCATCTGTGAATCAAATTATTAATGTCTTCAATTACATTTCAGATAAAATTATTTAAAGATTGATATTATGAAATCTTTTATCAAGATAGATTTAAAAAGGGAGAATTCCCTAAATATGAGTAAGTATGAAATATCAAAATGAGAATCATAGTATTTTAATACAAATTAAACATTGTCAAGTATCGTAACTGTAATGTGAAATTGTCACACTATCATTTATCATCAGGTTGTCTCCACCAATTGCCATAGCGTCATGTCAACATAGACCATTGTTACCAATAGTTGATCAGTAGATGACTCGATTGTGCGGTCGACTAGCGGTTGGACGGCCAGTCAACTTTATTTTTACTTCGTATTGTTTTTAATATGTCATCGCATTCCTATACTACACTGTCATCAGATTCATACTTGTAAAATTAAACTATGTCCAACACAATTTTTTTTCTAAAAACACATAGACAAAAAGTGGGGGGATAATTAGCCTAGCTAGCTAGGTAGATTATACATATTGTTGTAAGCAAAGCATGGATCCATATCCAAACATCTTACACCGTTGGTAGCCGGCAATACACATTTGACCGACTACCATAGCCAGCTAATTCCAGCAGAATACTTGAAGTACAAAAGGCTTAGTGAGGTATGGCAATAGGAGCTAGATCTAAATATAGAAAATATATATATATATACTTTTGAAAAAATATTTTAAGTTTGTCTTGATCGAAAGATTAATTAAGAAAAATGAAATTATATGGTCGAAGTATTGCAAAGAAATGGAAAATAATAGTGGTTACAAAAAGTTTTCCAAATGTGAAAAATGTATTTCACAAATATAAAAAAAAGATATTTCTACAACTTCTGTTGCCGATAGAATCAAGCAAAATTATTAGGGTCGGGGTAAATAAAGAAAGTAAATTTTGGGAAGGGTATTTTGAAAAATTCAAAAAAGATAGATGATTCCATACTTGCAGTTTGTGTGCGTGGACTGTGAGGAACATTTCAGGACCGACGGTGTAACATTTTAAATTGTTTATGTTGGTACACTTTTTAATGTCTAGAGGTAAACCGTGCAATTTTAAGAGATCGATCGGGGGTAAACGGTGCACTTTAATTTCTTGATTCTGAAACGCGAGAAATGATTTTGAGACGAGAAGAAGTTTTAATTCCAAAGCTAAAAATGAACGAGAAAAATATCAACATCATCCTCGAGGGCCCCTCAGAACTAACAGGACAGTAATTAACTTGAGAAGATGTAAATAGAGTTATAATTACAGATTGACTCACGGTTTGGCAAAAGATATGGTTGGACTTTGTACTTGTAGAACCTATGTTTAACATAATTATCTTCTAACGCATTTAAAAACCACTCTTGAGTTATCCCTTATTCAAAAATTTTAGAAAAGATATCATTTCTCGGGGAGAATTCATAGTTAAGGTGTAGTTCTTTCTCTAAGCCATTTTTGTTATAAATGAAGTAGTTAATGCTCCACATGTGCTTCACTTAAGCTCGACACGAGTTCCATATCGATTATTTTGAGTTAAGTACTCTTTTAACAATCATGCTACACTTACACCAAAAAGTATACTTCAAAGTTACACCAAATGTATGTACTAACATTTTGATGGTTTATACTGACACAAAATGCTAGTACATTAACAAAAAAATTTGTATTAACATTTTGTGTCTGTATGAAATATCACCCTAGCATTACACTGTCACAAAATGAAGGTGCACACCTGCAATGTACAAATTAGGGTACAAATCATCATGGGGGACAAATAGCTTAATCCAAGAGCAATGCTAGGGGTACACCAAAAGTGTATCACATTTGTCCCCCACCCCTTTCTCCACCATTCAATTTTATTTTATTTTTATTTTTATTTATTTAATTTTTTTTGTTTTTTTCCTTTTTTGTGGTGATGGAGGGGACGAGGGACAAATGGGGTACACCTTTGGTGTGCCCTAGCATTTTTCTTAATCCAACCCTTCAAAGAACTTTTCATTAAAGATGCTCTATATTAATAGAGAAAAACTTTGTAGGATTAAACTATTTGTACACTAAAATTTGTGACTACTTTTGTACCTCAAAGGCATGTATCGACATTTTGTGCTAGTGTGATATTAGTGTGATGAGTTACATCGGCAAAAAATATCAGTGTAATTTTTTTAATTAAATGAATCTTTTCTGCCCGTGTGAACCGTTAAAATGTCGGTGCAATTCTTTGGGATATATCAAAAGTGTAGCTTGTTGAACTCTTTATATTCTTATAAAAGACAACATTTTGGGTCCACCATAATATATATACTTCCTCCGTCTAAAAATAATCTTTAGAAAAAGTATTTTTACAGAAAAAGGAAATGTGAAAATAATTTGTAGACAGATAAATTATAATTATGGACAGAGGGAGAAGAGAGTACTATATACTCCCTCTGTCCACAAATAAACTTTACATTGCGCGTTACGATGTTTGACTGAAGTTATTTTCAAATCATTTTATATAAAAAATGGTGTAGAATTGAAAAATAAAAATTACATACTACGTATTAAAAAACTATATCAAAAGATCTACAAAATTAGAGGTGACATGACTATATTATTTTATCAAATGGGTGACGAAAATAGGCCAACAAAATGAATAAAGTTTGACCCTGTGAATAATGAACGTAAAGTTTATTTGTGGACGGAGGGAGTATATATATAGGCCTAGGATAAGAAAGAAATAGATAGAGCCATAGCTAGGAAACCAAACAAGCTAAGGGGTAATTAAGGAAGGAATAATAAGAATGGGAGGGCAACGCTTGTTTGGTTCGTCCTCGTCGTCGTCGTCGTCTTTCCTGCTACTGATATTAGCGGCGGGATGCCTCAACATTGGCCTCGCATCCGGCGGCCGGACGGTGAGAACAACGGCGGAGAACAGTGGAGAAGATGAAACGATAATGAGTAGCCGCCTTCTCCTCCGCCGCAGGAATCTTATCGCCAACGGACTTGGTGCCACTCCTCAAATGGGGTACGCAATAGTCTCTCAATATTATATTGTTGAACATCAACTATAATTAATTAAGTGAAAAAGATTTTATAAAATGAATTTAAAATCAATTTTATTTAATTAGTGGTTAAAATTTGTCAATTTTAATTATAAAAGGTTAAAATAGGACAAATAATTACGGGCTACACTAAACTTATATACTCTCTCCGTACTAGAATATTTGTCACATTTACTGTTTCTACAATCACGAGAACTTTAATATTAGTATATACATCATACTACTTCCTCTGTCCCCATTTTAATTACAAAATAGATTTTAGGAGATAAAATTTCATAGTTTTTTAAAATCTTTTTGTTTACGAATTGGCACATCCATGAGAAATAAAAATTACTCCGGTACATGTTAAAAAATTACATCAAAATTTCTGCAAAAACAGATGACAGGAATATTTTATTTTATCAAATAATGATTGAAAATGCACAAATAAACAAAAATTATCCATCGAGAAGAGAGATGAAATAAAATTATAATAAAAATGGGGGCGAAGAGATATAAAATAATAGGTCATGATTATATATATTATTTAAGAAATGATTAACGAAAATGAATAAATAACTATATTTGGATTTCGTATGTGTGTTAAATTAGATTCGATGTTTAATGTTGAATTGCGTGCAGATGGAGTAGCTGGAACCACTTCGCCTGCAACATCGACGAAGATTTATTCCGACAAAGTGGTAATTATCATTATAACTATAATTAGTTGTGTTATCGTGGTCTTAAACTTTTTGAACTATTCACAAGGTCAAACTTTATTCACATTGTTGGCTCATTTTCGTTACTCATTTGATAAAATAATATAGTCTGTCATATCTAGTTTTGTAGGTCTTTTTATATAGTTTTGTAATATGTAATTTTTATTTTTAAATTTTATAACATTTTTCATATAAAATGATTTAAAAACAACTTCAGTCAAACATCGTAACGCGCAACAGAAAGTTTATTTGTAAACTGATTGGAGTTATGTATTAATGTCTATAAAATAAATATGGACGACCCAAAGATCACAAGAGAATTTACGCATTATAAAATCTACGGAGTATTTTAATTCAATGTATTAGATTTTGATATCATAGTCTGACATAATAATTCTTCCGTTGCTGAAAATCTTTCTCCTTTCTTTTTTCATCTGTCTTAAAAAACATTTTTCATTTCTATTAAAAAGTCACTTTTACCCCTACCAATTCTTAATCTATCTATCACATCACATTTATTTACTATCAATCTACCCATCATATCTTACTTTTACTTATGACATCGCAAGACATTTTTGGAAATTCAACACCAAAATACGCTTCCATTAAATCTCTTATAAATTAAAAGCTCTCACGCTTTCAGGGACGGAGGGAGTATGTTTTACTCCGTATAGTAAACAAACAAAAAATTGACACAATATGTTTAACTTTGTACATATATTCACAAATAATGATTTTTTGTACGACCAAGATGATGATTGTCTATACATATTTATTGTCTTCATCCCGCAATAATATTCGACATTTCCTTTTTTGTTTGTTTAAAAAAATCACTTTCCACAATTAATTTTTTTAATTATTACCATTTCTTTCTCCTATGTACCATATACAAATATGACAAAAAAAAGACTTTTTTTTAAATACTGAAAGTGACAAAGAAAATATTTAAATGACAATATTTAATTGGTACTTTATTTATTATGGGTAATGATTTGGGCTGGTTTATGAATTTGGGCAGCCGATGCAATGGTATCCACCGGACTTGCTGCTCTTGGTTATCAATATGTCAATTTAGGTAATTAACCTTCAAACACATTTATGTATTTCTTAATTAAGCTTATTTTTATTATTTAATTTTCTCTCATAATCAGCTCCTAAATTATTTTCCTTTTTTCTAAAATTTATACTCAGATGACTGTTGGGCCGAACTAAATAGAGACTCTAAGGTACGTGCACTATAATAATAATAATGATAATAATAATAATAATAATAATAATAATAATAATAATAATAAATAATAATGTCTGCTACTACTAGGGGAATTTAGTTGCGAAGGCTTCGACGTTTCCATCGGGAATGAAAGCGCTCGCGGATTACGTTCATAGTAAAGGATTGAAGCTTGGTATTTACTCTAGTGCTGGGTACGTAATAATCTTATGTATATAAACGTGATACGTGACAAATATATAGTTTTCGTACCGAAAATATTAAAGAAAGAATAATGAGCTAATAAAAATTAAATGTATGTATGCATTCAGGAACATGACGTGCAGCAATCGTATGCCCGGGTCACTCTGGTACGAGGACCAAGATGCAAAAACTTTTGCATCTTGGGAAATCGATTATTTGAAATATGACAATTGTAACAACCAGAACATCAGTCCTAAAAAGAGGTATAATTTTCGTCATTTCTTTTTCGTCCGTCCTAAAAAAATTAAGAGCAAATATATGCTGCTCAATTAAGTTAGATTATTGTTCATAGTTAATTAATTCTTAATTAATTAAATAATTTTGGATGGGAAATAATTAAATAGGTATCCTAAAATGAGCAAAGCGCTACGAAAGTCGGGAAGGGCCATCTTTTATTCTCTATGCGAATGGTGTGTGCATCCATTCATACATTTTTATTTTCTCTTCTTTTATTTTTTTCATACATATAATAAATAAATAAAATATCGAAAACATCGACTAAATATGAAAAAATAAATTGTTTATAAATAATTATGTTACGTTAGGGGTGACCAAGATCCTGCCACTTGGGCACGATCTGTAGGCAATAGTTGGAGAACCACCGGAGATATTCAAGACACTTGGGAAAGGTAATTTTAAACTTATTTTGGTATGTTGAGTTCAAACATTATTACTAAAAATTCGTGCATGTAAATTATCATAATACTAACAATATTATTTTTGATATAATAAGATTAATAATAATAATAACAATAACAACATTATTATTATGACTATTATATGCAGCATGACGACTCTGGCCGATCTGAATGATAAATGGGCAGCCTATGCCGGTCCTGGAGGATGGAATGGTTAGTACTCTACCAATTTTTTGAATTGGGTGAGGATTACTGGATTGGGATAAGACACTTAGACTGAAGTAAATTAAAAGATTGAACTGAATTGGTTAACCAATTTGACTCAAGATTTTTTTAGATTTTTTTTACAGTGATTAAAATATTATTTTTAGATTAGAAGGGTATTTTGAAAAGCATAGTAAAAATGATTTTGTTAACAACGGATTACTATTTTTGGATAGCTAATGATTGCTTTTAGTAGTAATAATGACTTTGTTAATTAAATCAAACAGATCCAGACATGTTGGAGGTTGGAAATGGAGGCATGACTACTGAAGAATATCGCTCTCATTTCAGCATTTGGGCTTTAGCCAAAGTAACTTTTCCTATTTTACCCTACATCACAAAGTTGAATTATATGTCATAATGTCCCAAAAAAATTTACTCGAAAGAAAGTGTTAAAATGTAAAAAATGTATAATTAAAATTTGTTTAGATCAACGAGATAGAAAAAATTTTGTGAGCAACATATTTGTTACATAAAAAAAGAAATAAAATACGTGACACGCTTCTTGGGCCAACCCAAAAGAAAAAACGGGTAAAAAAGTTGGAAGGAACGAAGAGGATATAATAATGTCATGATCAACTTGTCCTAATTTTTTCATCACACAGATACGCACCGACAACGGCTATATGCGTGTCATAGGTGCGTATATGTGCGGGAGAGATATTATGGCATGACTTAATTTACCTTTTTCTAGTGTTTTTTTGTAATTCCATCACTCGGCTCAAAGCATAGCTAGATGTACTCAAGGTTGGGTATTGTTTTCTTTGTGCAAATATTATTAGGCCCCTTTGGTGATTGGTTGTGATGTTAGGTCAATAGACAACACCACCTTTGACATCTTAAGCAATAAGGAGGTCATTGCTGTGAATCAAGGTATATTTATTATTATTATTATTATTATTATTATTATTATTACAATTACTGGGTTTACTATTGAGGTTATCTAGCTTGTCTCGTAATAAAGAGCTGAAATTATTACGCATGCAGATCCTCTCGGTGTTCAAGGGAAAAAAGTAAAGAAGGATGGCGATCTGGAGGTAAAGAAATCTAACTCAATATATCTAACGAAAGAACTATACATTGTTCGTCGCGTTAAAGTTAAACACAACTAGACAAACAAAAGACGAAACCAGTTCCAGACGTGCGCAACCATTGATTAGCCTTGACAATTAGACCGTATTTGGCTTGAAAATCCCGGCCTGTGGTCAAGTCCAATCAGCGAGCGCCACGCCAAGTCACTTGCTCACGGAGCAAGTGACCTATCTCCATCTACTTTCTTTCCTTCTTTTTTTAATAAACCATTAAGACAATTGTAATACATCAAAGAGTAAATGAATGCAGACATACATCATGTCTAGATACAATCATTTTTTGATGTATCAAGAAAGCCACAATGTACAACTAAAAGTGAGGGAAAACGTTGGAGGAGCAACGAGTCAACGAATGGAAACATTTTATTTTACAGGTTTGGGCAGGTCCCCTGAGCAAGAAGAGGACAGCGGTGGTTCTATGGAATAGAGGAGGAGGAGAGGCAACCATTACTGCTTACTGGTCGGACTTAGGCCTCAAACCGTCCACCGTTGTCAATGCCCGAGATCTATGGGCTGTAAGTTCTTTCTTTTCCTTAATCGGTCATCTGTTGGTATTATACTCACATTACAGAGATGACACCAATGAAGTTTCACACACAATGATTGTCTACTGTCCCCGGTGATGACAACTTTGGTGTCATCACTGAGGTTAAAGTAACATTTGCCTTGGTTTTAACAAAAAAAAACTAGGGACACTTCATGTTTGACACCATAGTGTCTTACAGACAAATGAATTGCTTGTGTGACACTATGGTGTCTGGTGTTAAAGGTGAGGGGTTCCCCTAGCATGGTCAGGTTATAAATGATTCACCTTCGTTCTTCTTCGTCTTTGACTTTGACAGCATTCAACTCAGAAAAAGGTGAAAGGGAAGATCTCTGCTAGTGTCGCCTCCCATGGCTGCAAGTTTTATGTCCTCACTCCAAACTGAAACCCGCCCAATTTAATGGCACCACCAGAAGAGGCTAGGGTTCCCACATTGCACCGTTATTTTTTATAAACATTACATGTTGGAAGCAATAACAATAATAATGATAACAATAACAATAACAATAGTTAGAATGCAATAAAGTTTGTTTAGAGTATTATCATATACTCCGTATTTCGTATGTGTACCAAAATCATCCAATAAGTAAAAGTTTGTTTGGTTTTGACCCACAACAATATATTAAATGGATTTTGTTTCTGTCAGTGTATCATATTTACCTATCTATCTATCTATCACAGTACTACTTAACTAAATGCAATAGCTAAAAAGATGCTCAAAATGAGAATGAATCTGATGGGATGCCATATGGAAGATAGGAGGGTTAAAGATGGTGGTGACAAAAATGATCATGAAGCGAAGTTGAGAGAATATATACATATACTTGTTCTGTCTCGTAAAAAAGTTCACTCTTTGTATCCGTTTCAAAAAACTTCACTTCCTTTTTAAAGAATTGAATCAGTGCCTCAAGTCTCTTCTCTCTCCTCTTACCACTTTAACCATAAAGTTTTCACCATTCAACGCTTTTTTTGAACTCCATAAAACTCAAACTAGGAAGATTTTTATGAGACGGAAGGAGTGTGTGTGTGTACACACACACACACATATGGAATATAATCAATATATAAAGAAAAAAATAAAACAGGTGTTGAAATTTTTGGACTATCATCAATTTCTGATAATGGTTATCAACCAATGATATGACAGTATGAGTTGAAGAGAAGTAGAAGAAAACTCACTACAACACAAGTTGGTGTTTGTTGCATTCATTGTTGTTGTTGCCCTCTCATTTTCTCTACAATGTGTCTTCCCTTCACTTCAATATGGCGTCTCTTCTCTTCGAACTTTTCACCCATTTTCTTGCCTAGGCCAAGCATCTTGGCTTTGGTACTCCCTATCCGTTTCGGTTCTGCAACATGTTGTTGTAGCTCTTGATCTGTTGTCGCTTTCATTGCTCCAGATGGTGAGGAGTCGCCCTCCATCAGGTTTTCTGCTGAACTTTTCCGCGGATAGCCATCTTGTGGTGGTGGTGGTGGTTCTTGCATAGGGTTACCGTTCATTGTTAACTGATCTTTAGGAGCGGACGATGAGGATGAAAATGAATCAGTTATTGGTGGTGGTTCATGTTTGCCCTCCTCTTGAGGATCACTGATGTTGCCAATTTCCCTATTATTAACAGTGGCTTCGTTTGACTCTTTAGTCTCCTCAGGCTCAGTGCTGGGCACTACTTGATTATTATTATTACTATTATTATTGTTACTATTTTTATTAATCCATATGAATGGAGCGACTTTGCGGGGGACCCAGTCTTCCTTTTCAGCTAACATCCAAGGCAGGCATACACTTTCACAGTTTGGAAGTACCAATGTTTCACGGATAGCTGCCTACATCAGAGTGATGGACGACACCAGGAGTAATATATATACTGCAATACAATATGCTTGATAAAAAATTCTATGTATGGACCGAAGATATTTTTACCTTGAACCGATTGATTAGGAATAAAGCAATATGTCCGCTTGTAATCCTATGATCTCCGACAAAAGACTCCAATTGAAAATCAAGGTCTGGCATAGATGTGAACCCGAACCATATTTGATCTGAAGGTGGGGACTTTATGAATAGACGAATTGTTCCTCGAAGAGATGCAACCCTTATCCCCAACGAAATTGGAACCTTCAACACAATGATTAAAGTGTTGGCCGTCATCCAGCAAGCCACATTCACAAATCAGGTTAAACAAACAAATAAAGGCATAAAAGTGTTCTGTTTACTAATTTGATCCACTTTTTAGACATTTTAAAAGTTATTGGTGTCAACTGACAAGCCTATCTTTTTATGTCATAAGGGGAGAAATACCATACTAGGACTAAAACAAGCTCCATAAACCATAATAGGACCTTCAACGTTTTATACCAAAATAAAACTTATAATGCCAAAACATAACGCCAAAAAACACTATGATATGCCAACACACAATGTCAAATTGCAAGCATTTCACAGTGTCAACACTTGTTTAGGGTATTAGGTAGATTTCTTTTACATATTTTAAATGATCAATAGTTAAAAGACGAGTTTGACAATTTATAAATGTGTGTATCAAAGTCTACTGAAATTTTGGATTTATTAGAAGGATATTAATAATTTATAAGCACGCCCCAAAAGTTAATAAGTTTGGGTTTGTTTCAGCCAGTAGTCTATAAAGACCAATGACATTTTGAATACTACTAGACTTCTAATGATTCTTCAAAAGCAATACTTCTACTTGAATACAACAAAACTTTTAAAGACTTAAAAAGTACCCCGGGGTATAAAGGAATGCACTCGCAATAAGAAGAAGTCTCTCGCCTCTGGGTCCCCCACAACCTCAAGCCTAACAGATCGTAGAAGGGTAAATCAAGATTGTACTTTCACAAACCTGTGAGACCTGTTTGGCAATGGAATGTAAGATAGCTTTCCATCTAGAAACTTGAGGGGATGCCCTTGGAATATTTCCATTGTTTCTTATCTCATCTGAAAAATAAAAAAACTACGAGATTGATACATATGAAGTCACTTACAAGTTAATACAGAACTGCTATGCCGAACAAAGCGAGAATTATAATAGATTGGAATTTAAGCACCATTGCCCAAATAAATGCAATTCCTCTGTCCCGGTGTATTTGTCCGATTTCTTTTTGGCACCAGAGCCAAGGACAGAATTTTGGGGGAGATATGTCTTAATTATCCCCACGACCCTACTTTTGGCCTTTTGGGAATTTGGGTGTCTACTGTTGCACAAATAAGTAAAAAAGAGGGCCGTCCATCTGCGGAGAAGGTTTCAGAAGCAGGGGAATTCAACCATTCACCCATTCCCAGTTAATCTTCCATTCTTCCATTCAACTTCATCGTGACAGAAATTTCACCCAAGGACTGGCCTTGGAGAACGGGAAGTATTATTAGCCAAACATATTTAATGTATATTTGTTATTTCAGTGTATATATATCTTTTATGAGTTGTGAAATATCATAATGTATTCATACATAGCGAAATGTGATACATGGTGTGAATTGCAGAATCCCATGAAAGCATGAACTCAATGAATCTTATTAATGTAAAGGGCACACACGTGCGCACACCGAAATATATACAATATATCCAAACATCCAGTTAATAAGTATTAGCTTTAGATCTAGCAAACTTCAGCACATGGCATGTACATTAAAACATTACTTTAAAAAGTACGTAAAATAGTAATTATTTGGGTTAAATATGTTTTTGGTCCCTGTAAAATAGACGACTTTTATTTTTGGTCCCTGTAAAATATTTTTTTGTTAAGTCAACCTTAAAAAAAAATTCTATTTTTAAAATGGTCCTTTAACATTATTTTTACTTCTAATTTGTTGAGATAGCACATTTGTATCATACTAAATGTCCTAGTCTTGCATTTCTACTACCTCCAATACAATTCTCATGTCCTAAATTCTATCCCTATTCATATTACATTTCCAATTCTCAAATATTTTAAGAATATAGTATAACAAAGTTTAGAAATTGGGGATGTAATTCGATGAGGCGATCTATGACATGAGAATTGTGTCTGAGATATATAGAAATGCAAGATTAAAATGTTAAGTACAAAATAATGTGTTATTTCAAAAAATTAGAAATGTGAATTATATTTAGGGACCATTTTCAAAAAAAAAAGTTTGTAAGGATGACTTAACAAAAAAAATTACAGGGACTAAAAACATATTTAACGCTAATAATGATAATAACAATCATAACAACAACAGCAATAATAATAATAATAATAGCAATCATAATAAAAATAAAGGTTATGATATCTACCTCTGAAATCTTCATCTGTATGATTCAAGTGATCAGGTGTCTCCTCAGATTTCATGTGCTTCTGAAAGTGCTCAAAACCTTCTAGCAGATCTGATTTGATCGCATCCACATCACTTGCTTCTCTGCTAGTACCTTCTTTTTCCTCTAAATCTAGATCTTGAACTGCAATCCTTGTTTCAACCTCCAAAATAGCTCCACCAGAATACTCGACATCAATTTCCATTATACAAACCTCATTCATGTCTGACGGAAGAACCCTCATTCCATGAATATACGGAGGAAGATTACCAAGGTTAACCGCACTGCAATTCATTTCACCCATGTAACAGGGACTTCGCATGTTCGACAGCGCTCTCTATTAAAATAAATTAAAAAAACTAGTTAAGAATACTAGCAGTACACTGAACAAACAAGATCAGAACTTCAATTCCTAAGAGAAATCTTCCTTCACGTGATGTATTGAAACATGCCAAACTATAAATCTCTATTGTGTATAGGTTATTTTACTCTAACACGTGAAGACATGACATTGTCTACGCCTCAGTTTTTAGATCCAAAACCTGACAGTTGTCATAATTTCTTAGACTAATTCCTTTTCAGCCTTCTTTATTGTTCTTTACAATCAATGATAAGTTACAGATTAATTCTAATTTTCGGATAAAAATATCTACTCATGATGATGAAATATTACCTATACTAATTTTGCAGACGGAACAATGTTTTTTTTTGGGGGGGGGGGGGTCAAGTATACTTAATTTTGCTTTGTTCTCCATTTAAGGAAACAATACTTCAAAAATTATACTATTCACTCTATTTTTATTTATAATGTAGGTTGTATTTGAACCGTTTCATNTTTCATATTCTCAATTACTTAAGTGTTTGCCACTCAATTTTTCGGTGGGCTCGCCACCATATATTGAGTTTGACATTTTGATGTTTGACTATTAAAAAGTAATCCCTTTGTAAGTCATTAATATTTTGCAACCAACCAACTAATTCTCTCTTTATAAGTTAAACCTAAAGATAGGTAGACAAATTTGTCCGTTCAGAACATCTTTAATGTAAGGTGTCATAATGGGCTTAGAGTTCCGAAGCTCAATGATAATGATAATGATAATAATAATAATAATAATAATAATAATAGTAATAATAATAATAATAATAATAATAATGAAAACAGCCAAAACATCTTGTGAAACTAACACAAAAAACTGATGGTTCGCTTCCAGATATCCAACAAGGGTTGTTTCCTTTTTTTCTAAAAGGGTTGTTTCCTTTTTTTCTAAAAGGATGCAAACCCTACATTACAAATTTGTAAAACAATGTTGTCATTGCCAGAAAAATCATGGTTAGATGTAATGACATGACCAAGTAAATCCATATTTTCATGGTCAAGCATCAATCCACTCATCTCACATACCTGAATCCGAGCTTGCATAGAATATCTCATTCCCTCGTTTTCTTTAACATCGAAGAAAAGTCGTGACAACAACAAATTCCAGCAAAGAGTTCCTTCATCATGACAGACTTTATCATCAGAATCTGATTCAGAAATTACAGGCAGATGACTCTGGGTTGATGATCCAGTTGACATCGATAGTGATGAAGGGACCACAACTTCTTCATTCAAACAATCAGCCGACGTTAAGGTTGATGCTCCTTGACTAGAGCCTGATACCCAGTATGCCTTGCTTTCCATACCAGCCTTGGAGGTTTTCTTGGCAAGTTTCTTAAGGAACAGTACAACCTTTGATGAAGAGCCATCAAATTTCATTGATTTATCAATAAGTTCACTATTAACATGTCCCAATGGTTTCATGAATGAAGGGTAAACTGCATTAAGCGATGTAAGGTAATTTTGAAACTCCAAATTTAACTTGACAAACCACTTTAGTTTCTCCTTGTCTTCACATGAAGCAAGACGTAGAGCTTTACACCAGGACTCCTTCTCCCAAGACGTCTCAAGAAATATGTAAAATGTTCTGCTTCCTTTGTAAATTGTTGATGTTGATTTGCTTTCTATTTGTATAGGGTACCTTTTTGACCTGAACAATAACAGAATAAGAAATTACAGCCAGAACAGGACGTAAATGTTTGCATTACTTCATAGGGATACAGCACAAGATTCGATAGAGATGTTTTGATACATATCAACAAACTCCAAAATGGTTTTATCTTCAATGGGCAGCTAAATTGTTGCTCATAAAGCTCATTAAAAAAAATCCCTTAAGTATGCATAAAGCGCAGGGACTGAAAAGTGAGATGTCCTTGGAACATAACGCTTTTTTAAAACTATTGCTGTTTTTCTTCATTTTTGTCCCCAAGAATTTTTCTAACCTGTCATTCTCTTATACAGTTAATGCCAGATCCAAATCTAAGATATCACCTATTCCAATTTCCAAAAAGGATAAGCAATATGCTAAATTGTTTTTCATCTATAAGTAATACACTAAATAGTCTCTTCACATGATCGTGGTAGCCAAAGGCTGTAATCTAGACTCCCAAGAATTGGATATCAGAGTAGCAAATAGTAACATTAATACTCCGTATATCAGAAGCATTTATGGAATTATGGATACAAATAGTAAGCCCCAACTGTCAAGATTCAAGAACAATATCATGTTATATGTTACCATAAGATAGTGTTAATTACATGTTACCATTTTCGTGAAGACAAGGCTGTCGCAGAAACCGCTGCGATTGCACAATGCCTAAGTTGAATTTCAGTATCAGAACCATCAGATTCTATTAAAAAGAGAGAATGATCCTTTATTTTTGCATATTTCTGGACAGGTTCAACCTCCACGATCTCTTTCTTGCTTTTTTTCTGCCCCGAAGCTTTGTCTACTGGAGAAGCTCTTGAAATATTTTCTAAATCTAGAACCCACACTATTCCCTAAAGAGAAAATGGGAAATGTTAAGATATGACTAGTTTGCCAAGTGAAAAAAGTTATGTTTCAACATCACGATTAACATTTTCTTCTTTTTAGCATGGGTTTGTGGCAGAAAGATTTTTAGTATAGCTGATATCACACTAAATATCTTAGTAGTCAGGTAAGGACTTGCGTTATGCTTAAGAAATGGCATTGACTATCATTCATTGAATTGGTTTTGGGTGAGGAGTAAGTGATGTTTGGGTCACTCTACCTAGAATGTAGCAATAGAACAAATGCTGCATATGTTAAAGAGTTGAATGAAAACAAAATGCACTCAAAAGTTAAAACGGAGAACGCCCAAAGAATGATAGTGTGATACTGAAGACAATTCTTTCTTCAGCATGGGATATAATCCAATATGTAAAACCACTGCATGAAAATCAAGTCGAATTCCATTTAAGGTGTGTTTGGATACCAAATGTAATTACTAGGTACAAAGTAGGTAGAAATTCAAATTCCACAAAGTTGTGCAAGGAGACACACATACAACAATTTCGACCAACCCAATTGGGATTGGAAAGTGTGATTGAACCCTTCAATTCAACTAATTAGGTTCTTACTCTGTAATTACTTGATCAACCAAACAGGAAAACTAAGGTAATTACAGGAAACCGCCCCAAATACATTTCAGATATGAGGTAGATGAAATGAAGAGCAAAAAATAAAAGTACAATTCAATGAAGGTAAGAAGTAAAGCCAGCAAAAGTAAACTACCTGCTTGTTGTAGAAGGAGGGATCGAGGTTGGCCGGATAAGACAGTTCATCGGAGAACTTAGTGGCACCAATTTGACGGCGGATTTTCCGAGTCAACCACCGCAGGAGATATAACGCCGCCGCTGCTTCAACTCCGACGACCGTCAGCGCCCCGAGAACGAACACGAGCACGAATTGCCACATTGTTTCTACTCCCAGCCACTACAGGCCTAGAAATCGCTAGAGCGCAGCCATTATGAGCGTGGATTCCACTATCTTGCTCATCGTCCCAAGGCTTCCTCTGCAATATTTGACACAAAGAGTGGAATTGATAGAAAAATCCGCCAACATCTCCACGTGGCAAGAATGCCACATGTTATGTTCAAGTGCACATTTCAATCAATAAAAGACAATTAAATTGGCAAGTGAGTGGAGTGACATTTCGTGCAGTGGCAAATAATTGTTTTTGTTAATTTTTATGATTTTTAATGCATTTTAATTATTAAAAATTATTTCATTTATTTTTTTAAAATAGATATACTCTTTTTTAAAAAAATTATTTCTTCTAAAAGATAAAAATAAAAATAAAAAAACCTGAAGATGCCTCGCGCCTCACACGCTTGGCGTGGAGGGAGACTGAAGCCACGCGAGGCAAATTGCCGATTCTGCTGATGTGGCGCAGCGAGCGAGGAAATGTCTCGCCGCTGCGTATGCTCTAAAAGCCTCGAACTTTCCAAAATGATATTGGTTGTTTTTTCTTCACAAAACAATTTTGTTTTTTATTATCAAATTTACATAATATGTAATTTATGATTAAATTTTTTACACGGCAAGGGAGAGGGTAAAAATGTAAAATAAGTGCTAAAATACAATAAAGGGTAAAAACTATTCACCAAAATACTCCCTCCGTCCTATAATGATCTTCCCAGAGCACTATTCACACTTCACGGAAATTTATATTTATTTGTGTTTTTCATGGTCTATATGATAAAATAAAATATTCTTGTCACCACTTGTTCTGTTGAACTTTTGGTGTAGTTTTTAAATATGTATGTTTTATTTTTTATTTGTATACCAATATTTAAATAAAATAGATTGAAAAAACTTGAGATTTTTCTTCGTTTTGCGAACCGGGAAGATCATTATAGGACGGAGGGAGTATATTTTTATGAGTTGACCGTAAATAGGAAAAGAATAAAAAATTAACTTTTTTCACCTTTTTGCTTCTCCCCTCCCCTTTTATTGCAACAACATATATACTCCGTATTTGCTATATCTCTCTCTTCTGATTTGTTTAATTTCTTTTAGGAGCATGAGATATTTATTTGGTTAGATTATAGTCATTATACACATACTCCCTCCGTCTCCCTATATTTGTCCACATTTGACTTTTGGAACTGTTCATCTAAGCATTTTGACTCATCAAATTCTCTCAATGTGTAAACCTAAATATAGTTATGTGTAATCTTGTTTGATTTGTCTTAACATATAGATTATTAATATATAATTTTTTAATATACAAATTACAAGATAAAATGGATTAAAGAAGTGCATTGGATGGTGTGTAAAAATGAAAGTGGACAAATACAGGGAGACGGAGAGAGTAATAAATATGATTATAATTAAACCATGAATCAAATATATTTATCATGTACTCCATATTTAATATACATACATACATATACTCCGTATTTATTATGAATAAATAACTTAAAATAATAAAATATTATAAAAGTGCATTATATAAAAAAAATAGTCAGAGTAGGTATATAAAAGTGGAAGGATAAAATACTATTTACACTACACGTTGGAGATGCTCTTAAATGAAATAAACTTTACACAAAACAATTTCAATTCGTTTTATTTAAAAAGTACATCAAAAGTCTATAAAACAAAAGACGACAAGAATATTTTATGCTATTAAATAATCAATAAAAATACACAAATAAACAAAAGTATCTGTAGTTTTTGAACAGTAAAGAGTGTAATTCATTGTGGGACGAATGAAGTATGAAATATTTGTAAACTATAATTTCAATTTCTTTCTTTAAAAAAAGGAACACAATGTCAAGTCACAAATAAAGAAGGTGCATGTATAAGAGTTGGTTCCAGACATCTGGGACTCCGGGAAGGCACCAATGAAGACAATCGGCATAGCTACTCGGGCTTGACAGTTGTTCGTCCTTGAGGGCATCCCAAAACTTTCTGTAGATTGACGAATGGGCATCTTTCCGGTACTCTGATAGTTGTGTTATGTTGAGTAGTTCTATGCTTAGGCCTTTGCTTCGCAGATTATACACGGCAGCGTCCACCAGTTTCATCATGTTTACGTCTGAGTCTACTCCCCAGTATTCTGGGTTTTTTATTGGCTCGGTTTCGTTGTAGCAGTTCTGACCCTTTTGCCCTCCCCATTCTTCAGCCCTGCAATGTTAAGTAAAGAATTTCCTTTTTTTAGTTACAGAACGGGTTTTTACCTAATATTTTGGTCACGTACATTATACTCCGTATATGTTTTTGGTTTCAGTGTTTTCTGGGTGGAAAAAATTGAAAACCAAACCGCTTTCTATGGTCAAAGGGTTGTTTTGTTCTCAATGTTTTCATTTCTCGGGGTTATCTTGATATTAATGAAGAAATGTTTTAATAAGTTTTAGACAATCCTCGTATCATGAAAATTCTTCGGAGAATGATTTATAGGCCAAATATTTTGATTTTACCATTGGAAAACACTGAAAAAACAGACAGCTTCAAAGCTAATTACAGTGGACATAGCTAAAACTATCATGTTTAGCCATCAATTAGACTGAAAACCAGCCATAGATATACGATTTTTTTTTTTACAGTACTATACTTACCTGGAATGAGTAGGTGACATACTAACAAAGAAAACTCTGGTCTTGGTTCGATTAACATGAATGTCCAGCCAATCTGACCACGTCTTTAGTGTCATTTCGAAAGCACGCAGCATTCCCGGTTCTTCATAATTTGCTTCTGCACTTTCAAATGTTCCCCGCCTAATGACGATAATTGATGACGAACAAACAAAATATTGGGAAACTAATTAGAAACAGTGCAATTTCTTGGCAAAAAATGGGACTAGTTATTCTTAGGTTCTAAGTACTCACAGGACTTTCATTTTCATAAACCGCCACCAAATGTAGGAATTAAACACAAGCACGTCGGCGTCCTTCCAATGCCTACCGTGCTTCTCAATGGATTCTACCCTCACAATGCGATCCTCCACACGGTGGTAAGAAGGATTGTCACAGTTTGATTCCACCAGCAATGGAGCCCAATAGAATTCTATTTTTGCATTGTACTCCTTTTTTTAACCCATGATATCATACACCCAAGTTAGCCACAAATCCAAATTGCAAGAATGGAACAACACATGGCTCAAAATTCCATTTAATTTGTATGTCCTATGTGGTGAGTTTTGGAGGGTTGATATGATATGAGTTAAAGAAATGATACGAGATCTTAACTCTGAAAATAGTGTTTGGGGAGATCTTACAAGGGTGGTCCGTGGTCGGCAGTGGGTGACCAGCACCGGTTATGGCTAAGAGCAAGAATGGTTGACAGTTGAGGGAGATATCAAACTCTTGCATTGATATTGCTTCCAAATTTGGGAGATATCAAATACCTTATTTAAAAATGATTGTAGTATCTGAAGATATCAAATTTGAATCATGTTTTGGCTTCACCTGACACCCATAAAAGATCCTAATATCGGGAGATATCAAAACACATATCTCTTAGGCTCACCAGTTGAGCCCTAATTTGGCAATATCTCAATAAGAAGAAGAAAACAAAAAGAAGCTAGGAACAAAATGGACTTACAATGGCCTCAAAAGTTACCAAGGAGTCATTTGAATTGACATGTTTGAGAGTGGCATTTGGGATTGATGACTCAATCAGACAGACCATTGAAACCCATTGATTCCTATTGAGTGAATCCCCCACAAACACAACCCTTTTGTTCCTCAACTTCTCCAGCAGAGACACCGCGTTAATCCTTTCCAAAACCCCATCAAGAACAATTATTTCTTAGCAATGAAATCTGAAGCACCCCCCCCCCAAATCCAAAGTTACATTACATTTTTCATGAGCTTACAAGTGAATCTTTTCCTTTTTGTAAAAAAAACGCAACCCTTAAACCAATGACAACATAAGAATTGGCGTATGCTAAAATATGGAGTATTACCCCAGAGTAGATTCACATTAATCACATACTTATAGATACTCCACCGTCTCACAAAACAATTCCTCATTTGATTTAAGAAGTTAGATTGAATAATTTTTCAATTTAATTTAATTGAAAGTGTATATAAAATTTAGAAATAAAATTTATTTTACAAAACAAGACATGATATTACTACAGAGTATTCTTTTGGCAAATGATTACGGAGTAATAAAAATATATGAAGAGAAAAAAAAGATACGGAGGATGTTAGAGTCCCACATCAAAATTTTAAAGAGAAAAATAGTGGGTCTTATAAAAACTTGAATCGAACTAATTAATTGATTGAATTTAATCTTTTTGATACACTTTCTATCTAAAAAAACACAAAGTTTTAGCGCACCTTGGGAGATCACAGTCATGGGGCTGCCACTTCCAAAGCATAAAATCAACATTCTTTCTCCCATACTTGCCACAAGCCATCCCATCATCCATGAAAGAACAGCTTGTGCTGGTATATAAAGGTGAGAAATTATTGTCAAAAACCCATTTCCCTGAATACAAATTGCAGCCATCTGCTGGAATTCCCCCATCAACTTCTCTCTTCTCCAGTTTCCCAGCATTTAAAAATAGCATCTTCCCATATCCAAACATTTGCAGAGCAGTAATTATCAAACCACCCACTGTTATTAACACCACAAGGGATACAAGCCTGAATGATGAAGTCCCATTGTTCATCCTTCCTCCCCCCGTCCCACGCCCAACTAATTTACCCTCCCATTGCCTTTTGCTTGGATCTCATGGGAATGAGATGATGACTTACTATACAAGTATTCCCTGATTCCCGGCCGAGAATTGGAATAAAAGCTACATTCTGTTGACTCGAGATATGACAAGGGAACAAAGATTTAAAAAGTTTAAAGAAATTTTTAACTTTACCTAAATACCTATTGGAGCAGTGCTAGGGGGTTTGAGACTGAATTCACCAATGTAGACACCATCTTCCTCCGTCTCCTCTTCATCCGGATCCGGCGAAGCCCTCTGTCGGCGCTCCCCTCCTTCCCCAATGGCTTCTTCAGATCCGCAAAAAAGAGGGAATTGAAATCAAAATAATTTGGCATCACTTGCGTCGCTGCTGCAGAGATCGCTGGCTAAGTCAAGGTCGAGAAACAGAGAGAAAGAGCATGGAAGAGAGAGAGAGTCTGTGATTGGGGAGAGGAGAAAATAAAAAAATAAAATTGATAAAGGGGTAATTGAGTAATGAGTAATGTAAAAAATAAAATTGAGTAATGTAAAAAATAAAATTGATAAAAACTCTTATTTTGGGTATTTTGATTAACTAAACTCAGGTTTCACAAAAAAAATTAACTAAACTCAGGAAGATTTTTTTTTCAATAAAAATTAAAATAATTGTATTTATCTTGTATAATACTCGGTATTCTATATTTTGAAATAATTATTTTAATATATTAATATGTGATATAATATTTATTTAATTAATAATCAAAGTTTGACAGACATTTACTAAACAAGTGATCAATAAGTGACGCTTTGGGGTAATCTGATAAATCAGCCTGAGTCCTAAAGACTAACCTGGAAATGGTTTATTCGAATAAAAAAAGTAAATTGGTTAAAATCACTTAAAAAAACACAAGTATTGATAAAACCAATTTGAAACTAACTCAAAAGCATTTAGAAAAGATTTTGGAAAGTAAAAATGTGTCATACTCTTTAACAAATAATCTATGACGCAAAACTTAGAAAAAATCTAGAAACCTCTTTGTCAACAAGGCTTGTCATGATATCCAACGCAACTTGCTAAACAAACTATCAATTTCAAAAAATCTACAATATGTTTGTCATTATCAAAACACAAGGGTCAACAACGACATGAAAATTCTCTCGAGCTTGGACTCATTCATTGTTCAGCGACGCCGAATGCAAGATTGAATACGAATAACTTGATGACACGATACTAATAGTGATGTTTATGTCTTAAAGACTACACTAGTGATTGAAAAGAATATAGATTACAATTCTATTGAAGTGATCACGAGTGTATAGTAGAGTGTTACATGTCGATAGTAGTTATCATTCACACTTGTATTATATTAATAAATACTCGTATAAATCTGCATTTGAGAGATTCAAATTTCAAGTATTTTTTTGTTAGACTACATGTGCTTTTGGACCTGCATTTAATGAAATCCAACTAATCCTGATCGATCGAATTTGAAAATTAATGCAAAAGTCTCGCAGTAGTTGGCGAGGTTTAAACCCATGACCTCAAGGTCACCGCAGTTCCACGCTGCCAATTGTGCAACAACTCGATGGTTTGAATTCCAAGTCTTTGATATGTCTGGTATAATATGATCTATTATTGCTTGTACTTTATGAGATATTAATAACAACTAGTGCATCACACGTGCATCGGGGAAAAAACATATCCTAATTGCGAAAAATATTTTATATTTTAAATTATTGGGTACTAATTTGTAAATAGTAGATATGTAGGCACTTCAATTTATAAATATTAATATTTTATCTTTTAAAATAAAAACATAAATTTACTTGGCATTATTCTTTATCTTTCTATCTCATATTCTTTCAATATTTTATTTTAAATCTCTTTTAATATTTCCATCTTTGTATAAAATTTGTTCAATTTTTTGTCCTATTTTATTTGTTTGATTTTTTATACAATCAAGAAAATAAGAAAAAAACAAATTAAATTAATAATAGCAATAATAATAGAAAATAGTTTATTGCACAACTTTACCACCAATAGTTAGAAATACATTACAAATAACACTACTTTGGTTTCCACACAGATATGCTTTACTTTTATACCATAACAAAAATATAGATAGTTTAATTTAAAAGGAAAACCACCAATGATCTAATTTAATATTAAAATATCTTCCATTCAAGAAATATAATGATAAAACATAACTCACTCAATTTAAAAGGAAAACCCCAGCCTTCTTCTTACTCTTCATCTTCTCCTTCTCTTTCTCTTTTTCCTTCTTCTTCTTCTTCCACGGGAATTCTAAAATGTTGAGGTTGGGCAAAATTTCCCTCTAACTAGAAATTTGAACGATTTGTGTCGCTGACATTTTGTTTTGGCCGGTTCTATTGGGTTGGGCGGCAGTACTATGGGTGGGGAAGTGGGGTAAGGTGGAGGGTATTTTGGTAAAGTTAGTAGAAAAAACAAAAAAGTATTGTAAATAAAGAAGAGAAAGTGGGTCACATTTTGCTGGGTACCGTGTTAGAATTCAATTCGAGTATATATTTAAAAAATTCAATCATACCATTTACAAAATTAGAGATGACATGACTATATTATCATATCAAATGAGTATCAAAATTAGATTAATAAAATGAATAAAATTTGATTACCTAAATAAGGAACTGGGAGATATTTTTTGAACTGAGCCTACGTTATAAAATAAGAAGGAACCTTGGAGAACCGTACCAGTAAGACAGACAGATCGATTCAGACTCAAGCCGGGGGCAGACGAAGAAGAAAATGCGGTCGCCGAGATGGGGTTACTTCCGGATAATCACCGGCACAATCGCCGGAGGTATTCTGGGTTTCTACGTTATGCATCGCGCCGAGCTCAAGTACAAGGTCTCTCTCTACAATTTCCCCCAATTCTTCATTTCAATTCATCAATTGTTTCTCCCACTCTTTCTTCATCAGTTCTGATTTTCTCTCTATTTATTTTTTTCCCGTATTCGAAATTGAAGGAGATCTGGAATGAACGGCTGAAGAAATATGAAGAAGAGATGAAGACGAAGCGAGGTGAAGAAACGCCCCCCGCCGAGCTTCAGGAAACCCTTTGAGCATTCGTGTATTCCTGGTCAGGCATTTCTTCCTTTTTGTGTAAACCATGAGTTACATCATTTGAGCATTTAGGTTTAGCTCTTTGAGAATGTGATATCTAATGGTAGCTGCTTTCAATGGAGCCACTGATCCATTGTTAGTTAACTCCCTCCTCCCTGCAGAATTTGATTTCCAGTTATTATATTTGCATTATTTGGACTAGTCACAATCCTCATTGGTTAAACAAGTTGGAGTTGGTAAAGGAGAATGAGAGCTCTTTCTTTCAAGTTCTTGATCATCTTTTAGCTAAACAAATTACATCAATTTGCTATATGATTGAGGCTCTTTTTATATCTGTCATACTAGAATTGCACCAAGGATGGCATCTACCACTAGTGTGTCATCCACAATGATTTCTTAAAGACAATGATTATTTGTGTGTGATTGTGTGTGGCGGTGTCAATCTTGGTGTCATTTCTGGGATTAAAGTAGCATTGTTGTCCTATAAATATATGGGAAGAGAGTGAGTTTTTTCAGAGGTGGATCCATCTTCCACTTATTCCCCCTTAATAAAAGAGGGGTGGTGTAATACAACAGCAATAATGGGAGCAAAAAAAATTCCGGGTACCCTCTATTTTGTCATAAGAACTTCCGGGGTACTATATTATGCAAAATAAATCTTTGGGCACTAAAAATTTGCTCTTCTATTTCTAATTGGGAAGGAGTTGGGTGAAGTTGAAAGTTAAGGGATAGTTTGGTGAGCGAAGCGGGGTTGAGATGATATAAGTTCTAAAATCTGAAAGAAATAATGTTAATTCTAAAATCTAAAATAAATAATGAGTTGTGAAATCTGTAATATGAGTGTTTTGGAAAAATCTGAAAAGATGATTGTTAGTGGTAGGCGGGGGTTAGCCAACGAAGGTGAGTTGCCAGCTGCGGTTACCGGCGGTTGAGGGATATATCAAACCTCTAGATTGATACCACAGAAATTTTGGACATATTAAAATATCCTCATTGAGAGGGGTGTGATATTAAAAGATATCAAATCTGAACTCTATTTGGGTTTTTCACTAAATACCTACAAAAAGGTTCTCGTAACAAAAAATACGAAAGACCATATTTCCTACTCTCATTAAAAAAGTTACAACTCAAATGAATAGAGCCTTGTTGTTGTTATTTCTACTCATCTTAGTTCCAACTTCCAATAGAGTTTGTTCCTTGAAGGAAAAAGAATCTTTGAAGATAGAATTCCAAAAGAAGTGTCATTTTTGCATTGGTTTTCAATTAAGAGGGATACTGTTTATCATCTGCAGATTTTTGTGTAACATATGGGTTGAGCACATGAATGATTTCATTGCTAGCAATGAATTCACAAGTCAAAGGGAACAAGCACTATAAGAAGAGTTTATATGAGGATGGAAAATGCCATATTCTAAACAAAGGGAGTGTTAAGAAAACCTGAGTTTCTGTCTATTGCTTATTTTAGGCATCTCTTGTGGTTTTGGTGTTTGATAAGCCAACTTAAGGTTCTAATCCATTGCATTGTGTTTTGGTTAATGATTTGCGGAGCATTATTTATTGCAAAATAAATTAAAACAATGCTACGGTGCCACCACATGGGTGCTGCCACCCATGCTTTGCATAGACAAACACAAACAATAATAGTCTTTAATAGTCTGTGTTGCACTGACGATTAGCATTGTGTTTGTCTGTGCAAAGCATGAGTGCACCCACGGAAGCAGTCCGTGCCACCCATGTGGTGGCACCCTAGCATGACCGAATAAAATAATACTCTGAACTAAGGAATAGAAGTGTTTAACTATCGTTCTACAATGAAAGAGAGAGTCATATGGCTGCCTTTGTGTGTTGTGTATGAACCTCACATATGTCTTTTGTAGTAAAGATGAAACACCATGGAGTTTATCTCATGAATATTCTTCCTAATGGTAATAATTCATTGTTTATGTGAGAAAGTTTGTGACTCCCACATCATCTTTATCCATTTTCCCTACTTTCCTCATTCTCTCTCTTGTTTTTAATGTCACATTACTTTCATAATTTTTCCCACATTACTTTCGTAATGCTTCCTAACATTGTCCCTTCTTTTTAAACGAGGGGCCCACAAGCCATTAATTTATTTTAATCCATAATTTTCATGTATTATATCAAGATAAATTATTTTTAAAAAATCTACTTACATTTACGTAGTATGTTTTAAAATATTAGTAATAAATATATATATACCACAAAAATTAGATAGAATAAAAAATTAATAGTTCTAAATCCGTGAGAGCTTGACCTTAAGCAAACAATATCATACTAATGCGGTGTTGAGGTGAAGGTATGCTCAGTCCCAACATTGGTATCAAAGTCCAGGTTCGTGCGGGCAAGAATGGTGGACTGTGCTATGTAGAGTTCTTGGTTTCCCTCTTGCCGGGGCCAAAGTGCCCCCGGAGATGCAAGACCCCGACGTCGGTGAGAATCGATTGCTATATGAGTGGCTATTTGACAATCCAGAAGTTGTGGGCAGCGATCCTTGACGCTTTGGGTCAATTGTTGTAGGACAAACAACTGTAGGACAAACAACTAGAGCCCTTTAAGATATATTCATATAAGTTTGTAATTTTGCATTATATTTGTTGTCTAAGAATTTGTTTAGGAATACTGTTATGGATTAACCTTGGTGTTTTGGATAAAATTTTAACGGTGTAGATTACTTTGAAAATGATAACGTTAAACTCTGCCCGTAGATATTCTTTTCAAAACGCTAACGCTAATTTCTTGCGTTATTTCCAAACATGCCCTAAGTATTGTCCTCTGAAGAGCGTGATATTATATGACTCTATTTGGATGGATGAAAATCTAAATTTTTATGTCTAACTCATGTGTATGCTTGGATCTTACAACAACAACCCAGTTGAATCTCACAAGAGTAGAGTCTGGAGAGGGTGTGTATATACAGACTTTATCCTTATTCGAGAGTAGAGAGATTGTTTCTAAAGAGACCCCCAACTCAGTGTCAAAATTTGCATTGATCGACTGACTGTTACTTCAGTAATTAAAGAAGCGTAAACAGTTTAGAGATATATTTTGCTTTATTCATCACATTCTAAAGCAAAAAAAGTGATTTTTTCGCTCCATCAGACCTTAAATTGTACAATTAAAAAATTATTCAAAACATTAACATACATTGAAAATATTATTCCCAAAGACCCAAACAAAGCCAAATATTATTCCCAAAGACCCAAATATTATTTAAAAAATATTAAATATTTATAAATTATATGAACTTATATTTAGAAGAATAAAAATAGAGAAGAAAATTACAACAGTATTTTAATTATAGAAAATATTTGCTTTTTTTGAAATTAAATATTTTAATTAATTAAAATAATTAAATATTTTGAAAATAAAGATTATAAATTCAATATTTTAAATAAATAAAATGAGTACTAAAATTAATAAGCTCCACATTTAAATGCATCCAATGGAATGGATGTTTAACCTTCTCTCTCTATCTAGTTAGGTACTCACAATCAATTAAATGATATCTTTCATCATTTACATTCTTAAACACCTTTTAAACATCACCAATGTAGATGTTTTTAGGATGTTTGTAGTGCCTCACCTCTCCATTCACATGATTCGGCGTGGCAATGCCACATATGTCGTGCTCACGGTGAACATTGTGCCTGCCTCGATATCTTTTTTTATTTATTTAATTGTCGGTTGCAATATCTATTTTGTTCATAAGCTTTTGTATGTAAGTCATTACTTGACTAATAATATCTTGTCAGAATTCTTTTTATAAGATCCACGGAACGACATCAACATTGTATACGTACTTTTGACGCTACGTATCGCTTATATTTTCACCAAACACTTCCAAGTTGAATTGACCATGTTTTATTATTATTATTATTATTATTTTTGGAGCGAAACATGTTTTAAATATAATTTATGTCTTGCATATATTTTTTCTATTAAATTAAACTAGTCTATGTACCCAAAAAACTTTTTCTTTTCTGAAAATGTGTCATATGAAGCAACATTATTTAAAAAAAGTAAAGACAAAAAGGTTTGAACGCAAAATAAAAAATTTAAACCAACAAAATGAAAAAAAGAAGGTAAAAAAACAAAAAGTGTATGCAAACATATGTTTCTTTTCGTTTTCTTTTTAAAAATGTATCATATGAAGCAACATTGTTAACAAAATACTAAAGAAAAACCAAAAAAATATGCTTTGGACAAAAAAAGAAAAAAAATTAAAACAAAAAAATAAAATTAAAGGTTTTAATGAAAAAACAAAAAAAACACAAAATATAAACTATTCATTCTAAAATAAAGTACCAAAAAAAGATTGCAAATATAAAATGGAAAAATAAGAAATCTTAATTTTTATTTTAAGAGATATAATTTAATTTGAATAGAAATGAGTAAATATTAAAACAAAAATGATATGATCATTGCAGTGGATGGGAGCACTAGAAATTTAAGTGAAAAAGTGAGTGGAATCAACCGTGATGAAATATTGAATTAAAAACAACTCCAAATGTACTCGGAAATATAGTATGAGGTAGAAATATAGAATTAAAAACAACATTTTATAGTCTGAGGTAGAAAATATAGAATGAAAAACAACATTTTTATTTTAGAGTCTGAGGTATAAAAATAACATTTTTAAGTCGAAAATACAGTCTGAGTAGTGGTGAAATACTAAGATAGTCTGAGGTAGAAATATAGAATTAAAAACAACTAGAAATGTACTCAGAATAGATAGAAATGTTGAATTAAAAACAACTACAAATATACTCAGAAATACAAAGTAGAACCAAAGGGGGTAGAAATGAAGAATGAATAAACAATTTTTAATGTATAAGTTGCTTATAAGTCAAATATTTTCTTGCGAAAGTAAAATAATTTAAATGATATATGATTAATTTAAAATATTCATAAATTGCGAGGGATAATTTTATAAATAATTAGATCAAAACAGATAAATGAAAAAATTGATTACTTAATTTTTTTATATCATAAGAGCATTTACAATTGGAGTAAAGTTATTTCATTAAGATTAGAGTGAATTGAGAAGGATGAGAGTCATGAATTCAAGTTGAAGATGTGTTGAATGTATTGAGTCGAAAAATGAAAAAAAAGGTGGGGGGNGCAAAAATCGAGATATTTGAATTTGTTTAATTTATTCGAACACAAATATGAATACGAATATGAGACGAATTAAAAATAATATTTGAATTTGTATTGGACTAGTATTCGAATAGTTGACGAATCCTAATCAAATATTTGAACAATCATACTCTTTAATTTATATGATGGACCAATAACGATTTTGAAGAATTTAACTTACGATACTCCTTATACTATATTATACTCTGCATCTCAAAACATTAATACATTTGCATCTTACACAACTTATATTTTATAAAATATACGTAGTAACTATTAAAATTTATTTGCTTTAAATTTTCGTGTTAACTTAATTTTTGCTGAATTCTTAATAATTTAAATACACTTTATACTAGATTAGTTTTCGTGACTATTGATGTTGAAAACATGGTTAGTGTGTATATACATGCATTCGAATATTCGAATATCATCCAAATCGAATATATCTTTATTTTTATTTGTATTTGTTTAATATTCGAATCAAGAGTAATATTTGAATTTAAATTTGTATTTGAATAATGCAAATTCGAATCACTATATTCGAATATGAATCACAAATCGAATTTAAAATATTTGATTTCTTTACATCCCTAGGTGGGGGCAACCGGCGCGACGGACCGTCACCCATCGTGATTTTGCGCCAAAACTCATGCGGCTCGGCTCTGAGCCAGAAGTGGGGCGCGTGTCACGGCGAAAATTGTGATTGTCCTCCTGCAATGGCCAATGGGTGTGCGGTGCAGCGCTGCGTGGGAAGGCGTGCGGTGCAGCACTTGTGGGGAGGTGTGTGGTGCGACAGAGTTACCTCCCCATCGTAAATGCCCTAAACAGCTTATAAATCAGTTTATAAGCACATGGAAACATATCATCAACTGACTTATAATTTAAAAATTACTAATATGCACATAGAAACACAAAAAACTACAAATATACTACCTCCGTCCATAAGTATTTGTCCAGTTTTGTCTTTTTTGGTCAACTGTTTTCAACATTTGGCTAGAATTAAATAAAATATATATATTGTACATTAATTAGATCAAATAATAATTTGAAAAAAATTAACATAATAAATATAATAAAACTATTTTTGTATCAATATTTAATAATATTTTTATTTAATTTGTGATCAAAGTTTATCAATTTTGACTGAAAAAATCAAAATTAGACAAAATACTCAGGAACGAAGGGAGTATTACGAGTGACAAATTCTTATGCGATTCTAAGATTTACACTCATTTTATAGATCTAAGTATATAAATACTATGAGTGAATTGAATTTTTTTAAAAAATAAAAGATTTTCACGAGTCTACTAAAATGTGAGCAAACCTTAGTATGTATGCTACGGAGTAGAATTAAAGGGTTAATTTGCAAATACCATACCCTCGCGCCCCGGGTTCTATTCCGCCTGTTTCTGCTCCCGGAACTGGAAGAGATTCCATTGTCCTCCGTGGCGGAGCGGACCGGAGCCGGTAGCCTTCCACTGTTGCCCTAGCCTGGTACGTATTCTTCTTACACCTTAAACTTGTGGATAACTTTGCTCTGTTTCCCGATTCTCCACTTCGATTAGATTGCATTTCTACGAGAATCTGCAAAATGGATCATATATGTTGATACAGTTATATAGATTTAGCAACATCGAGTTCCGAGTTTGAATATAGTGGATGTGAAAGGAAATGTGCTCACTTTTAGCATATTACTATGGAAGCCCAGATGTTGTGCTGCATATTTATGAGAATGAGGGATCGCGATTCTCTTCTTGGTTGATGTAGCTAAACCTGAGTGACTTGGGATTATTACAGATTTGTTGTTGTTATCATTGTCAAGAACAATATAGGATTCGAGATCAAGATGGCTTTGAATGGTTACATAATCATCAGCTAAGTTACTGTCTCATGTGCTTGTTAACATTTCGGGTCTGTTCATTTGAGTTGGAAAAGTCAATTTCCAACTTTTTCATGTTTCTTCCAACTCTTTCCAGTTTCGTCAAACTCTCTCCAGTTTTTTCAAACTCTTTCCAGTTTCTTCTAACTCTTTCCAGTTTTTTCCAACAACTAAAAAAATGTATTTACATCTGATCAGTATACAATAACATTATATATCCAAATATATATCATACCACCTCAAATCCAGACAATGATGATTTTTGTAATCCATAATTAGTTTTCTTACAGACATATTTATTTGGATGATTATTTAATTTAGTGATTTTTTAACACTTCATTTTTTCCAACATTTTCCAAGTCCTTTCAGTTTTTTTCCAACTCTTTCTAGTTTCTTCCAACCTTTTCTAGTTTCTTCTAACATCCAACTCTGTTTTTACAACCCAAACGAACAGAGCTTTCATGCCGAACTCCTAAGTTAGAATTTGGAAGAAACAAAAATGTGTTCTTCATTTTTATTTTTCTTCTCAATATTCTACATTTGGATCTTAAATTATGCTTTAATGTGATCCTCTTGGACATAAGACAGTGATTAATGCAGCGAGTTCATTTTACTGAGATTACCTTTTGTTAGGTGGTAATCTCCGCAATTTAATTTGGTTTTGTCTTTTGGACATTTATAATTTGGTATGTAAGCAGAACGTTTTACGTTTTTCGTGCTGCATTTAGCTATTGGCTTCTACAGTCCGCATATGGCCTTGAATGCTCTTTTGTCTACATTGTTTTTTGTTTATTTAGTTATGAGTCTATAAATAAAAATATGCTGAATGTCTTGTCCGCATTGTCATTGTCTTCCTTCAATATTTTTTGCAATCAAACTGATTTGGTATGATGACTGGGATCTTTGCACAAGAATGATTTAGCAGAGAACTGTCGTACCAATTCTGGAAGTTCTGAGATGACCCAACTGAGCAGTGAAAAGGCCAACAATGAAGGTAGAACGGAACACGTGGTCCGTAAAGAGGTAAATGTGAAATTTGGGGAGGAGGAAACCGCAGCATGTGATGATAATGCTAGCCAAAATTATGGGATTCTACTACCTGTATTCTTTGTTTATGTATGAAATTAAAATTAATATTTACTTGTTTGTCTATATCATTATTATTAATTGCAGAAAAGTGCAAAACGTAAAATTGATGAAACCTTGGAAGAAATTTATGATGGACATTATGATTTAAGTGATGAGGATGATGATAGTGATTGGGATCCATTTGAAAAACAAGATCAAGTTGTCAAGTGGTTTTGTGTCAACTGCACCATGGTTAACCTCAGTAATGCTGTGCATTGCTATGTATGCTTCAAGTTCCAATCTGATTAAATGCAGTATGCGTATTAGTTTTTTTTCGTGTTCCTGTTTTGTGAAGAACCACAATATAGCATATTTTCTATTTTGCAGATGTGTGGAGAGCACAAGGATTCTGGAATCCTTAGGTTAGGATATTATGCATCACCATCTTTGCCAATGGGGGATATTATAGAACGTGAGTTGGAGGCTACTGAAAGATCAAAAGGTTGTGACTTACAATTTGCAATGAATTCTATGAAATGCTTTTCTTCAAAGGTCTTGCACTTGCCAGAAACATAAAACTGTATAGGACCCTATCTATAGAACCCTAGCTTGGTATGACGGTATCTATGTGGATTGTTTGATAGTGAACCACATATTCTTGAACTTCTTGTTTCTAAGATCACTTATAAGTCTAGTCATTGGTGAAGAAGGCAAAACATGTTCGCGTGCAAATGTGCAATTAATGTTTTGTTTAGCACCTTTAGTAACTGAAATGTTATGTATCTATCTTGCCTTTATTTATGTAGCACATTTTAATAGTAAAACATTGTTCATCCTTTTTCTGATATTGGCTTAGAATCCGGCATTGATGTCAAGTATTTTGATGTAATACATCAATTCTTAAAACATTTTCTAGGTTCATGTCTGAAAGGTTTTCCATCAGACTCTACTGTGGTTGGATTTGATGAGAGGATGCTGCTCCATGATGAAGTATGCTACATTATAACTTCTAATATGCTTCTTTGTTTTTCTATGAAACTTTTTATCGCACTGAATTATGTTTTTTGTGTGCGGCCCTGATCCTAAAATGAAAGATCACATAAAAAAGAAGAAAAACACATCCGAGTAGTTTTCTTTTTCATACTCCTTCCGTCCTATAATGATCTTCCCGGTTCTGTTTACGAAGTTTGACCGACTTTATTTTTAATTCAATTTATTTGATTGTAGGTGTAAAATTAAAAAATAAAATTTATATATTTAAAAACTACATCAAAAGTTCTACAAAACAAGTGGTGACAAGACTATATTATTTTATCAAATACCTAATGAAAATACGTAAAGAAAGTGATTAAAGTTTGACCGTATGAATAGTAAGTGGGAAAAACATTTCAGGACGGAGGGAGTATTTTTTTCTGCCTGCCAACTTAATAGTGATTTGAGTAGTTATAGTCTTATAGACATTCATATTGTCAGCTTGCCTACACTTTGATTCTTCCTTCCCTCTTATAGTTGAAATCATTTGTATTTCTTATATGACTGAAAGGTTGAAGTGAAATCGCATCCTCATCCTGAGAGACCAGACCGTCTTCGAGCTATTGCTGCTAGTCTTGCTAGTGCAGGTCTTTCTGATCTTTTTAATCAATTGAGACGTCACCAGGGATTGGATAGCTGTCTGCTTTTTAAAAGTTGTGTATGTTAACACACACCTAAATTGCTCCTTCTCCTACTATAATATTTATCATTTCACCAATGTTTGAAAGGTATATTCCCTGGGCAATGTCATCCAATTTCAGCACGAGAAATCACCAGAGAAGAACTTCAGATGGTAAGATGACGGGGAAACACACTTTTCATGCCCTCAGACGATTTGAAATGCAATTGTGGCTTTGTGAGAAGTGAGAACAATAGCTGTGTCTAGTCCTTGTTAGATAGATGTTGAGAGAGAATTTTTATATGTTCAGGAGAGAATGGTAGCTTCTCAGGTCACTTTAATTGATTCCGTCTTATGGTTTTGGCAATTCAGGTGCATGCGTTGGAGAATATTGAATCTGTTGAACTTACCAGTCGTCTTCATGCCAGGTATGGTAGTTTTTTTATTTTTCCATTGGTTCACACCTTTCTTTCATGGTACCTTGCAAGCAGCAAGGAGTCAAGAATGTACTCTTCTTTAGATATCTCCTAATCAAACAATCAAAAAAAATTGCAGCTATTTTACTCCTGATACATATGCGAATGAATATTCAGCCTGTGCTGCCAGACTTGCAGCAGGCTTATGTGCTGATCTTGCTTCAACCATCATCTCTGGGCGTGCTAAAAATGGTTTTGCTCTGGTAAGGCTCTGGTTGTTTGTTGGAAATTCTAAACGTGCTGGCAATAAGGGAGAGACACTGACTACACCCCCTTGGGAATTGAGATAGGTTCGACCCCCTGGTCACCATGCTGGCGTGAAACAAGCCATGGGATTCTGTCTCCACAACAATGCAGCTGTTGCAGCGTTTGCAGCTCAGGCTGCAGGAGCAAAGAGGGTGTTAATAGTTGATTGGGTAATGATGTTAACTATGTTGCTTATTGCTGAGTAATTAGGCCTTATTTTTGAATAAACGGGCTTGTAATTGCCTATATTTTGTTGAATCTTTGCTCTTCATGTCATTTGCAGGATGTTCATCATGGGAATGGAACACAAGAAATTTTTAATAGAAGCAAATCAGTGAGTCTTTAGTTTAGTACTCGTATATATTGCACTTCTCTTGGCAACACTGTTTGGAAAAGCTACAATACGTATTACTTTTTCTGCAATTTATTGAGCAATAAGTTAAAGATAATGGGGACCATATTAATTTTGCTGTCACATTAAAAAATCATGATGCCTATCTTTAGTTTTCTATATGAAATTTCTGCAGTGTATAAATCTGAGATAATAAAAAGTGAAATACTTCATGAATGATTAATAACATTAATAAGTTCATAATGGTGTAAATTATATGAGATTCTTTGCAATTTTACAAATTGTTAAAAGCATCCATCCTTGAACTCTAGTCTTGTGGCTGTTCAATCTAATGAAGGGCTTTTGTTTTGTTTTATTTTTTGCTATTAGATATGTAACTTTACTGTCAATTCTTTGTTTGGATTTGTTCCAGGTTCTCTATATATCTTTACATAGGCATGAAGGTGGGCAATTTTACCCGGGTACTGGAGCTGCTAAAGAGGTATACAAGAAATCTCTCCGTGTGCATTTCTTTCAGCACGAGTTATAAGTTTTCTGGGGTTATCTGATATTACGTACATCTTATATCACCAAGAGATCATGTATTTCAATGCTTTGCCTATGTATAGCAACTTGTAACTTCATAATATGCTTCTGTACAGGTTGGTTCCATGGGTGCAGAAGGATACTGTGTGAATATTCCATGGAGCTGTGGTGGAGTTGGTGACAATGATTATGTTTTTGCATTTCAACATATTGTGCTTCCAATTGGTTGGTATTACTCTTTGTTTTTGTTACTTTATTGTATAAGTCTTGAAAGATAGGTCATCTATCACTTTAGAACTTCATTGACGACTTGGAATGATAAAAGTTATCAATCTAGGATTTGTAAGAATATAATCAATTGGGCATAGAAGAAAGATCCACTATCACTTCAGAACTTGAAATGAAAGAGATCAATTTGGGCCATCAAAGATTAAGATCTATCAATTTAGCATCTGAAAGTTAACACCCCTAATAAAATTTAAACGAAATAATATTTTGAAATATATGGGACAAAGAAAGGATACACTCTTTTAATATTATTCGCACTTATATGTGTAAATTTAAATCTTAATGAATACAGATGAAATGTTTTCTAGTTTGAAGAAAGTCCTGCTAATATATAGGACACATTTTTGCAATAGCCCTCCACTAGATCTTAGGAACGGGTTACACCAATCTTACACCACATTGAAATACTTCAAGGTTTTAAGACAACACCTATGTTCCATGACCTTTATCCACAGCCCATGAAAATATTCTCGGTTACTACATTTCACGAAATCTTTACTCAATATTGGACATGCTTGCAATCATATTCCAGTTTGGCATAATTCATCATTTAGGTGTCCACAACGGCAATAACTACTCATTATAATCCCAACTCTGTCTAGGGGTCAAGATGTACACAAATAACACAATTTTACTATTGTTATAATAGAGAGCTTGTTTCCGTTAGAGCTAGGTTCATTGCTGCATTTATTGCCCAAAACTTCATAGAAGTTAGAGTCAAGAGAAATTTAATATTCCATTTTGATTTAATCAATTATGTACCTGAACCTAAAATAGTCAATAATGAATCTTTTAGATGCCACCAATCTTAGATAGTTGATGTGTAGGCTATTTATGTTGATCGTGTACAAGAAAATCTGAGTTATACTTATGTTATAGTTGTCTTCATTCCTATTATGTGTGAAAATTTTCTGCTTTGGAATTGCATCACGCATTACTTCAGTAGGAACCTTGTCCTGGTACTTATACGCATACTCAAATCTAGGGCTGTGCATTATTCGGTCCAAACCCGGACCGACCCAAAGACCGGCCAAAACCGGACCGGACCGGTCCTAATTCGGTCCGGTCTCCGGTCCATCAATTTTCGTTATCCGGGTTCCGGTCCGGTCCGGTCCAAACCCGGTGAGACCGGTGGACCGACCGGTGGGCCGGTTATATGGACTTTTATATTACTATTTTAGACTTTTAGTATATGGGCTTTACCATACACAAACCCATTGTCTCAAATTATGGAATCCACCTTAATGCACAACCCTATCCAATAAGGAGTAGCTAGTAGCAAATCCACAGACCACACTCTTCTCGCCAGCAAAAACATATCAAACGACAAACACTTTGTCAACTTCGATTCTGCCAAACACTTAGTTGGTCTTCATTCATTACCGTAATGAGCAGTGATATTACCAAGTAGCTATTTCCCATCTGTTTTGTTTTTTTTAATTTAAAACATAATGAAGTATGAAATTAAAATTGGATAGCAGTGATGGGCAGTGATGTTTCTCTTCAATTCAAAGTTTCAATTAATTGGTATATTCCCCTTATTCGGTCCTTATTCGGGCCGGTCCGGACCGGTCCAGTTTTTTTCGGTCCGGTCCCGGTCCGGTCTTACATTTTGTCGGTCCGGTCTACGGTCCATTACTTTGCTCTTATTCGGTCCCGGTCCAGTCTGGGTTTAGACCGATGCACAGCCCTACTCAAATCCTATTAGAGTTTTGAGTCTATCTCTTTTAAGGATGTGAATATCATTGACATGATCCTTCTGATGTGGAGAAGTATTTTTGTGGCTTAGTGTTTTAGAGGAACACCACTACACCTATGAGTTGCAGGACATGCATGGGCGTTCATGTTCCGTAGGGGACTACAACATATTTTACCGCAACCTCTCATCCTCTCGATATTCTAATTACTTTTCAAACACCTCTCCTTACAAGTAAAAGTTAAATATATTGCCAAAAGATGTAAAATGATTAGTTTGCAGCCAATGAGATTACTAAAATATGTTTGGATTCTTTTGATTTCAAGCCATTCCTATTTTATGTTGCTCACCTTTATAGAGGGATGATATGGGTGGGGTGGATGAAGGCGAGGGAGGAGGGTAGGAAGAGGGTGGGGGATGGAGAGGTTGTGAGCACAATGTGATGGGGAGGGGGTATGTTGTGTGGGAGGTCATGAGTAGGGAGAGTAAAAATGGGTTAAGTGATTTGAAATTAGGTGATTGCAATTCAATCTATTAGGTAACTAAAAAACTTGATTTGTAAGTCAAAAACTCAAAGTCATGATGTATATGTTGTCTAAATTTAAAATCAAAGTTTGATTCAAAGCATGATCCATCCAAACATGATCTGAAAGACTATTAAATCCTAACAATCTACGAGTAACATATTTGGTGTCATGTACTCATGTCACATAAAATAAAAGTTATAGTAAAAAGTTATATACTGAAAAGAATTAAAAAGTTTAAGATTCTATATTTCAAATATTAAAATTTTCAACACATTTTCTTTAGGAAATTGTTATTCGTTTAAGTGATGTTTTTTAAAACTCCCTTCATTGAAAATAAAGTTCCCATATTCATTTTTGGATTAAATATGTTTTTAGTCCCGGTAAAATTTGCGAGTTTTGCTTTTGCTAGCTCTAAATTTTATTTAAATCAAATCATCCCTGTAATTTTTTTTGCAAATAGTCCTCCCCCAATTTAAATATATGTTTTGATCCTTTTAAAATTTATAAATTTGTTTTTACTCCCTCTAAAGTTCTTTTGATTTGTTTATTCCTATTTCAAAATATTAAATACTCTGTACACGGTTAATTTATTCTTTTTTATTCAAAATATACTTAATGACATGATCAAAGCCAACGAAATATTTTTAGAAGCTTAATAAAGTACCTATATTATTACAAATTCATTTAAAAATTTTATAAATTAATACATTTTAATTAAAATTTTTGGCATACAGAATGCAAATTGTATGTTAAGGGATTTTATACCTTGCTCCAAAATGAATAGCGATGAAACCAAATTTTCTCATCAAAGTGAGTCTTAGATCTGGTGTTTTAAAGACATCAAATAGATAGTAAAGAATTTTACTAAAAAGTACTCCGTATTAATTTAGCTAAAGATTTTTGTTAAAAACTACTTTGTATTAATTTAGCTAATTTTTTAGTGAATTTGTAATAATAATTTAGTTATTCAATTAAGCTTCTAAAAAAATTTCAATGGTTTTGACCGTGTAATTTAGTATATTTTAAATAAAGAGAATAAATTAATATTATACGGAATAATTAATAATTTTAAATAGGAGTAAATAAACCAAATGAATTTTAAAGGGACTAAAAACAAAAATTATAAATTGTAAAGAGATTAATACATATATTTAGACAGGGGGAGGACAATTTGAAAAAATATCAATTTTACAAGGATGATTTGATTAAAAAATTTTTAGAGGGACAAAAAATTGCTAATTTTAAAGGGACAAAAAACATAATTAAACCTTCATTTTTGGGACGTCTCAAAACAAAGTTCTCATTTGCTTTTAAGTTGGTGTTTTTCAATTTATTAAAATTTTCAAATATAATATTCAAGCCAAATTAAACTCTATTAATAATCCTTTCAAACTGGACTGTTGTTTAACAATGCTTACTTTCGGGGAAGGGTAAGGTCTGCGCACACACACGTACGCACACCCAAATCCTACTTTTGTGGGATCCAACTAGGTTGTTGTTGTTAACAATCAACAATCGTTACAATCCTTTCAAAAGAAACTCTATTTACAATGTTAACTCTGTGTTTTGAAGGGATAAATTCTAATATTTCAATCATAGCCTTTCAAATGCCATTTGACAACTTTATTCTCTAATGCTGTGCATTGATATTTTTGAGTGGTGCATCTTATATTTTAATATTCCAAATCGTAATTGACAACTTATTTCTTTTAGGTTCACATACGAGAAGTCAATATATTTTCTAATTAAATTTTAATATTGATCCTAGGCTTTGTCTATAATGACGATAAACCTACAAGTTCTTAAAAGGTTATTCTTCTTTAACGTAAATCTTTCTAAAGGTATTTGAATAATCAGTTTTTTACTTTTTTTTATCTTCCCTTTGTCCCAAAATGAAGTTTATATTTTGTCTTTACAAATTTTAAGAAAGGTGTTTGGTGAAAAGTGAAGAGTGTGGTTGAAATCTATTCAGAAGAAAGTGGAGTTATAAGATCCACATTTTTATTCCTTGAATGAAAAAGTGCAAGTTTAAACTTTATCATGTGGCATCCAAAAAAGAAAGAAAAGGTAAACTTCATTTTGGGATAGAGAGAATGTGTTATTTAGATGCTTTGTTACATTCCCTCCGTCTCATAATTTTCTTCTTGGTTTGACTTGGTATATATTTTAATAAAGTAGAAGTTGTGTGGTTGTGGTTTGTGTTGAGGAAAGAAGAATGATAATGACCACTCAACCTTTTCTTTAGAAGGAAAGGAAGAAAATTTTGGGACAATCCAAATTGGAAAGTAAAAACATAATATGGAACAGAGGGAGTATTTATTATATTTTGTTGTGTTTACCTCATGCTTTGCATAACTTGTGGTCTTAAAGGTCTGGTCTAATTTTTTATTCATTATTAGTTATTGCTCTTTACTCTTTCCTAAATTTTGTTTGAAGAAATGCTAATGGTATATAAGCTTAATGATAGCCTCCGAGTTTGCTCCAGACTTCACTATTATTTCAGCAGGATTTGATGCTGCAAGGGGGGACCCCCTCGGCTGTTGTGATGTAAGAGAAATTTTATTAAATTCCATTTACTCATGTCCCTTTCATGGTATATATCTTTACAGGTACATTACATGTTAAGCAGTGATTAACAAGTATATGTGACTATCTTTTGTAGGTAACTCCTCTTGGCTATGCATTGATGACACAAATGCTGAATCCTTTATCAGATGGAAAAGTACTTGTCATCCTTGAAGGAGGGTTAGTCTCTTCTGCTTGGTTAGTTATTTTCATTGCAACAGTGTAACCTCTATATCAAATTTCTATATGGTATGGATCTTTTAGGTACAATCTTCGATCAATATCATCTTCAGCTACAGCGGTGATTAAGGTATGCTTTGCCTATTATGGATGGAGTCAATCATTGAAATATAATAAAGAAATAAAAATTGAAAAATGCGTAAGCGAGAATTTTAGTATTTTATTTGCACATTGTATCAAGCTTTCATTATTCAAATATCATTGATCAAGTTTCATATAAACCAAACCAAAACAAACTAAAACCAAACAAACCTAGTAAGTCACACACGGAACATATTATGTCATGTGTGTGCATGTGTGTATGATCTCATCATGCATGCCTAACCATTTCTGTCCCAGCCTTTTGATCTCCCTATGGTCAGGTTGAGAGCATCTATGCCTCACGGAATTGGTTGGCACATCCGATGAGACCATTCCTGCACATGTACACAACACACCCTTCGTCTTGTAAGTCACAGTTGCTTTTTGCACGCTGATTATAGAAATCCATGATATTTGGTTAGCCTTCTAATTTACCCCCTAAAAGGTAAATAGTAACTTTTTTAAGGTGTGCAAACCATTCAAAGTGTCAACTTAGGAAAAGGGTATGGTTGAAAAAGTAGAAAGGTAGTGTAATTTCAACTTTCAAAAAAGTGGACATTTGTGCAACAAACCAAAATGCTTAAGTGAGAATTTAAGAATGGGACAGAGTATATTGTAGATCAAATCTTGTCATCATGATTGGGTGGTGAATTCTTTTTGCTCTTGTTTTGTTTCTCTTTGTATGATGTGATGTTACTTGTGTATAATGCTTATTTGGTATGCTAACTAGATTTGATTGGGGAAACTGTATGAGTGCTACATGTAGCATTGAGCAGCTAGTTCTTTGACCATTGAGTGTTTATCATGTGTGTTAGTTGTGGGGTCATTTTATGTGATGGGGGGAGGGGACGTTCTTTAAGTGAGCCTACAAATTACCTACTTAGAAGCTCATTTATTTGTCATTTATTACTACAGTACACAAGGTTTATTGTGTCATTTATGTATGGGAGTGGGTTATTATCCACAACTTGTAGTTGTGCTGGCAATCCTGGCATATTGTTTATTGGACCCTCCGAATGCTATTTCAATTGTTTCCAAATCAAAACCATGTATTCTTCTAAAAGTGCTTATTATTTTCTAGGTCTTACTTGGTGAAAGTCCAAAAGCTGATATGGACGGTTTTGTACCTTCCAAGTACGGATTCCAAACCGTAATGGAGGTCATGAAAATACAAAAGAGCTATTGGTCTACACTAGAGTCCAACTTCAATAAATTGTTATCTGAATGGAGAATATATGCTTTTCACAATACACGTGAGTATGAGTTTATGTTCAGACCTCTTTTTTTGAGATTTCATATAGCCAATTTGGTTAAGACAAATTTGATTAAAATGATTGAGTTATTTGAATTTGCTGAAATTGTGGTTGAAGTGACTAAAGTCTCTAAGAATGTATTTAGAATGTGCTCTCTAGAAATTAATATAAAACAATGTATCATGTTAGAGTCTCACACCAGACCATTAAAAAGAAAACGATGAGTTTATAAGATTGATGATAATAAAGATGAGGATCCCTGGGTATCAAGAATGAGACAACTCTAGAGAGAGAGAGAGAGTGCTTAATTCGTATGTTGATTTCAATAAGAATGATTGCAAGCCCCCTCCCCATAAGCCAAGAAGAGTATATATAGACGATGAAGAGTAAGCAAAGGAGTGTGTAGGTGCCAATATCTACGTCAAATATTTAACAACTCGGTCGGCGTACTAAACTGGCTCAGTCCCCTAACTATTGGCCAAGAGACCCAACTATCCAGTGCATCGTTCTAGAGGGCCTCTTGACCTGGACCCCACGGTTGACTAACAGACCAGACTAGGCTGACCATGGGTTGAGTAGTCTACCAATCCATCCACATCGCTGGTCAAGGCCGAGCTCAGATACATAGGCCTAGTACTTGAACTCAGCAGGCAAAATCAGGCCTTGAGAAATAGGCATGTGATCTTGGCTCTGAAATAAATTTCCTCGAATGTGATACCCTTTGTCCGGGGTATCCATCATAAGTCCCCCATTCCCCGAGCAGAATGTAACAATGTTTGGTGGAAGTAGCCAAAGTCCCCAGCTCGAAGAGGATGAGGGTCTCCAGAAAGCTAAAACATTGCAAATTTCTCATAATAGCCAAGTGTGCTCCTCAAACGAGTACATTGTTCCACAGAGCCGAGTTTTATCGGTATGGGAGTCCTCCACTTCCTAGGTCAAGGACGGAGTCAAAGGTGAAGGGGAGTGATCTTTGGTGCCTTGAAAAATGCCAAGGCCTCAGAGCTGATGTAAATGAGGAGGCATCTAGCTAACATTGCTACCCCTACCTCTTAATGTGGCTTACCTTACCTCCTAGGCAGTGTGGATGCTGATCTTGTTCTGAGCTGAGGCCAGCAAGTGCTATTACTTAACAACTGGAGACCTCACCCCTGTGTGTACGTGGTGGTTGACATGGTGGGCTTGGACTTCCTTCGAGCCATTGACATCAATCAGGAGCGTGCTTGATTGACATTCAAATGTTCAACTAGAGTACGAAATGGTTGATTTTGTAATCTAGAGGTTGAAAAAGAGACTTCTATAGAGAGAAAGCTTTAGTTCATATTGAGTTTGAATGAATAACATGTCCGTCCCCACAGACCAGGAAGGACTATTGATAGACGAAGTGGACATACGTGCGCAATCGCATACCCTAGCCTTCAACAAAGGTGTTGTGGGACCGACCCAACAAACTGGGACCAAAGCCCATCTTCACTACTTCAGCTGAAGGGTCTAATGCCTAAGTGGTAAAGTCTGGTCCTAGCCTATCAGGTAGCCCAGCTGATGTCAGCTACCACCCAAGGTCCACCCTTGAAGCTTCCATTATGGGCCTATGACCTTCGTCCTCCGAGTCCTTTCCCATGAGCCTGACACCTGTGGTCCATCAAAGATACCCTGATTCCCTAAGCACAACTCTTGCATAACATTCCTGATCACCCCCCTCCCAAAGATACCTCACGAACCAAAAGCACGGTGAAAATGTGTGCGTGTGGATTTTTTTCTTCTTTTTCTATGAGTTGATTTGCTTATTTGGAAACTTTACACATCCTGTTGTGATGAGTCATGTTTGAGACTAAATGGCAGGAAAACAGACCAAGAAAAGGCGGAGTGTACCAACCTGGTGGAGGCTGGGGCGGAAGTTGTTTCTCTATCGCCTCCTAACCAAGCAGATTCTTTTCAAGTCTAAGGGCCGCTGAGCCTTCCGGTGGATACCCAGATAAATCATGCACGGTATTGCTGTCATCCCGGGGCACCAAATTTAGGATTCTATGTAAATTTTTGCTCATTCTACATAAGTGTTGATTAGTACCGTTCAAAATGATGCTTTCGCCCTGCCGTCTAACTTGCTCCCACTTCACCCCTAACACATTGTGTTTTGTGTATATTTTAGATTTGCATTTGGTTGATGCCTAATGGTTTGTTTGCTTCATTTTGGTTAAACAAATATGGCTATTGGACAAAAAGATCCCCTCAACAGCATTTGTGGCATTTTTTTTGCACATGCCTAAAAATATGGACCGTGCTAGGGTAACTCCACATAGATGACCACATGCTTTTACAGACCACATGGACAATAATTATTTGTGCCGCATAAATGATTATCATTTGTGTCTAGGCAATGCATGAGATCACCCATGTGGGGTTATCCTAGCTTTACCCTAAAAGTACGTTGCACATGACACGACCACTCCTCTCCAACCGAACAAGCTAAGGTATTATTTTTTCGTCCCAGAATGCTCTTCCCATTTAAAAATGACACCCAATCTTGATAGTAGGCTAAAAAAGTAGGTATTGAGAAAATGATTTTGAAATCAACAAAAGATGGTAGAATTTATGTTGATTAAATAGTGGATGTAATATTTCTTAATACTCTTCGTCTTGAGATTGATTACATTTTTTTTGCTCACATATTGAAAACCTTTGTTTATTTGTATTTTTTTATATTATTTGATAAAATAAAATATTTGTCAATTTTTGTTTTGCAGATGTTTTGATATTTTTTTAATATGTAAATTCTATTTTTTATTTTTATAGCAATGGGGTTTCTTCCACCCTACATCCAGTGGACAGTGTGATCTCAATAATTGTTAATGATTAATTGAATTTGTCGGGTTTCATTTCCGACCAATGTGTTGAATTTATATATTAAAAAAGTTATGGGACATCCAGAACCATTTTGAATCATCCCGATCTCAAAATAAATAGGATAATGTAGGAGAACATATTGTTCCAACCCATTTCTATAAATCGGAACTAGGACCGAGACGATTGAATCCCAAACCGTTCCGACCCGTGCTAGATATTTTCCTTAAAAAGATAAGTATGACAAGAGGAGTTTTTCGTTTTTTTCAAAAGTATTAATCAATGAAGTAGGGCAACTCATGTTGGGGATGAAGGGATGGATTGATTTGTCATCTTTAAAATAACGTGATATGCATTCTACTACAAAATATCTAACGCTCCCTCTTATAGAAAAAAAACTTCTACATGCAATGCTTTCCCAAATTTGTACAACCACTTGAAATACTGAGTAATATATTTTACAATTTTCACATTTTGACTTTACACAATAAGAAATGCAAAAATATATGGTTGAAAATTGAAATTTGCAATGAACTTAATTTGAGAGCGAATATCATATCCCATTAACTATATTTACCTCACAATATTATAGTGAGAATTTTGGGTTTTTAGTATTGCTGACTCTATTAATCCCAAAAATTATTCTCTCCGTCTTATTTTAAATTGCCCATTTAAGTTTACGATATTTGATTGAAATTAATTTTAGATTACTTTATATGAAAACTAGTGTAAAATTAAAAAATAAAAATTACTCCCTCCGTCCCAAATTATAATGCCTGTTTACTATTCACAGGGTCAAACTTCATTCACTTTCTTTCTCTATTTTCGTTAGCAATTTGATAAAATAAAATATTATTGTCACTACTAGTTTTGTAGATCTTTTGATGTAGTTTTTTAATATGTAATTTTTATTTTTTAATTCTATACCATTTGTCATATAAAATGGTTTGAAAATAATTTCAGTCAAACATTGTAAACCGAAACAGGCATTATAAATTGGGACGGAGGTAGTACAATACATATTTAAAACTACATCAAAAGATCTACAAAACAAGCAGTGACATTACTATATTATTTTATCAAATGACTAATAAAAATAGGAAAAGAAAGTGAATAAAATTTAAATATGTGTGTGGTAGACATGCAATTTAATTTGGGATGAAGAAATATTATAGGAAGATACTAAAATGGCACATTAACGGTGTAACATGGGAATGTAGGGTGCGTGTAGGCAAACTTACTCCCTACTCAAAAGTAGGGAGGCTGTTTCAAGAGACCCAAGATACAAACAAAATAGCAAACCCCATTTTAAAAAACCTACACTTCTTTGGAATAAGTACAAAAATAAAAACAAAAACAGCTAGCAAACCCCATCAAAAATCACAACCTAACCATCATAACAATCAAATGAATAATTAAATAAGTAAAAGAAAACGGACTAAATGACGAAACATCTAAATGCAAGAAAAATTATCTTTTTCTTGCTTCAACTACAGGTTTTTGAAAGCAAAATGAGAAGTGAAGTATAATGTGTTTTTGTACAGCATTGCCTTATGCACCACAGACTTCACACTTTGTTAACAAAGACATCCATCTTGTATAGATATATACTGTAATTACTATGTTTTTGTGGTTGAAGATATACTCACCAGTTTCTTTTACTGATAAATAGATAAATAATTACAGCTTTTCTCATAAAATAAGAACACATATTTGATTTTACAGCCGAAGCGAAAGATAGCAGGGTAAATTATGGACTGCAATCTTAAGGCATCTGGCTTAAGGCGTTACTTCAGACAGAAAAACAAACTGCCAAACTCTACTGGTTAACTGTGCTGATACATACCTCCATGTATGTATGTATGATAGATACTGTAAGCATTTGACCAAAGACTTCAATCCAATCAACAAAAAATTTGATGGATTAAAGCTTATACATCATATACAGATAGAGGCTCTTCAACAACAACCCGGCAAATAGGGCATTTCTTGCACTTGCTGCAGCAGGCGCTGCATCGAATTCAAGAACAGTGGTTACTTGTTTTGGTTCCATCTCAGAAAGACATAAACTGATGTAAGGAAAGTCTGTTTGTCAGGCTGAATTGAAAAGCTAACGGTATCAATACTCTGTAGGTTGACTGATTGGAAGTTAATAATCCCAGTTCAGAAATTTCCTTCCGTGAGCCAAAAGAACTAACCAACATACCATTTATCTATACTATAAAAAACTAATCAATAGTGAGACAGAAGTGAGGAAATTCTATTTGGTGTTTCCTTGTGACATGTTGAGAGTACAGCCTGCTGGAAGGAGTTTTCTAATTTGGGATTTTTGCCTTCCAATCAGTCAGTGTACGGACTATTGAATTCCTCATATCGTATTTGTAAAAATATGGTAATTGGCAGGGAAAATAAAGAAATGAATGATAATAATTCTGTTTTTCAAGCATTTTGGAGCAGCTACACAAATAGGAAGTAACATCCCGTTGCCAATCAGGGCAAATGCACTAAGGCAGGGTACCTGCAAAGGATCCGATGTCTACATGGAAGAAGGACTACACTAATCTCTCTTTCAAAGCAAACCCGACAAAGAACTTTTTCCTGCATTGCATATCAAAGACAGGAAAGAGATGCAAAGGTAGAACCAATTACAAGCAAGATGAAATATAAAGTGCAGCCATTGTTATTGGTGAGAACTGTACAGATTTCTCGGAGCAGTATAATCAGTTCATCAGACCCTCATCATGAGAGTGACGAGTACTTACATTTTGAAGTCTCTCATATTGTTGTTGACTTAGCTTTGTGATTTCTGTTTGTTCACCAAGAGCTGCTTGAAGTCTCCAAACCTAAAATTTTAGTCGAATTGATAAAAACATCAAAGGATTACCTTTCAAATATCACAACAATAAATAAATCAGGAATTGGTTTGCATGCATTCAATCTCACCTCCTCTGCAAGATCCTTCTTGGGCATTTTCTTCACTATTTCAGGTGGATAACCACAAAAGGTATTGTAACTGTACCATTTTTGCACAACCATTGACATAAGCAAAAAATAGTGTAGTTATATACTCGTATAAATATGCATGTCGCATCTAATACATGAACATAAACGCACCCACCAATTCCCACCCCCATCCGCCTAGAGCATAGTCACGGAGTCACCTAAATCATGATTTTGGTATGCCATACCGCCGATGTTCGGATCACAATCGAATTGCGATTGAGTACGCCGCGTACCAATACGGAACACACGGCTGCAGCAGGGAGTTCTGTGACTATGCCCTAGAGTACCCAACAACGGAGCCTTAATCCCAAATCACTGGTCAGCTACCAATAGATAATTCCCACATGTTCATCCTCCAAATCCAATATCTTCTGTTCCACTCTTCGCACAAAGGTTGTTTTTTTCATCATACCTTGTTATTGTTATTGCCATTACATTTACAACTACAACTAATAACAATAATAGTAATATTAATATTAATATTATGCCACTGGAGCTAAGAGAGCAATTATAGCAATAATACTTGAGCTTGGGGAACATTATGGATAAAATCAAAATGGCACATTAAACTTTGTTTGCTTCTTATTTTCTATAAAGTTTTGAGTAATAAAAGCATTTGTCTAATGCCAACCATCTCTGTTTTTTGCCATTGTAAGGCTGCGTACATCCCCCCCCAACCCAACACACACACACACATCCAACTGACTTGAGGTTATACTTGCCATTGTTCACTAGTTTGTTATGCATTTTCCTGAAGTTCTAAACAAAAGAGACGAGATCCTGATATCTAAATAAAGTATGTAGTATCATCTCTTTTAAAGTCATTTTAATGATTTTAGACTTTTACTGTCATATAATCATCCTGCAAATCAAAATATTGTTGCCATTTAATTTTCTCAAATATTTGGAAAGTTACTCGTTACCTGATTCTTCTTTTTCTAACAAAAGTTGATCAGTGAAGACACTCGGGACAGATTCAACAATTCCTAAAAAACATTCTCTATAAGATATTTAGATGCAAGAATCGTGGCTAAGGTGGTTTGGGTAGAGGAACATTGATGCCCTGGTGAGGAGGTGTGAGAAATTAGCAGCGGAGAGTTTGAGAAGACATAGTCATAGGCCGACTAAGAGTTGGAATGGGGTAATTAGACATGACATGTTTCTGCAAGTTACTGAGGACATGAACCAAGATAGGGGACTTTGGGGGTCGAGGATTAAAGTTGTAGAATAATTTGACTTGGCATTTGGGTTATAAGAGGGTGTTAGATGTAGAGGGGGTGCTTTGCTTTGTAGATATTTTTTATTGTTCATCTTATAATATTTGATTGTTACAATCTGCTTTTATGTTTTCTTGAGCCAAGGCCCAAGAGTCTTTCAGGTAGGGGTAAAGATGGTTAATACCTACGCTCTCCAAAAATAAACGCTTGTGGGACCTTGATAGGCTGTAATTATGAAAGACATGCACCATTATAGACATCACTATATATGATTACACGAGAAATTCTTACCTAGATGCACCATCATAGAAGAGTCGGGCCCGTTCTTGATTTGCTTCATCAATAGACCACCAACCAAGAAGCCTGCTTGATGAGAGTTTCCACTTATAAAGTACACATAAATACAGTGTCCTATTATGTTGACAAGCCCATTTAAAACCTAGAAGGCTAGAACTTTACTTGTTGGCACCATTGAGCCCCACAACTTCTAACAAACCTATTCAGCATGACAAGTCTCAAGTTTATCCCCATTACAACGTTTTTGCATATCCGTCCCTTTTGGGTCATGAGTTCAACATGTTGATAAAAATGGTGAATTTATCTGCCCTGGTCCACAGACCCCCCCCAAAGGGTGTGATGAGCTTAATCACGGTGATGAATCATGAGATGGAAAACTGAACCCTAGGGTAATTAATCCCCGAAGTTTTCCTTTACGTGCTCAAAAGATCTGCTTAGTAACTAATGGGGTCTATATGGCCAACCAGCAGAGTTTATGGGTTTCAAATTGGGTTTAGCCAATAAGCACCTTATGATGGAAATAATATATTACCTAGATCCATGATGGAAAAAAGGAAAGTAATCACGAAGCCTCGAAACGAACACTTGATAATTTCCTGTACCAGCTCCACTTTGAAGTAAAAGGGCAATTTTCTCGATGACTCTGGACAAGGAAAATAAAACTGCAACTCCTTGCAGTACAAAGATAGGGGAGAAGAGAACCGGAAGAGGGACATATCTGGCCCCTAAAGGTGTTCCCTGAAATTCACAAACACTAATGCTACGTTTGGAACTCGGAAAATGGTAGGAAAAGGGAAAGAATACTAAGAAAATGGCTTTTGATGTTTGGTTTGGTTTTGAAAAATTCAATGGAAAACCAAATTTGATTTGACCTATTGAAAAGCTTGTATATATTTAGATTTGGTATCATTTATATGATTGAGATGATGAGAATATTAAAATATAATGAGTTTGAACAAATATCTAACTTGATACATTGCGTTGGAACCATTATTTTTACTTTCCCCACAGTTTCTTTCCTTCTAATTTATCTCTCTACTTTCATCTTTATATACTTTTCCTAGCATTTTCCGAGTTCCAACAATGATTTGATAAATCACTACTGAACTATACATTATAATGAAGAATGCTATAGCACATACCTCCAGACGCATACATAGCAGAACTTGGAAACAAATAATTGGAATTTTCATTAGGTGGCCACCTATGTCTTGTAGGCCACATATTCTATCTTCAGATTGATCTGAAGACAACCACTCAGCATATTGTATAGATGCAGAAGAACTTGTTTCCCGTCTAGCATAGCTTCGATGGATCATTGGATTAAACCACCTTGTACAGACAAGAAATGCAAAACACTCTGCAATACTGTAAAAACAAAGAAAAGATCGATGCTTGTCACTGTTGTTATGAAGTCTGTCCATACAAATGAATATGCTAGAAACTATCAAAGCAGGATAGTACCCATAGTTTATAAACAAGTCCCACCAACCTAAAGCATCTACATCACCTGGAAAATGCAAAAGGTGGCTTGGTGAGGATTATGTATCATCACGGTGAAATATGTACAGAACTATAGCTTAACCTAAAAATGAATAAGAATGCAAGAAAAAATCTGTATAAAAGTTCATTTTGTAGGGATACGAAAAATCTCCCTCACACAATTATCCATAAACTTGAGTTATTCACAAGTGCAAATGTCAGCCTTATATGTATATACTAAATGCATGTCCACTCATATAAGCACGTTTTTCTTGTGCACCCTATTCTTCCTGAAAGTATATGCCAACAGAAAACAACTATACACACCCTGGAGTGAATCCCATCATTATCTGACTGCGACAGTATGAAAGTCGGATGCCAGCATGTAAATATGATGTTTTTCTTGTTTTCAATTTTGACTAAGAATGGTAAATTGGAAAAAAACTAGCTCAGGAACAAGTTCAAAATTGTTAGCCAACCCTAGGAGTTGGAGACACAGCACTACGAGATGTTGTTGCCATTGTCAATCTGAGAGATTTCCTGGTTGAAATTTGTGGGGTTTTAATGCTCTCCCCTTTCAGTGGGCCATGTGATGATAATGTTTAATGTGATAATACTTTCAAATCTAATTCTTTTAACAGCAAAATGTTCCATAAAGATTTTTCCCCTCACCAAATTTTGAGGAGAGGTGCAAACAGTTTCAGTACAAAAATGAACCCCTTAAGAAGGGACAGGATTAGCAGGAACAACATAAGAAAAGTTGGATATTTTTTCAAACAAGTTAGTCAAAAATTGAAATTAAGAAGGGAAATAATATCATGAGAAAAGTTGGAGTTTCCCAAATATTTACATTTTACAGAAAAAAAATTGAACCCATTATTAAGGGACATGGACATGAGGATTTCAAATCATAAGAAAGTTCATGTTTTGAGAAGCTTGGTGTTATTCCCTCTCACCCAAAATAGAGATGAACATAGAGACACAAAGATATTCAGTGATACTGTGAGAGAGGACTTACCAGTAAGCTTGAGGAGGGTGAAGACTGTGGCAGCTACAAAGAACACCATAGAGATTGTAACCCAGAAGTGCTAATAGTAAATAACATTTTCATTAGTTTCCCAACCTCATACTTTGTAGTTAGCAGGCTTATATACTGAAACCCAGGTATCATTTTCATACAGAGCATCAAACTCAAATTGTATAGAGAATAAAATTGATATATGCCATATAGCAATTTGTGACAGTTGCAAAAAAAGGTGATAAATAAAAGTAACTATCAAAACACTAATATGTTATCATAATCCTGCAGTTGAATAGGTAAACCACCAAGTAAATAACAATGGGCAATTTGAATTCATAGTCAATTCGTCATATATGATTAAAAGAGAATTGAAATCATAGGTTGATAATAAAATATCTTCAAACTCAACATGCAAAGAATACCATAGTATTTGAGCTAGTAGCATACAGAAGTGAACTCAATCAAGTCCCAAAAAATAAGAATATGATCATTAATCATTAATACAGCTGTGTTTAATCACATACCACAATAAAGAAAATACTACGTATTTTTTATTTCAAATTTTCAACTAACTCCGAAAAAATCTCATTAACCCTGGAAAAAGATTTTCAAAAAGAGAGGTGGTGAACTGGATGGCCCAAGATCAAAAGCCTGCAGTTTGTGACATCAAACCGTTATGATGAGGTAGTAGTTCTCACAAAGGAAATTGCTCGTCTACCAGGGGAGAGATGGAATGGAAAAATGGAAAATAGGATATTGAGACTCTAGGTGACTCTGAACTCTGAAATGAATAATGTACGGAGTAAATAGTCTAGGAACTCATCTAGGCCAATACGAAGCCATAAATAATTTCCTCCTCGAGAGGGGGCAAACAAAAAAGGTGCATGCTGAATTTGGCAATATCTGCAGGCACAAGGCATTATTTGCAGACAGAGCATACTCCCAGATTTAAATAATTAAAAAAACCAGGGCTGAACATTTTGTCATGAAATTTCACAACAGTGATTGGAAAGCGGTATGTAATGTATTCTTCAAAAAAGTATTGGAGTTATTCTACAGAATTGATGCTAAGATCTTACAGGAAGTGTCTCCCAGATTGCCTCATCATTAATGCCTTCATCATCCCCACGCAATAAAGCCTTGCACATCCTGCATTATAGTTAAAATTATAATTATACTAATCAGAAATCATTGTCATCATCATTATTATCAACAGTTAAACACCATAATCCCAACTAGTTGTGTTCAGTGGCATTATATTTATAGTGCCAATTGTTTGTATAGAGCTAAACAAGGATGCAAATGTCTCCGATATGAATCGATACTTCTCTGCTGTTTCCATTTTCCAGTAACTCCGATATGATAGAGAATGTAAACTGATATTGCCATTCAACATATTCAAATAAGCCAAAGAAACAAAAATATCAAGTATCCCTAATTTAATTCTACAAGAATACCGATGGATATTATCAATATTGATATTAAAAAACATTTCAAAAAAACAATGAAATGTTGAGTATTTTGATTAGTATCAGTAGTATTGAGAAGCTCAAAAATGAAATATATCATAGAAATTCCGTGCAATATTAGGGTATTTTGATCCATGATATCGTGAATATAACAGAAATTTCAAGCCCTAAGAGAGAGTACATTTTCACTTTTTTTAATTCTTCACTGTATTGATATGTCCATCAATATTTCCATATTTTGAAGTACCAATGTGATGTTCAGCCTTGGACCTATTTAACTCTAAATGCATGCAAAAGAAAATAAAAATGTTTTACATCCGATGGCATTCTTGTTCCAACCCTTCTTAAGAAGGAAATCAAGAAAGAGTACAACAACCCACTTGGATCCCACGAGAGTAGGTTCTGGAGAGGGTGTGTGTACGCAGACTTTGCCTCTATTCAAAAGTAAATAGGCTGTTTTCAAAAAAGAATTAGATCAAAATTCTAAAACCAGCATCATATTAAGTTATTCCACATGCATAAGAAATATCGTGAGCAATGAGCTAAACTATTTGCTGTTGATATCTCCACTATATACTCTGTAATTGATATTGCAAGAAAAACATGCAAATCATGGTACAACACCATAACACTATGCATATCACTAAACAATTCTCGCTAAAATACTAAGGCTCGACTACCCTACTTTTATGATACCAAGAATTTGATATAAAAATGATTTGTCATTCTTCCAATGACAGTTTATTATGCTCAAGAATATCTAGAAATCATCTGACGGTCATATTCAGTTATTCTAAACGATATACTAGTCTGGACTAAACTAAGTGTCAGATTTACAATTTTCCAGCAGCAGCACTGCATGGGAGTTTGGTTAAAAGGCCACACTTTTTAATTTATACATCATGAACTCAAACTTTGTAACATTATCCATTTAAACAAGGTTAGGAAAACAAAAGTACAGGCTTGAGATGTGTCCATGTTAACTCAATAACTCATTTTGTGCATCTTACCCCATTTCACCTGTTTCATAGTTAAGCAACAAAAGGAATCACATGTATATGATAATGGTAAGAGTATCAGAAGATGATACCTTAAGTTGTCAATTAAGATAGCTATCTCAAAAGCCAGCAAGGGAAGAAACACAATTTTTAAATCAACAGCTGCATAATGATTGACTGCACATTGAGAAAAAAGAACAATATTAAATAAAGCAATGATTCATGACAATCAGGTGGGAGGCTGAGAGAGAACTACAGGAGAGACAGGCTGACAAATACAATAGATTGGTATCCTCCTTCCCATAAAAGAAATTACTCCGTATATACAGATAATGGAATGAAAGTTCAATTATGGCCTTGGAAAAGATTGGTATTTCTCTTTCATTCATTCTTAGATTCTTACTGATGGATATCGGGTCTGGTAGACCCGACTCCAGGCTCAAATAAAGCCCTGTAATAACCCAAAAGGTGTAAGGACAGATGGAGATAATGGGCCGAGCCCATTAGTGCGCATATGGCAGCTAGAGAAAGACGGCCCAGTCATGGGATCAATAAAGGTGACCCAGTCCGAGAAGGGAGTGGGACACGTGGCCCACGTCATTGGGTCATAGACAGAGTGGGAAGAGAACGAGATCAGAAAAGAGGGAATCACGACCCCACGATCTCCATAATCCTTTCCATTTTGTATAATTTTAATTATATTATTAGAGATACTATAAAAAGGGGGAGAACCCGCCATTGTAAAGAGGGAGACAATTGAAGACTCAATAAAAGAATATTATCGAGTGATTATATCTTCCTGATTCATATCTTGTTCTTGGTCCGCCATTTGATCGGGTTAATCCCATCACTTACCATATAAGCTCTCAAGATAGATGCACAAAAGGAGTTCAAACGAGACGAGCAATGGCGTGGCCACAACAGAGTGACACGGTGCCCACTATTCAATCGGAAAAAAAACACCAGTAAGAATAACACTAACAAAAGATACTCTGCAATTCTGTTCTATCATACAAACGATCAAGATTTGTAGAATATATTAAATTCCATACATGACGGTCATGTGGAATTGCTGGAGCAGGAAGCGAGAATCTTCCACGAGCAATAACTGCATGGAATAGCCACAGAGGAAAGAACACTATCCTGCATACCCCCAAGTACGCTTTATCAGATTTTAAGGAACATAATTCATCATAAGAGTAATTGTTCTATAACAGTCATTTGTCCAGGTTAACACGCAATTGAGTAATTCCGATCCCAAAAATCAAACACAAAGATGGAGAAGTTCATAATTCACACAAGAAAGCTCAGAAACTTATTCAATATAAAGTTACATGATGAAAACAAATTAAACAAAAAAAACACTAACCACCAAGAGCTGAAGATTATGCGATCAAGCTTGAGGACCAGAAAGATGGTAAACCATAGAAGCAAGGTGTGAGCTACAAGTGCCTGCAACGACTTCGCCGCTCTCCTCCAGCTCATCGCTACCGCGGACCCCAAGCCTCTCTGTGTGTATAAACAAACGTATACTATATCAGTACACAGATAGAGGTTAGAGCAGTGATGGAAACGGAGAATTTTCCGGCAAGGAGGAAATTAGGGGATATTTTTAGGGTTCCGATGGGATTAGAGAAATCTTAGAGAAGAAGAAATCCATGAAGGTGAAAGGTGGTGCGGGAATCAATGACAGAGAGCGAAAGACATGTTTAGGACTCCCAACAACTGTTCACTGGTCGCCATTATTGATTGATTTAATTTATTAATACACTCCGTACAGTAATTAATTACGTGGAAACTAGCAAATTTTTCTAACTGCACCATCTCGTTAATTCACGTGAATGTCAACTCAAATTTCACTAATATTATACTCCCTACTTTTTATACTATAAATGGCGATATACATACGACAATTTACCAATTTACTACGATTATTTTTTAAATAATTAACTTAAACTAATAATATATACTCCCTCCGTCCCAAAAAGTTTGTTACGTTTAGAAAAAACTGTGTCCTGTAAAGTCCGTTACATTTCTAATAAAAAACCACTTTTACCCCTTACTTTTTCATACCCTACCTATCACATCGTACCTTTTTCCTAATAATCTACCAATCACATCCTACTTTTACCCATCACATCAAGGGTATTTTTGGAAAGTCAATACCAAAATATCCCTCCATTAATTTCCCAAAAAGTCAAACCGTCCCATTCTTTTTGGGACGGAGGGAGTATTAATTATAAGATAAATTTTCCCTAAAAAAATATACGGAGTAAAATAGTTTTTAAAGTATTAAAGTTTTTAATGCTCTATACTTAATTTTAAAATAATATAAAGTGTAAATATTTAATTAACATGATAATAACACAATAAAATTGTATTCCGATATAAATTAGTTTTAAAATCTATGAACCAATGTAAAAATTAATTAAAAAATAGAAACCAAAACAGAAAGTTTTTAAAAACAGGATGACATTTATCAAATTAAATTGATTTTACAATACAAATAGGACATTACATAAGAAACTACAATGCTAAAGGAGTAGAAAATAACACGTATAAAGACGTATCCATTTACTTTTCTTTCGAGAGTTAAAATTATAATTTTGATGTGAGGGTGAAAGAAGTTTTTATATGTAGTTTGAATATACTAATTTAAACAATTTTTTTCCATAAAATATTACAGTAACGATTAGAAGAAGAGAAAGATGTAGTATGCTCGGTAAATGCATAGACTCGCTTACTGATTATATTTGGTACCAAAAGAGAGAAGATAATGTTACCTTATAGACAAATTCTATGATGGACCTACATATGAGCAAAATAAACATTTCTTTACTACTTGAATTGTAGGAGAAAGAATTGTAGAGAATGGTGGAGAAATGAAGAATTAAGCATGCCTTATATAGGATGAGTTTAGAGAAGAAGCCAATGGTTACTGCGTCAATCGATCGGCGAATTTCCTTAGTGCGCTAGACTGCAATTGAGTTCCGATTATACACGCCGTTCCTTGATTGGGACTAATTTGATCCTTGTCGGGGTATACTTTTTTGTTCTACTTTTTCCGAATTAAATTCTGTTTGCACCATTGCGATCAGACACTTAAACTCTATTCAACGATATAATTTTATACTCTATTTATTTGTAATACTTTTTCAGACACCATATTTTTGGAGTTTGACTTTGACAGAGTCAAAATTGATTTAATTGACCTTTATTTACAAAGGTTCTCATATTTAATTTATACTACCTCCGTCCCAGAGTATTTGTCCACTTTCATTTTTACACACCATCCAATACACTTCTTTAATCCATTTTAGCTTGTAATTTGTATATTAAAAAATTATAGAAATTATATATTAATAATCTATATGTTAAGACAAATCAAACAAGATCACACATGACTATATTTTGGCTTACACATTGAGAGAATTTGATGAGTCAAAGTGCTTAGATAAACAGTTCGAAAAGTCAAAAGTGGACGAATACTCCAGGACGGAGGGAGTATTATTTATTTTCATGATTTATTTCAACAAATTATTTTGAAGTTCACATCATTAACAAATTCTTTATTTATTTTTAATTTGGGTTTGTACTCTGGTTCCCAATCAATATTACACAAATAGTCAACATATTAAATTTATCTCTATGAGATTTATCCAGATTGTGTTATATTGGATATCAAAACATATTTCATTTCAGTCCAAAGCCCAACAATAATTTATTTTAATCAAAATAAATTTAGTTGATTGAATAATAATTCAATAATAATTTTAGGGTATATTTTGGGGCGTTACAGATTCCATGGTATTATGGATTCATGACACCAACAAAGAATGATGTGTCTACCAATCATCGGGCTAATAGCGCTGGTACCCCTCGTGGTTTGCAAAACATGCACCAATACTCCCTCTGTTTTCAAAACTCATTTCTAAAGTCCATGTGGTTTTAAAAAGCTGCACCCATGCCCTCTCTAATCAATTTCCGGCCATTTTTCCGGTGAAGAAGGGGGGCATCGGTGCATATTTTTTAAACCATAGGGGGTATCAGTGCTGGTTTTTATTTCTCGCAATTTTTTTCCATTTTTTCCCTTTTTGTTTCATTTATTAATAAAGGTTTTTTAGAAATATTTTTATAATGTTCTTAAAATTTAAAGTTATTTTTGTTTAAAAAAATTAACATATAATGCATACGTACATCTCAAATTAACAAATTTTGTTTTTTCTGAATAAAATGTAATTTTTTTAGAACTTCAAAAAAAATGAGGAATAAAATAAGAAACAAAATAATACAAAAATAAAAATGAATATCCTTTTCGGACATCTCAATTTTAAGGACTTTTTTAGGCGTGTCCAAATTTTTTGTATAAGACTTTTTTCCGTATTTTAATTTTTTCTTTTCGATTTTCCATATTTTATTTTTTTATTCTGGGTTTTTTTTTGAAATTTCCAAAAAAATATTCTAAGTAACAAAAATTGAAAATGTTTAATTTGAGATAGATGTAATAATGTATATTAATTTTTTATTTCTATTTTTTTTTTGAACAAAATGCACTTGATTCATTCATCCACCTCCAATCAGTTTACACAAGGAAAAACAAACATATAAAGCTATTACATCACACTCTATGCCAACTATCTACTCATCATTTTATCTTCTTCCTCTTCCATTTCTCCCAGTATGTAGCCATGGTAGTTTGTAACCATTGCATCATACTCTCCAGCTGTGGCGTGCTTCTTGAATGTAACTTTTTATTCCTTGCTCTCCAAATGGTATAGCAAGCTGCCGAGTAAGCGCTTACGACCTGTTTCCTCCTCTTCCCCTGCAGCTTCATCAGTTTTTGCCTTAGGTCTTGGACCGTTCCTCCCTCTATTTTGTAATTTAACCAGGTAGATACTCTATCAAGTAGTTCCTTGGTAAAACTACAATTACAGAATAGGTGGTCCTGGTCTTCATCCGCTGCATCACATAGTTCACAAGTCCTGCTTATGTCCATGAACTTTGCCAGCCTAGACTTAGTACTCACTCTTACCAAACTGCACCACAAATTGGCCTTCCCTTAGCACTGAGATTTCCTCAATGCTATACTCCTTCCATATCCTTCTTAAGAATCCATCCATGATTTTTAGTGGAGGATTTGCTCCCAAGACACAACAGAGAAGAGTTGCTTCCCAGTAATTAGCTATATCCATCAGATCCTCCTCAGACATTCTTGCCATTCTAACCCCATCTATTTTCTCAGATTGCACAAATTTCAGTTCAAGGTTAGATTCTTCTTTAAACCCTACTACTTCAACAAATGTGCGTTTAGGTTCCACCTGGTCATCCCTTTGATCCTTCATCTCTCCCATTGTTATCTCGTGATTAACGTTCAAATCCAGATCTAGGGTTTGTTTCATTTCAGATACCATTCCAATCGAGGGAGTATCATTCTTACCTGTTGAAGATTCTCCCGTGTCTGGAGATGCGATCTCAGTGTTTTGCTTCAGAGTTGACTGCTCCGTCGCCAGTGCCTTGGCCTTCTTCTTCCTTGGTCGCCCCCTTTTCCTCGCAGTCATGGCTCAGAGAGGAGAGCGTTTTACGCTGTCAAGAAATTAATTTAACTAAAAGTTTAATCTTGTCTATTTTTATTTCAAACACAAAGAATTTTAAAATTTTTGAAACATTATAAAAAATTGAAAATATATTTTTAAAAAATCTAGGAAAAAGAAAAAGAGATAGAAAATATTTAAAAAAAGGAAGAATAATAAACGAAAATAAGAAATGAGCACGAATGCCCCCTATGGTTTAGAAATTATGCATCAATGCCCCCTCTTCGTCGGAAAATGGCCGGAAAATGATCATAGGGGGTGTGGGTGTAACGTTTTGAAATCACGGGGACTTTAGAAATAAATTTTGAAAACAGAGGGGGTATTGGTGCCAATTTTCCAAACCACATGGGGCGTCAAAGCTATTTGGCCACCAATCATCTATATCTTTTGAATTTGGAGTGACAACAAGGTGGACCCATTCATAAGTCATAACTCCAAACTTCTTTTTGCTACCTAAAGCAAGACGTAGAGATTTTCACTATTCTTTGCAATTATTCTTCGCATTCTATGTAACTATTTTATCCATAATTTTTTTAGAGATGAAATAACAGTTAATATTCTATAATGATGTTAAGCTTAATTGAAGATGCTAAATATGGAGTATAGTTTTTACAATACTAAAAAACATTCTATGTAACTATTTTATCCATAATGTTTTTAAATAGTTTAAAATATCGATGTTTTTCTATTTTATCATGTAGATTTATATACAAAAAAATAGTATTATTCATATTAAAATGTTGAAGAAAAAATAATAATGAGTGAATCATATAAATAGTGAGATGAAAAAATGAAATAATTTATAAACTATAGTTTTGAACATAATAGTTGTAATAATAATAATAATCATATCATTTTTAGAGTGATTTGTTGGAAAGTAGAACCTTTTTCCTCACACTCAAAACCTTTAATTTATGACAAAAGCAAGTGTCTCTAAATAATAAAATATAAAACTATAAGCAAGGATTATTTAAAATAATCAAGAAGCAAAAATTATAAGACTGCCCCTGATATGATGGGGGATTTAGAGATAATAAAATAGAATAAAAACTTAAAAAGAATGAGAGAGAGAGAGATGAGGAGAGTACAATTTGGATGAAAAAATTTTCAAATCCACAATCGTTTCGATGAGAGATTGTGCTGCCTTTCGTAGGTTTCTTTATTTTGGAGATAGTGTGGAGTATTGTTTAATGTTTTTAATTTACAGCATATAGAGGGCGCAAATTATATTATACATCCGGCTATACCTAGATATCGGTATTAATAGGACAAAAAGAAGCGCAAGAAATCGGCGATGAAGGAGGCTGGCCGTTCGGAAGTTTGCGCGGATCTGAGATGATGTACGGATCGATGATAATGATCGATGATGAAGAAGGAAGGCTGATTATGATGAAGAAGAAGGAAGACTGGTGATGATGATGGGGTTTTGCAGGATCTGCGGTTAGGGCTTAGTTGAAGGATCTGCTGTTAGGGTTTTGCAGGATGTGCGGTTAGGGCTTAGTTGAAAAATGAGTACTCGTTTAAGTGGGAATGAGTACTACTAGATTTTAGAATGTGTATTTGGTTTTTCGTAAATGAATATTGTACAAATGTGTAAAAATGAGTACTACGTTTTTTCAGAATAAGTAACATGGTTTTCAAAATGAATGCTTATGTTAATAAGAGAATGAGTACTACTTTATTTCAAAATGAGTACTACCCGGATGTACCTATTTCTAGGTACATCCGGATGTACCATATACACACTCATAGAGAGGGTACTTTTTTTTCCTTTTCTAAATTCATCACTACTGCAGATAGTCAGATAGTCTATGGCTGGAGGATATAGAACGAGAAGCGCCGACCAATACCAAACATCCAATATCATAGCACTTTAGGCTACGACCAAATGACCAATACCAAACATCCAAATTGCTCAAAAAAAAAAATTTCTCAAAAATCAGAGTGAACACTTCTCTTTTGGAGCTGAAAACATTCCTTTGTATTTTCTGAATTTGGGTTTACCTCAAAAAAGTGTAAATTGATTACTTTTATACTCCATATTATGGACTAGTAGTATTATTATATACTGCACCTGCTGAGGCCATTGAAAATTCAAATACGAGAAATAAATCGGGAAAAGGAAATTTAAACCAGTGTTAAGAGGAATTGGAGTGAAATTAAAAAGAAGCAAAAAGATAAGGGAAGATTAGATAGCCAGTAAAATTTGGAATATATATCTCCATGCAAATATGTTTCTGAAGGAACAAAAACCAGAGTTTCATTGACATGCCACAGCCTCACAGGAAGATAGAATAATGCTTTTTTTTTCTTTTTCAATTTCCCTGTGAAGTTGATTAGATTATATACACAGACAAAAATCTCCCTGCTGGAAGATGAACTGGCTAAGCTATATCCACAAAATGATATGCTGCATAGTACCTACCTACCCACCCACCCACCTGGAGGGAAGATTATTGCAAGAATTGCTGAAGCCAGGGATAGTCTCCTGCATCCTTCTCCAACTTGGTTTTCAATTCCTTCAGTAGTTGTAAAACTTGACACTTATCCCCGGCTATCTTATCCAATGGCAGCTCTGTGAAATCCTTCAAGAATTGACGGGCTCTGGCCGCACCTCTTGACACATCGTCGGAGTCAAATTCTCTTTTTCGTTTGGAGGTTGCCTGTAGAGAGAGAGAGAGGTGTAGCGTGGCATTAGGATTGATTTTGGGATTTCCAAATCCAATACTTTCATGAAGTAGCTTTTCACAAAAATGCTATTTTAGCACCATGGGTGACACCATCTGTGTTTTTTTTTGTCTTCACTGACAGTGGGGATTGCCATTGTCTGTGTGGGAAAAAATCGCAGAAGAAGTCACCCATGGTGTAAACCACGGCACAACTCATCTTTTCAATATTATAAAAGGAGAACTTTTACTCCATCTATTCTACAATCAAGTTCCCATTTTTAATCACATATATTCAAGGTAGGATCTTTTTGCTTAAGACTAACTTTACCCATACTCTATTGTTTTATATGTATGCTTCTAAAGTCAGGGTATTAATGAAAACTTGGTCATCTATGAAGACAGATCATTCCTAAGAGCTTAGGTGCACTTATTGCTGCTTTTAAAATTTTCCTACATTCAAGAGGGGGCAGGGGGAAAAGATTTACACTTCATTTTGATATCTGTGTTTGAATCGATTGACAAGGTCAGTGATTTGCATGTTGATTTTACAATATCAATCTTAATTCTTAAATAGGATATTCCTATAACAGCTATATCAACTCATAACCATCTTACACTATTTCCATTTAAAAGGAAAAAAAAAGCTTATGATTATGACATTTTTGGGTCTTTCGTCTTATCATTTATCTGCACAAGGTTGCAATGTGAAGGGCATGCAGTGTAAAACTTTTTTTTTGGCGTGAATTTAGTGTTCATAAATTTCAAACAAATAATTGGCATATGCAACACAATAAGGCAACAGATGATGTTACCTCGGCATCAGAAAAAAGTATAGATGTAGGTGAGAAATCTTCCAACTCAGCAGCCTTTTCCCTAGCAAGAGAAACCACACTCTCAGGAAAGTTGGCAAACTCTGCAACATGAATCCCAAAACTTTGATCACAAGCTCCTGGTTCCACCTGGAATATTTTTTTTATGAGATATTATGTTAATCAAATCTTTCTTAGAATGCAGATTCATGTACAATTTAGAAAGAACAATGACATTATGGAGTTGGCATTAATGAGTGAATCGTAAATCAGACAACATATCTATGTAAGAGGTCTTAGGTTCACCACCCTCCCCAGTCCCCACAAATGTACCAACAAGGAAACACAGAAACTTGTGTGATATGGTTTCAATGAACTAAATCCAGAAGACCAACAATTTTATAGTTAAAAACTACTCCATCCGGACACTATTATATACCTCTTATAATGAGTCAATAGGACTTGAACACTTGATTAATAAACTATTTCAGAAAAATGTACTTTTTTAAATGAGAAAACAATGCAGCTACTGAAATTTTCAATACAACCCCATTTCCAATTCCAAATGTTCCTGCAAGTGGTAGGACTGAAGGAAACTTCTACCTAAGATGACCTTCATTACACCATCCAAGTATCCAACCACCATATGATCTTGAAACAAATTCTTACCACTAATCTTTATTTCCATGGATAGTAAATTTGGCAAGCATTTTTGGAAATCTGAGAAGAATAAGAAGTTCAAAATATTGAGTGGCTTTTGTAAGAACGAGACAAAGAGATACCTTATAAAGCATTGTTAGCTTCCGGTTTTTTGAGTCAATGTGTGCACTAACGTGACAATTCACTATACCAGCACTGTACTTGGATTGATCATCATGCATATTTTCATTAGCCAGAGCAGTGAGCTCATGGAAGTGAGTGGCAAATAGAGTAGGTGCTTTAATTGCTTCAACAATGTGCTCACAAATGGCCCAAGCTAAGCCTGAAAGTTGTAGTTAAGAACAGCAGATAGAAGTTAATGAAGTTGTATCAAATGATTCTTTAGAAGAAATAAATTGTACAAATGCAACGCCGTGATTTGAGGGTGATTCGTATGGTTTCATCAGGGCCAAGTCAGTGTGAACACAAACATTGCAAATCAATTTCCATGATTGTGCTTTTGTTGTGCACTTGTTTCCCACTTAGACAAATGGCTATGAATATTTAATGATCAAACACTTCTTACTTAGATTGAGTTAACAAAGGTTAGAACAAATGCATTTGGCCAGCTATGGCAATCTAGATACGCCATATATACAAGATGACATGTGAATAAGAAAAGATGAAGCTGTCAATAGGTACACATTACTTCCAGCAAAGAATTCATCCACCATTGAAAGATTAATACTCGCAAAACATAGTTACACAATTAAAATATAACTGACCGAATCCATCATAAGTAGATGTCCCACGTCCTAATTCATCAATAATAATCAATGATTTATCAGTAGCTCCTTTCAGGATTGATGCAGTTTCAAGCATTTCTTGCATAAAAGTTGAAACTCCACGAAGCTGATAAAAGATAATGGTTGCAACAAGTTAATTCTTTGCCAGAACTTTACACATGAAGAAACAACAATTATTGTGATGTACTTGTCATATAATAGAAGAAATCGAATAAATAATCAAATACATACACCAACCCAGCAGCAACATGCATACTTTGTTGCTATAGATTTAATGTTAAACGGAATGACATAAAATGCTCCATGTAGTTGGGAGAAAAACTGCGGTTGGTGACACGCACTCATACACGCGCGCGCGCGCACACACACAAGCTAGCCCTTATCATTTATTTGTGCTTCTCGAGGTTTTCAAGGAAAAAGTCTCTCTAGATCTCAACTTCTCCAAACCCTACTCTCGGTCCCGAGTGGGATATACTACGTATGTTTGGTACAAATAACTTCATATTTTGCACACACAAAAAGATAGGGACCAAGGGTTTCCAAGGAAGTATTGTGATATAATATTGTTCAGTGTAACAAACAAGTTAAGGATTATGCGCATGCTTTAGTTAATGTGGAGTGTTGAATTATTAATTCTCACCGCATAGCCTATGGTGCAAGCACATGACTAGCACGTGGTTTTATTATGTTACGAGTATTTTTGTGTAATCTATGTAAGGTGTATTTTGCATTTTTTCCAGAGAAGATAGTAAGAAATATGGAATTATAAAGATGTATTAACTATTAAGAACTCCAATCTTTGACATATAGTCATTAATATATTCTCCCTCTGTCTTTGAAAGAATCTGACCATTTGACTTCACAGAAATTTAAAAATGCAGAAACGGTGGGAAAAAGTGAAAAGCATGTGATTGAAAATTATTTGGAAGAGAGAGAATTAAAGATGTCCACATATTTCATAATTGTTTCCTAAAAAGGAAAATGGAGAAGTGTAAAGTTGATTTTTAGACATCCTCAAAAGGAAAGTGTACAAGTTGTTTCAAAGACAAAGGGAGTAATGGCACATATGAACAACATTTTAGTATATTGCGGATTCAACCCCTTCTTTAAAGTCACATTAAAAATGTACTAGAATTTTGTATTGAGTTTTATAAGCAATCTTAGAAGTACATAATACATATATGTGAATAATTAATAATATTAACTTACTGTTTTTACATAAATAATAAGAAGAGCAGTCAGAAATAGAACCATTAGGGTAGTAGAACTAAATGCAAGGATATTGACTTCCAAATTGAGCAATCGATCATTCTTGTGAGATTGATGAAAAATTGTAGGGTCGTAATTCTTTCTGAAATTTAGAATACGTTTTTGAAGTATGATGATGTTTAAAGTGAACTGAAAAAATAGTTAAGGCTTCAAGCGAAGGAGATGCACTGACCCAAGAACAAAATATTAGAAGCTTATTGCAGTATCACACTTCTTACTGATCTTTTTGTTGAAAATATGTTAGAAAGGCATACTTTATTTGCATTAAATATGTAATGACAAATAAGGCAACATATTTAGAATGATGTAGGCCTGACACTTAATGCTTCTAATGAAGATGCCATGCTTAAACCATCAGGATACCATTGAGCCATCTATTTGAACATTACAAAAAGTACCATTCTTTAAGGCTTTAAATGAGGATTAAATGGAAAAAAGGTAAGCAAGTTACATATCTGTGTGGTAAAATACCACACAAGAAAAAGAATGAGACTCAATTTCGTTTCTTTGCTAATTGGGTTACACTAACGCAAAGAAACATGACAGTCACACGTTACAATCTCTTATCAAAAGATCATGCCAACTCACCTGGCAATCGCCAGCACCTATACGAGCAAAGATACAATCACGAATAGAAATGCTAGCTTTGTCGCAGGGAATAAATGAGCCAACTTGCGCCATTAGGATATTAACCCCAACCTGCTCGTCCAAGTATGTGAAAAGAATTCAGATATTTTTACAGGCAAAAAAAATAAATATGCAAGAATCTAACAAGGGTCAGCAATCTTGCATCAAACTTCAAAAGTCTTTAATAATGACAGTGTAGTGCCGGTGCCAATACTTTGTAAATAAATGTATATCCCACTCTATGGAGTAGGCAATGGTACACAATACAAACCTTTGAATCATACACGGAAACAATGGAGCTAGTCTGTGATTTAAAATCATGTCTTGAAAACAATGCAAGAATTATTGAAGTCATTCAAAAGAATTAAACATCATACCTGGCGTATAAATGTAGATTTTCCACCCATATTAGGCCCAGTAATAATCTGAAACCAACTCTTTCCTCTAACCTGGGAAAGCAAAGAACTAGTAACTCATCAATATGAAAGACTAGTGGTGTGCCTTATTTGGTGCAGACCAACCCGAGACCCAGTCAAAACCGCGGCCCGGACTGGTTTTCAGTCCGGTCCCCATATTTGGACCAATGAATGAAGACTCACTCCAGAAACATCAACAATGAACTTGAAGTCTTATACACTTACTAGCTTACAATCGTTTGGGATGAAATTGACCCAATCTTGAGCTTCCACACAAGGGTGTCTACATCCTTCTAGTATAATGTCTCCTACATCCTAACACACAATAATCATACCAGCTTGTGTAACATTTACAATAAAAAAATTGACTAAACTGGTATAATCATGCAAACATTCATTACTGGAGGGGTGATGTCTGGCCTTGTGTATGGCGTGGAGCAATTTGCAGCCAAATCTGCAAAACTGAGCAAGACATCCAATTCAGAGAGCAACACAGCTATTCCCTCGAATACCTATACAACCAATGCTTAGTTAATGGCTAAATGCAATATAGTCATTATAGTGACATCAAAAATAAAAAAAAGATGAACTAGTATGATCGAAACATAATAAAATTATATTTAATCAAATGTCACCTCAGAGAATGTTGAAGCAGTTTTAACTACTCGAACAACCAGTTCTTTCTGGCAGTTCTTATACTCCTCAACTATCATTTGGTATTGATCCCCAAGTTTCTTGAGTTTTGTATTGGTAAATTTCACTCCATCTTTTCGAGTATCAAGAATAATAAAGTGGGTGTTCAGTTTCTTCCTGACCTTTTGCTCTTCCTTCTGNCTGTCGAGGTTATATCTTCTAATTGTGTAATTTTCATAATTACTCTCATCTGCAAGTAATTCTGCATAAGAAAGAATGGACCCCAATGCTCCGGGTGCCAATTCAAACCCAGACACTAAATCTTGAATTGGTTCTTTAGTACCCTTGACAAGTCTACCCAGATCCTGCACCACATCTCTTCCTTTAAACTCAGACTTCTTTCTTTCAGTTACCATAACACCACACCTTGTCATTACTTCTTGCAGAGCTCTATACTCACAAGATTTGGTAATCTCAGCGGGAATTAGACATTCTTTGCAACCAAGAGCAACTAAAGCAGACTCTGAGTTCGTGAAATGGTTATCATCAAGAAATTCAGTCAAGCCAAACATTCTCTTAGTGAGATCAACATAAGCTAACCCGACAGTGCATTCATTGTCACGAAAGTTAGGAACAAGAGCTACAATCGCTGGAGTATCTCGCATTTCATTATTTGCAAAAAGGATGTCCTCAAAACTTCCAAGATTCCCTGGGGTTCCCGTTTTAACCAATCTCCAGTTTGAGCCACTACCCTCATACAACTCAAGAGTATGATCAGTTCTCTCCAAGAGAAGGTCACGGGTTATTGTCTCAAACATGTTTCTACTCACACTCACACTAGAGATGGCACCAGACCCACTACCGATTTGTCGTAAAGCAGTCGTGGTATGGTAATACGTCTTTGCTATGAAAGTTGCATTGTCTCCGTGAGCAGTGTAATAGTCCTTACAACAGGGAAAACACGTGTTAATATATTAGACACAAAATTTAAGTATGGAAAAAAACAAATTTGAACCGTGCTTCTGTGTCCTATTGTATGAAGGATATCAAACTGAAAACAAACATTTTGAAGTCACAAAAAGGTTTCACATGGAACACTAAATGGAGAAATCAGATATACAAAATGCAAAATTTGTACTCCGTATAAAATCAGCAACAATACACTGAAACACTCAAGAGAACGTACTCACGCAAACAAAAAAAACGGAGCAATATTTTGAACAATTAGTTAGTAGAAACATCTTCATAAACAATTCAAATACAAGTAAAATCCTAGGCTTAGAGATAAGCACTCACTCTGCGATCGAAGAACCGAACAACCCTAGTGTCCTGCAGACAAGAGGGAGTAAATTAAGGCTTTTCCACATGAAATATACCACAAATTCATCGTAGAAGGTTAGAAACAGAGCAAATGTTTTTATACCTCGGGTAGTGTTTTGAAGAATGATAGAAATCTTTGAGCTTGTTTGGCATCTAAGGTTTTAAACACAAACAAACGACGGAAAACCCCTTTTAGATTAAATGAAAAAAAAAAATCGACGCTGGAAATGAAGAAACTAGGGTTTTGATTTACCGAGTTTGAGCTCTGGAAGCTTGTTCTGCTCCTCAAAATTTTCATCCATTTTTTCAGTAACAATGAAGAATTTGCTCAAAGCAAAGCAAAACGATGAGTTTCTGGAGAAAACAGAGTGTAATAATAATAGAGCAACAGGCTACGAGACTACTGGATGCACTGTGAATTTACGGCGATGGAAAATGGCGGGATTCGGGCTGGCGGGAGATGGAAGGACTGAGGGGAGCAAGTCTAAAGGGATCTCGAATTTTTTGGAAAAACTCAAATTAACAAGCAGAAAAATACTAAATAGATAAAGTATAAAAAAAACTATACCTTACCAAACTGACAAAACATGATCGGTTTGGTATTTTGAATAGATAAGATGGTAAGGGGTATCTTTTCATACCAAAAATTTTAAACCGAACATATATATAAATATATTATAAAAATAATAATTTTTTATATTTCTTCATTATATAGTAAATTGATTTTGAAAAGTTGGTTCAAATGTAGATAAATTACAAATAATCTTTTATTTAAATAATCATTTACTTTGAATTTTAACTTTATATAGATGAATTTTAAAAAAAATGAACAAACATTTGAAATGTTATTTTGTTATCATTCATTCTCCTTTGTTTGTGAAATACTATGTTTAAATTAAACTAAATTTTATTAGCATTTCTTGCATTTAACTATTCATTTTTAAATTTTTTATCTTTCGTTTTTTAATTTACTTTAAGTTTTTAAAATAAAGAGTTTGTACATTTCAAAGTGTAAACTAGGTACACACACACACACATATAATCATCCCAACATTTACCAAAATCGAACCATACAGAATCGATACTTCGGGATCGGGATTGGTACGATGTAAAATCTCATATCGAATTGAAATATTTGGTACGGTATCAGTACGAACCAAATACTATACCATACCGTACCACGCTCACCCATATTAGTATACATTAGTCTGCACCGTAAGGACCTTTTTACAACATTTTTTTAAAATTAAATGTCGAGAAGAGAGGGGGAGCCCCTCATCCAATGTCGTTACTATTGGGGTTCAATGAAGCACTGCGTGATTGTGGTTTGATTGATTTGGGTATAAAAGGGTATCCTTTTAAGTGGGAGCGTGGAAGGGGTTCGACAGATTGGGTTGAGGAACGGTTAGATAGAGCAGTGGCTACTGTTGCTTGGTTAGCGCTTTTTCCACGAGCTTGTGTCCTCAACATTGATATGAGGAGCTCAGATCATTCAGCTTTTTTACTTAGAGTTACTGGGACTACTTCTGTATCTCGGATTAAAAGGTTTCGGTTTGAAAATGCCTGGTTCCAGGATGAGGGATTCAAAGACACATTGATACAAATGTGGTCTGATGCGGCACCTTTATCCCTACCTGAGAAACTTGCTTTTTGTGGCAAACGACTTCAAGTGTGGGGTGGAGACTGCTTCCAAAAGTTTGGCAAGAGGAAGAGGGAGCTTTTAGACCGCATTAGAAAGTTTCGACCTCAACGTACTCCGGCGGGGATCCGAGCTTTTAATGAGGCAGATAAGGAGTTGTCTAAGCTATTGGACCAAGAAGATGCATATTGGCGACAAAGGGCAAAACAGAACTGGTTGAAGTCGGGTGACACTAATACTTATTTTTTCGACCAATATGCTTCGTATAGACGGAGAAAAAACCAGATTCATGGAATTCGTGCATCTGATGGACGTTGGGTGAAGGGGGAGAAGATTATGTCAGAAGTTGAGCACTATTTCCGGAACATCTACGCCTCAACTAATGGAGTCATTGCGCCAGTTTTTGATAGTTTAGAGCGCGGGGTGACAGATACATTTAATTCCAAGTTAGCTCGTCCCTTTGATGCTTCAGAGGTTCGTAAGGCGCTGTTCATACATTATTTCCAAAGGTTCCGACGTCAGGCAGGCATGGCACCGGTGGAAGATAAGTTGCGGGAAGCAAGGTTGAGATGGTTTGGCCATGTGAGACGGCAGGATGATGACGCCCCTGTACGAAGATGCGAGAGGATTACGGTTATCGGGGGAAGTAGGGGAAGGGGTAGACCTAGGAAAAATTGGAAGGATGTGATTAGGCAGGATTTAGGACTTCTCGACCTGACTGAGGATATGGCTCTAGATAGGAACCTTTGGAAAACTAGGATTAGAGTAGCTGGATAGGAGCTCGGTGTTGCAGAGGTTGTTTTGTGGTGTGTTGTATTTGTTAGGAATCTTCTGCTATTGCTTGTACGTGTTGCTTGTACTTGGTACTTTATTTGTGTTATACTGTGTTCCCTTCCATATTTTTGTGCAGGTGGAGCCGGGGGTCTCTTGGAAACAGCCTCCCTACTTCCGAGTAGGGGCAAGGTCTGCATACACACACCCTCCCCAGATCCTACTGTTGTGGGATTCACCTGGGTTGTTGTTGTTGTTGTTTATTCATAGCTTTTCGAGAGCCATTTTGTGAAGTTCGTGTTGTGATCTTGAGCGTATTACTTTACTCATATTCACTCTTTTGAGAGAGCCTTGTTCTTGAGTGTTCTTAGTGTTTATAGACATTAAGGGAAGCTTGTTTCCCTTGGTTGTACGAAGGAAAGGTATTTTCATTTGGGTTGAAGTCTTGGAGTGTGGTATCTCCGAGCAAGTGTTGTTGAGGCTCGTGGGACTCGAGTTCTTAGGTTGTAACGGTTTCTTAAGTACCCGCAAGCTTAACGGAAGTAGTGTAGCTCGAGAGAGTCTCTCCGGAGACTGGATTAGCCACACGTTGTGGTGAACCAGTATAAATCTTGGTGTGCTCCCTTTATGCTTTCTACGCTCTTTACATTTCACGCTCTTAATTTTTTTTATTCCTGCGATTTCTACGATCAAACACTATTCACCCCCTCTAGCGTTGGGACGTTTTTCTAACAATTAAATTTAAAATATTGTCAGTCCTCACTAAGCACTATAAAAGAGTTCTGATATTTGAAGATACCAGAACCCATATTTTTTTTCTCACCGAACAGACCCTAAGAGTAATTTCATAAAATTTTACTTTTTTTCAACTCCCCTTGAACACCGCAAAAAAATTACCTAGAAAGTTCTTTCCCGGGCGGAGGGAGTATATTTATTTCCAGTATTTCTAATTCCACTCACAAACCGTTAAAAATTTACTTAGAAAAAATTTATTTTTGTAACACCTAGAAGTTTATAAAAAAATTTCTAAAAATTGGAATTAAAATTTCAATTTATTAGAAATTTATTATAAACTTTTAGGGTACACTTTGGGGTGTTACATTTCTCTCCCGCTTAAAAGAATTTCGTCCTCGAAATTCCTAGCGTTATTGTCGCTGAAAAAATGAAGATACTGAATTTCTCACGGATTCTCCGGTGTCGTAGGAAACCATTCACACTTTTCGCGACCTCACACATAACAGGATAAGGAAAGACACATATTTGCATTGCATTAAAGTTAGAATCACTAGAACGAGATTATGTTGTATTCGACGTCTAGATTAGGATCAACTCGCCCCTGCATTGCGTAGGTCCTAGCTAGAGCCCTACCTTGTTGTTGTGTCGCAACTTACGGCGGTCGTTGTTGCTGATGACGTTATTGTACGTGAGATCCTGCTGTCGTACACTGACTCTAAGTTGGTTCAGGAACTTGCGTCTGACTTAGTACTGAAGCTGTAGTGAAAGCTGGGTTGGGATTAGTACGTCAATTCCTCCTAAAGTGACCCGCCTGTCCGTAGCCCAGTCAAAGCCTGAAGGTCTTCCAACACTCTCCTGAGTGATGTCCTCCACAACTATCATATCATGGGCATTTTGATGTCATCCGATTGTAGTTAGACGCCACAGATTGGATAGGCACACACTTTGCCTTATTGGACAGTTGGAGCTCAGATCCTTTTGGTGGTCTCTTTCTTGGAAGAATCTTACTTGTGGTAGCTGGATGTGTAAGTGTCTTAGCTGATTGTTGGCATGTCTTTTGACTCACACCCTCTTTGGTCCTAACCACTTCTTTGGCCTGCTCGTACATGAGGCCAAAGTCCTGTCTCGATGTTATAGACAAGTGCTTCTGAAGTTTCGGGTGCATGCCCTTCACAAACTTATCGTAACGATGCTTGGTGGTGTTCACCAAGTCTTGGCCAAACTCGATCAGCAAGATGATTGAATAGCTGACGATACTCGGGAAGACTCATCCTACCTATCTTTAGATGCATGAGCTCTTCTCACTTTTCACCCTCGACTCAGAAAATGTACTTCTCTTTGAACACTTGTTCAAAGTATGCCCACATCACCTTCGCGGGATGACTTGCATTCCGAGTGGTACGTTTCCGCCACTCGTGTGCATTATTCTATAGTAGCATGACCGCAAGATCGGCCCACTCGCCAGCTGGAACCTTCAAGTTCTCGAGTACGCATCGCACACGCTCTATATCTAACAAAACGCTATCAACCGATCGGCGATGTTCTCGCCAAGAAACTCTTCAACGCCATTTTTCTTCAATTTCTCAAGCGTGATATTTGGCTCAGGGTTTTTGAACTCACATCGAAGCGTTTTTATTCATGATCATAACTTGATGTAGAAGTTGCATCATCATCACATGATCGAACTTGGGACCCCAGCAGGCCCACCGTTCGGCATTCCTTGATGTGGAACGTTCTGGTTCATATTCTCATTCGCAATCTGTTGAGGTGGGGACACACTCTCCTTGGTTGCATTATTAGCGTTGTAGTTAACAATAAGGTCCATTGTACAAATGAAAAGTAAAAAGAGTTAATACTCATTTTGGTCCCTCTAAGACCGGGTGTAATGCCTAACTAACACCGATACTCCCGTGATCCGAAGTGGCTCTGCGTGAAGGAGTTGCGTAAAGCATGACGTGGCCACTGCCACGAAAAGTTTACTTTCTTATTTTTTTGTTTTTTCTTTCATTTTGTTTTTGTGCTACAATGTTAATTTTGCCCATAACTTTTTTAATGTAAGTCATTACTTAATGAATAATACTACATCTGTCCACAAATAAATTTCTCGTTCACTATTCATAGAGTCAAATTTCATTTGCTTTGTTGGCCTATTTTCGTCACTCATCTGATAAAATAGTATAGTCATGTCACCTCTAGTTTTGTAGATCTTTTGATATAGTTTTTAATATGTAATTTTTATTTTTAAATTTTACACAATTTTTCATATAAAATGATTAGAAAACAATTAACTTCAGTCAAACATCGTAACGTGCAACGAGAAGTTTATTTGTGAACGGAGGGAGTATGTCATTAGAAATTTTTTCACAAGATATATTTAACGACACCAATATTGTATATATAATTTTAAGTTTATGATGACCCGCTTATATTTTTACTTAATTAAACACTTTGGAATTGAACAAACTATGTTCTATTATTATATTTTGAAACAAAACACGTTGTAAGTTAAAATTATTTTATCTTGTTTTTTCCTTTTAAATTCAACTGCTTTGTGTTTTTTTATGCTATGAAAAAGGAAAAGAAAAAAATTAAAACTAAAAAAATGGGTTGAACTAAAAAAAAGTAAACCAAAAGTATAAAAAAGGCATGGGAAAAAACTAAGATAAAATTGAAAACGGAATAAAATAAAATAAACCCAAAAAGAAATTTTTATTAATTGATATTATTATTTTATAAAGAATCTAACTTAATTCGAATAGAAATATGTAATTATTTATAATAAAAAATAAAAGTGTAATCGTTAAAGTGGTGACACATTATAGGTGTAAAGTGAATGAGATAGTGAGTACAGCCAGTGCTGATGTGGCGCTGAGTGACTGCTAATTTGAAGTGAGCAATGGTGAGTCACTACAGATAGTATAAGTGTACGCACGACTTAATTTGGTCCATATACGTTTGTTTGAGTCAAATTAGTCTAAACTAATATATACTCCATCCATTTGAAAAGTAATTCCTCATTCATTTTTTTCTTTACTTACAAAATACTTCCACTTTATATTAAAAAAGTTATTTTTACCACTACTTTTTCTTACCTTACCTATTACATCACTTCATACTTTTTCTCTAAAAAAAAGTTAAACAATTCTAATTAAACACAAAAAAATGGAGACAAGAAGATATATGAATTGGGGAATTATGATCACTTTAAATGAAGGGTATCCAATTCAATGGTAAAACTTTAATTTCTTGATATATTCTCCTTATCATCTTGATCTCATACATATCTATATCTGGCTGTTATATTGTGGATGGTGACACACATGAGTGTTGACCGCCAAGCGCTAGTGCGGAAGGCTAAGATAGAATATGGAACCTATACATACTAAAAGGATGAGTCCTTTCTCCGAGGCCTGCTTCACACCCGGCCGGATGATCATTGAGAGAAAGTAAATTGGACTTTAATCGTAGATTATATTAGTGGTAAAGAGTGAAGTCTGCACCTGGTATTTGCAGAAGTTCTATGCTTAGCACAGTTACCGCCTTCTAATGCAGTTGCCTGGAATCAAACTCGGGTTTACCCCCTTGGCACTCTTTGTCTTGCTAAATATATACTAATTTGTTAGCTTTGATTGATTATTATACGTATTATATTCATACATGTATAGCTAGCTAGGTTAGATAGATTAGCTGCGCTATATAAGGGCTTCACGTGCAGTCTGATCTCTTCTTTACAGACATATATATATGGATGCCATGGCACACACTAGACACACATTTAGTCAACAAAGATGTGCTGTGTGCCTGTACTTGAAATGATAGTAAAGATGATCTAGAGGCGGCATGCACACATGCATGCTCTACCTATTTTACATAGCTGCTGCATTACCATAAATACACATGCACCTCATTCATGAAATTAAACCCTAATTGATGTTATTGGAAAAAATGAGGATTGAATACATAGAGAATCTTAATAATCAAAAGTAGAATAACAATTATAGAAGTGACAGACACTATAACAAAACAAATATCAAATCCAGACTATTCATTTGCATCGATTTTAGAGAAAATCGATGCAAATGGGGTAAATTTCGCCAACTGGAAGTATTTGAATCGGTTATTAGCTATAACTAATTCAAAAGTCTTTTGAATCGGTTATGGCTAATAACCGATTTAAATACCTCTGGTCTTTTAAATCGGTCATTAGCAATAACCGATTCAAAAGTCTTTTGAATCGGTTATTGCTAATAACCTATTTAAAAAAATTGAATAAAATAAGCCATCGGAGTCTTATCTCTTTACAAGATTTTAGAGAAAACCGATGCAAATGGGGTAATGAATTTCGCCAATCAAAAGTATTTGAATCGGTTATTAGTTATAGCCGCTTCAAAAGCCTTTTGAATCGGTTATTGCTAATAACCGATTTAAATACCTCTAGTATTTTAAACAGGTCATTAGCAATAACCGATTCAAAAGGCATTTGAATCGGTTATTGCTAATAACCGATTTAAAAAACTGGATAAAATAAGCCACTGGAGTCTTATCTCTTTACGCGATTTTATTTTTTCTTTGTCGCTGCCATCCCTCGCCGTCACCGTCCTCATCATAGTCGCCTACTTCGCCGTCGCCTCCTTTCCTCGTCGCCTGTTCGTCATTGCCTCCTTCGTCGTCCTCCTCCTACTTCGGTTCGTCTCTCCAAACACGCCATCCTTCAAATCCTAAATCAGGAGCAATTGCCCACACGTTTAAGGATCTGAGAGGAAGGACTCACAAGGAAAAGTGGAGGTGCGAAGGAAAATGTTGTGAAACATCCTTCACAAGAAGCCTCCTCACATTGTGGAAATGACAAGAAGAAATTGGGTCCTAAAGGTGGCATTTCTAAGTTTGCACGGAAATGCTACAGTTGTGGTATTACTGGGCATCACTCTTTGGACTGTAGGAAATAGAAGCTATAGAAAACAAGAAGAAATCGAATGAGGCTCTCTGTATGGAGCTGGACAACTTGGACTTATGTGAAGTTGTCACCGAGGTAAAGCTTGTCGGGTCAAACCCGGAGGAGTGGTTCGTGGATTCAAAAGCCACACGCTATATTTGTTCCAATTGGAGCATGTTCTATGACTTTCAAGAAACCTAGGGTGACAATGTATGGATGGGCAACAAAACCCAAACGGAAGTCCAAGGTATAGGAAAAATCAAGCTTAAGATGAGATCTGACAAGGAGCTTACACTAAATGATGTCTTGTACTTGCCGGATATCAAGAAGAGTCTAGTGCCAGGGTAATTGTTGATCAAACTCGACTTTTAGATTGTGTTTAAGTCAGATAAGATGATTTTATCCAAGAATAGGATTTTTATATGAAAAGATATATTTCTAATGGTTTTGTTGAATCAAATGTAATGAAGATTTTGAAAAGATCAATAAAAATCTTGTTGCTTATGTGTGTGAGTCTTCCAATTTATGACATGGTAGCCTAAGACATCTTGATCATTGTTTTCAGACAGTTCAAGTATGGTCCCATTGCTCTCTCTTATGTCTTAATAATCTTTTAGACACTCTGGTTGAAGATAGATCCTACATTGGTATCATCATTTCTGAGTGTCAGAGTTTGATGAGACTTTTATAGTGGGACTCGATCCCTCCTAATTTTGTTCTGATTTAGTTATAATGCAATCAGATTTTCCGATTCCCAAGAAATTATTTTCCAATTATGGTAAAAATAAAATTATAACCTTAGAGGGTAAGGCTCTTGATACGGACTCGTATCGGTGGAGAACTCGTAACATTCCCCCCTTGTTCAAAAAACACCTTGTCCCCAAGGTGCATATCGGGATAATGTCGTCGAAGAACATCCACCGACTCCCAAGTGGCGTCATGCAAGCCACCATCCGTCCACTCAACCAATACATGCTGCTCTGGTATTCCATGAACGAGTGTGGTCCTCCATGCATGTGCCTTTAGTGGCCGACCGTCCACCAAATCCACAGGCAACAGAAGGGGTGTCACCGTAGCCGAATCTCCACGAAAGGGACGGAGGAGTGAGACATGAATTACTGGGTGGATTTTGGAATTGGCGGGCAGGTCCAACCGATAGGCGACCGACCTAATACATTCAAGAATTTGGTAAGGCCCGTAAAATCTACGTGCAAGCTTCTGGGAACCCCGACGTACCACCGAATGCTTTTTGTAGGGCTGCAGTTTCAGCAAAACTAAGTCCCCGACGTAGAAGTGAACATTACGATGGTGGGTGTTGGCCACTGCTTGCATACGTTCTTGGGCAGCATGAAGGTTCTCCCAGAGTCGGTGTAACAATGTCGTTCGTTCGGTCAGGAGTTCATCAACATCCAGCACCTCACACTCCCCGCTAGAATATGGAAAAATTGACGGTGGTGCACGACCATATAAGGCTTGGAACAGAGTCATGCGGAGGCCCGAATGGTAGCTGGTAATAATGGCGAATTTGGCCCACGACAAGAGCAACAACCACCGTTTGGGTTTCTCCAGGACATACGCGTGTAGATATTGTTCCACGCCACGGTTCATGACTTCGGTCTGACCGTCGGTTTGCGGGTGGAACGTCGTGCTAATATGCAATGTCGTGCCACTAAGACGGAGGGCATGTTGCCAAAAATTGTTAGAATAAAGGCCCAACGCTAGAGGGGGGTGAATAGCGTTTAAAAACAAAATCGCAGGAAATTAAAACGAGAGCGTTAAAGTAAAGAGCGTAAAGAAGGAGCACACCGGATTTTATCCTGGTTCACCACAACGTGTGGCTAATCCAGCCCCCCGAGAGACTCTCTCGAGCTACACTAACTCCGTTATGCTTAAGGGTGCTTAACAAACCGATACAACTTGAGAACCCGAGTCACACGAGCCTCAACACCTTTGCTCGGAGATACCGCACTCCAAGACTTCTCACGAAGGAACAAGAAACTTCCTTCGAGTTTACAACAAGGGAACAAACTCCCTTAAAGTGTATGAAAACACTTAAACACTCAGGAATGAAACTCTCACAAAGAGTAGATA